CAGCATTACTTGCTACAACTGCAATAAATAAGAATACATTGCATACAACTGCTATTAATTCCGAAAGAACAAATAGCAACTAGTTCAGAAAGGATGCTAGGTGAATATCGCTCGATAGCAGAAACTCAATCAACTGAGCAAAAATACCTTCTTGGAGCAAGTATCAAATTCTATTAATCACAGAAGTCTCAGCTGAATATTCTGCTATAATAATAACTGCTTAATACATCTCTTGAATAAGAAAGATTCAGAATAATTTCCTCAGAAATCTAGATGCTGCAGACAAATAGCAACAGCAGAACAAGAATACATGCTCAGCATCCCTACAAATAGCAACTCGAACTGCTCTAGCATTATAGAACAGAGCATTCAAGCATTGGAAGAAGAACTTAGTAACAATACTCTTCAACATTCTTCATTATTTATGCTAAGCACTATAATTAGAAATATGAATAAGAAATAATACTCTTTTAGCTACTAGTACAAATATCTAAGCAATACTGAAAACGCTTCTCAAGCAATAGAAAGATCAAATCAGAATGAACAACTTAATGATTCACTGAAATCTCTCGTAAACAATGAATCTAAGAAGCTTACAGGAAGATTTCCTTTCAGCATTGAGTAAAACAAGGAAACAACATGAATCGAATATCTCATCTACAGAATAGAGCTGGAAGAGCTCTTTACTTACATCCTCTTGCAGAATATCAAAGTATAAGAAGATAAGAACCCTCGAATCAGTCTACTTTACAACCTACATTACGAATTAGCTTGAATCTTCTGTATCTATTATAGCTGCAGAATGCATTTCTCAGACAAAGTGCAATACGAATAGTTCCTCATTAGAGAACTAGAACAAATCCTTCAGACTATTGAAGAATAGAAACTCCACTTCAGAGAGATTCTCAACAAGCAGCATTACAATGCATACATCGAACTATTGAATAATTGCTTCATACAATGCATAAACAAGAAAATAAAATAATAGCAATACAAAACAATATTCTATACAATTTATATTAATAACAAGATTTGCAACTAGTATTAACAGAAGAAAGACTAGGAATGATAACAATATAAGCAAAAGCAAGCTAAGAAGCTTGCTCAAGAAGCAGCAAAGCAGGCTCAGAAGGACAAGCAATTCTTAACAAACTCAAAAGAATAGAATTGCTTATAAAGAAACTACAGATAATCAAACTGAAATAGTTTCTATATAGAGCTTTCAAGACAGATTATGCTTATATCAAGTTCAATATATACATTTAAGAATATAAGTACAGTACACTATTGAACAGTAGCACTCAGAGAAACTTCATATTTCTATATATTATTAATCAAGCATAATTACAATGGAGATGGAAGAGACGCCCATACACCCTCAGCACTATAGAAGAATAATCTGTTGCATACAATCAAGAAGTAATCGATAAGAAGACTGATTATCTATCTATCTTGATTCAAGAATATATAACCAGAGCTTCTTTTAACATTACGAATATAGCACAGCATAAGCTGATTATAGAACTTTCATAGCTCAAGAAGCACAATTCTCAAATTGATTGAACTACTAGCTAGATCTTATGGAAACAAGCTGTACTCAGAGAGATAGTTACAATCAACAGCGTAGAATTGAAGCCAGTGATTGAAGAATATTCAGAAAAAGAAGCTTCATACAACTTCCTATATATTTCCAAGTCAGCAGAGCTAGCAATTCAAGGAGAAGGATCTAGTAATAAGCAAACCCAAACAGTACCAGAGCATTAACAGATTAGCAAAACAATAGAAGCGAAACTCTCAGCAGATCAGTCCGCCCCGGAATAATAAGAAAAAGCTTCAGAAAATGAATTATAAATCCATACAGAAAAAACCTCAAAACCAAGCCCTCAAGCACTCGCTCCAGCCCGGAGCAAACGCTCAAGGCCTTCGAAAACGCTATCAGAAAAGAAATACGCTCAACAATACCTACTATTCCTCCAAGTAGCAGAGACAGCACAAGAACCAGAACTAATACTTGCAAATATATTACGAGAATATTACAAGTTTAAGAAACTATTCCAGAAAGAATTGAATACGGAATTACTAGAACACAGCTCATACAACCACAAGATCCCGCTATAAAAAGAGAAACAGCTCAAATTCTTCCCTATTTACAGACTAAACAAAGCACAGCTAGAAGTACTTAGAAAATACCTTAACGAGAATCTTAAGAAAGGATACATATGATCATTGCAATTACCAGCAGAATATCTTATCCTGTTTATACTCAAGAAAAACAGCAAGCTCAAGCTATACATTGATTATAAGCAACTCAACAATATCACAATTAAGAACTGATATTCATTGCTACTCATTAAGGAATTATAAGATAAGCTACAAGAAGCATAGTAATTCATAGTTCTGAATCTGAAAGAAGCTTATAATCTAATTAGAGTAAAGAAAGGAGAAGAATGGAAAACTGCTTTCAGAATATGCTATAAATACTACAAATATTTGATTATGCTCTTCAGTTTAACGAATATCCTAGCTTTATTTCAGGAAATAATCAATCATATTCTATATAAGCATCTGGATCAGTTCATTATTGCCTATCTCAACAACATTCTTATTTACTCTCAAACATTGGAAGAATATAAGAAATATGTGGAAACAGTATTGCAAACGCTTCAGAATGCAAAGCTTCTTGTAAAACTCGCAAAAAGCTACTTTCATATACAAAAAGTTGATTATCTCGGGTTTACAATCGAGCTGGAATGCATTAAGCTATAGAAGGATAAGATAGAAGCTATCAGAAACTAGCTAATTCTCAGAAACGTTAGAGATATTAGATCTTTTCTCGAATACATCAACTTCTACAAATAGTTTATTAAGAACTATAGCTGGATTGCATATTCCCTTACAAATCTTACCAAAAAAGAATAATCTTTCGAGTGAATTTCCAAGGCGTAAGAAGCCTTCAACAAGATTATCAAGCATATTACCTTAAAGCTAGTTCTATATAAAGCAAATCTCTACAAACTCTTTGAAGTTAAGACTAATGCATCAGAATATGCACTCAGAGAACAATTTGGTTAGCAAGATGATCGAGAATATCTAAGAATTATAAGCAACTTCTCAAAGAAGTTGAACAGCCCGGAAATCAACTACAGAATCTCTAATCAGAAATTCATAGCAATAATAAAAGCTTTCAAGGAGTAATAATACTATCTCATTAGCATACAATACTCAATCATAGTTTACTCGAATCATAAGAATCTAATTACATTCATAATAATTAAGATTTTGAATAAGCAATAAGTCAGATGAGCAGAATTCCTCTTACAGTTCAACTTCAAGATTGTATACTGCAAAGACTCGGAGAACAAACAAGCAAATGCTCTTAGCAGAAGATCAGACTATCGAGATGCAGATTCCTTAAATATACAGAACATTTTCGCTCAAAACGAGTTAGGAAATCTCGTTAACGCATATAAAGAACTGAATACTATCTTCAGAATTGAACTCTCAGAAAAGGATTCAGAATCAATAATCCCAGATAAACAAGATAACTACATCAAGAATGTATACAGTACATCAGCATATGAATATCAGGGAATTAGAGCAATCTACAAATGCATCAAAAAACACTGAAATCCATCAGATCTTAAGAAAAGAATTGAAAGTATTCTATAATAATGCAATAGCTGCAAGAAGAATAAAGCAGAAAGATACAAGCCTTACAAACTACTGCACTCCTTATCAGTACCTATAACTGTTTAGCAATTCATTAGTCTAGATTTTATTATTAAGCTATCTCTCTTATAAGAACTCTTAACTAAGATGCAATATAATAGCATTCTAGTAGTGATTTGCAAACTAAGCAAGTATGCTTACTTTCTTTCCTACAAGGAAAGTAGTATAGTAGAAGAACTCGCATATGCATTTCTCAGAACAATTATTGCTAACTATAGCATGCTAAAAGAAGTAATCTCCGATAGAAACAGGAAGTTCAACTTAAAGTTTTGAACTTTACTCATAAAACAGCTCGGAATACACTATAGAATATCTACAGTATTTCATTCGCAAATAGATAAATAAACAGAAAGAATGAATCAAGTTATTGAATAATATCTACAATACTATATCAATCAGGAATAGAATAACTGGGTTAATCTATTACTTCTTGCATAGTTCGCTTATAATAGCGCAGATATAAGTATAATGAAGAAATTATTATTCTTTGCATTCTACAGATATAATCCAACAGCTTACTACGAAGCACTGCTAGGAGCAGATGCAGAAGCTGCAGATAAAAGAGTTAAAAAGATTAAGAAAGTTCAGAAGGAATTTCAATCAGAACTACAATTCGTTCAAGAACGAATAATGCAGTATGCAAACTCCAAAAGGATTGAGAAATCAATCCTATAGGAAGAAAATAAGATCTACCTACTTCGAAAAAATATTAAAATAACAAGATCTAGCAATAAACTCAATCATAAGAAGTTAGAATTATTCAAAATCTTACAATAGATCTCCCCAGTTAACTACGAATTAGCATTACTTCATAGAATGAGAATATATCCAGTTTTCCACATCTTACTATTAGAATCAGCAGCACAGGAAATACCAACAGACAATACAGCAGAAGTGGAAAACAATAAACCAGAGTACAAGATAGAGAAGATTCTCAAGCACAGAAGCATAAACAATACAAGGAAATATCTCATTAAATGAAAGGATTATTCAGCAAGCGAAAATTCTTAAGAACTGCAGAAAAATGTCAAAAATGCTCAGGAAAAGATAGCTGAATATTAGAAGAAGAAAACCAGTACCTAAGACAATCGCTCCGCTCCGAACCGAGATCCAGAAGCCCCAGAAACCTCATTCCCTAAAATACTGTCCCAATTCACCACATCGAGAGCACCCCAAGACTAAGCCTCAGCTACAGCTTCAGATTCGGCAGCACGCTGAGCATCCTCCTTCTAACGCTCCTTCTCCTCCAACTCGTCCAGGGAATGCAGATCCTAACTAATTATCTTCGCGCTACAATTATGCAGAGAACGTTTCTGTTTCTGCAAACGCATCAAGCGGGCTATTGCTTCATCCAATTTGGACTGAAGCTTGAAAAGAACTTCCTCCGCATCTAACTCCTTCCGATCTAAGCAATCAAGTTCGATAGTAATACGAGATACTATTATAAGAATCAGAGAGCGAACAAGGAAAAATCTAGGAAAGAGGCAAATCTACAAGCATTTACTGGAATATCGGAATCATTGCAGGAACAACTCCAACGAATATAACAGAAATACTGCTTAGTACTTTTCATCATCTTACACTCCAATCCCTTCGATACACAGAAAGAACAAGGCATGACTTTGAAATCTTGAAGATCGATAGTTAGAGAAAGCTGAAAACGTTGTTCGGATTTTCAAAAAAGGGATTTTTCGATTCTATTCGATATCTCAATTAGGAAGGAATAATCAGATCTATGAACAGCTTGCTAGGAAACTTACAGAAAAATGTTGAGAACAACGACTGATAGAAGGGAAATAATGTTATAATCCATTCAACATGCAGGTTACGAAACAAGCCTTGCTAACAAGGAACCAGGTATCACAACCCATCATCGAACAACCACTGGAAATTACATAAGCAAGGGTTAGGATTGGATTACAACAGAACAAGTGAGCTACTTACTGGATCACTGCAATGCGGATCACGGATCATGATGAGCTAGGTGAGCCATAACAAAGAGCTGAATATATAAGGATACGTTTATTATCATTAGATGGATTCAGTATATAGCTCTTCAGTTGTTAATCTAAGTATTCAGTTTCATACACTGAGTAGCCCCAAAGGCAGTGAATACTTGCATTGCTTATTAGAACTTGTACAGTTTCGTATTCAAGAACTTGATACTTTGATACTGCTCTTGTTAGCATAAACCTCTTTGTGTACTTAGGAATCTTCGGATTGCTGCAGTGCTCATCACACTAGATTCTTAGTAGAACTGCACTATTGTTGAGACTTCAGAAGAAGTTTCTAGATATATCTTCATTTCTTTTTAACTTGTATCAAGTACATAGAAGTAAATAGAATTCATTAGCTTAACTACTAACCTATATCTCTATCTGAATTTTAATACTAAACAAAGATTCAAGTGCTATTATTTGTAAAGATAAATAGCTTTTGAGCTACAATAATATAATTACTAACTCCAAAGCTACCTTCATCTCCTATATCAAAGTACAGCTAATCACAGAGCATATCAATCTCCTAATCCTAGCATTAATTACCTATACTTCGGCTCTTTCAGCTATTCCAATCTCTATATCTAGAACAGATATTTCATCGAGATATTTCAGCTTGAAAAAGATGTCTTTTCGAGAAAAAACACACCAAAATCACCTTCCTAATTGAGCGAAATCTGAACGACGAACGAGAGCCAATCATGTTTTGTGGGTCACCTTCATGTTCAAATTTCTGCCCATTTTCCCCGCTTTTCCTTGGTTATCAATTTTTTTCCTGCAGAGCTAGGATCGATAAGAGACCATTTTAACAAATGGCATATTATCTGCACTCGAGAATGGACATTGCACATGGTGCGGTCCTACTGAATCGATGCTTATTTCCACGTTAAATTTGCATCCAGAACTCACGGGCGAGAGGGCCTGGACACAGGAATACGATGGACTAGATTCGAGAACAAAAGAAAAGATGAATAGAAGGGAAATTTTATAATGCATGAATAAAAACGCTTGTACGTGGTCGATGCATATTATTATTTACAATCATTCAAGAAGAACACCCATCCGAGCACATTAGGTCCTCTCCTCGCTCACAGTGTGTTTCCAGCGTTGTCAACCACAGAGGTAGCGATAGACGACGCCGATGCTGCAGCAACGATGGGCCGGCCTGACAGATCCGAGAACCATCCATACTGATCATAGTCGAAGGTTCCGGTGTCTGATCCCAACAGGTTCACGACGCAGTTCCTCCCAAGGTAGGTGTCACACTGCGAGAGGTCCGCAGACTCGGAGCTGAAGAGCTGGCCCACGAAGCCGTCCGCGACGATGGTCGGGGTGTTGATGAAGTAGTTTCCCTCGTAGAGACCCATGCCGTCGTCTGTCCCCTCGATCAGGTGGCCCGAGTTGGATGACCAGACGTTGTTGACGGCATGGAAGACGGTGTTGCCGCTGAGCGCTGGGCTCCGTCCGGATGTGTAGTATACCCAGTTCTGATAGAAGGTGATGAAGTCGCCAGATCCGACGAGCTCGAGGCCCCAATAGGTGTGACCATCACAGGCTACAAGGACGTCAGGTACCAGTCTTGTTGTATCGCGAGGCGAAGAGACGCCAGGACGGGAAGGTGGTCATGGTGAACTTACTAGCCGAGTAATCTGTGCTACCGTCAATGAAGCTGTTGGAAATAGTCACGGCGTTGTTGGACCCTGTGCCAAAGGAATAGTGCTGTCGGCCCAGGCTCGAAGTAGTAACGTGATCAATCCATATATTGTTCGTGTCTGTGAAAGACAACGCATCCCCTCCCCAAACGTATTCCTACTGAGAGTCAGTAAACGGAATTGTCATATTTATCAAAATCGAGGGCCATCACAGGCTTCGCGACTGACCGGATTCAAGTTCGTGATGGCAATGTTCTGGATGATGATATTCGATACACCATTAAACACCAAGCCCTTGCCATTCAACGTCGCGCCGTCTGTGCCGACGAGGGTCTTGTCCGAAGCGACAGCAATGCCCTGATAGGCAGCTGTATCGATGGTCACATCGTAGACCGCCGTGGACCCGCACCCGTCGAGAGTGTTGAGTAGAGCCTGCCCGCCGTCTGACGGCGTGCATGAGTACGCATTGCATGCCTCTTCTGTCTGCGTGCCCTCGCTGCCAGCGAAATCGAACGTGCCCGAGATGACGATGACCTCTGCCGACGAAGAGGTCAGGTAGCTCTTGAGCTCGTCGATCGTGGTTGGGTACACGGGTGTTGCCGTCCCGCCGCCCGTTACGGATGATGCAAATCCCATGGGTGTCCCAGTGACCACAGAGGAGATCGCCGCCGAGGCCGACCCGACGAGGCTTGCCACTATGGCGGCAGCTACCTGAGTGAGCTTCATGGTCAAGAGGATGTTCGCCATAGGTCGCAAGGGTTCGTCCTCTGAATTTCGTCTCAGAATGGAGGGTGTCGCCGCTGTGCTCCTGGGACAGACGTGCGCATCTTCGAGACTTTATCTATAATGATCATTGCAACATTTCAACTACTACTTGATATTCGACCTCGTGTCTTATGCACAATAGCACAATATTCTTATTAGTTCTCGGGGGTTAGAATTCCGCAAGGGCGTCGTTTATGCTTTGACGTAGCGGATAATTAGCCCCTTTAGGAGCTTCTATGCGACTTGAGATCCCCAATCACCAATGTCACTGTGCCAACCTTCCAGATCCAGCCAATTTCCCCCGCAAATGTGGAAGTGCTCCTATGCATGGGAAAATGTCTCTCCGCGCACAGAAGGAATCGACACCCAGATGATCGCAGCGTAGGATTGGCGTTTGCCTCGCTGAGTTCTGAAGGGTCCTCTGACGTTCTATATCTTAAGGGACATATAGTTCAAAGCTTCGCGGTCGCGGCAATGCAGCTTTAGATCAATATTTTGTGTTTGTATGCGTTGGGTTTACACTTGTTATGCGACCAGGCCTTCCCGCACCTGAATAGATTTGTCCTAAAGATCTCTGTATGTTCTGGCCCGCTGCTAACGGACTGTCCTGGGCAATAACAATAGGATCTATAAATTTGTGTCATAACCTGCCATGGACACATTATTCTCCGCGTAAATTATGAAAATCTGAGGTGGTATCGAGTAGAGAGGCTTGGCCTTAATTTCAATAAGGGGTCACGAAAAGGCGAGTTCCAAGCCAGGGCAAACATGGCTGGGCGTTTCTGTTGGAAATTGCATCTCCAGAAATCGTAATGCCAGGATTGTGCAAATCGCAAGCCCAGGATTTGTTCGGATGTGAGAATAGTCCGGCGCATGAGAGCCTGTGCTTTGGAACGTGATCCGACAGAAAGCCAAGGGCTGTGCAGGCTCGCCAAGTCTTTTGCTTGCATTTCACTGACAGCTCAAGAGTGAGAATATGGTGCATTGTTCTTTGATTCGAGACTACAATGACGACTGATTGCAGACTAAGTTGTGAATAGAGTCGACTGTTGGATGAGGGAGGCCGAGATATTCGTGGGCGGGCTCGCGTAGCAGATGCGCACATCGAAACTAGCTTGAATTTTGCCCTGGCAGATTCTCGCGCTTCTTGGCCGTTTCTGCAATAACTATGCAGTCGGGGATGGTGAATTCCCCAGTCAAGAAACGAAGCCACCTCATAAGGGACAGCTGCACGAGAAGTGCCCTCTACAGACCCTTACAAGATCTGCAGAAGTAGAATGGAGCCTTCGGAGCCCTCTGATGCCGTACAATCTGAGCCTGTGAAATGGAGAGCCGTTCCTCAATCAAGCCACCCGTCATGGCCAGGACAGTCGGGGCGACAAGTTTGGGGGCTCTGCTAAACCTGGTGAAGCTTCAGAGTATGAGCGGGCCCAGGTCCAGATGTTGCGTGCAGCAAGCCAACAGTCTTGCTTTCGCCGTACAATCGGGAGTCCTGAATCGGAGTACCTTGCTCGTGCGATATCTGCCGCTCAGTAGTCCTCCCATAGATCCTTCACATACGCTTCCGTGAGGCGCTCGTCTGGGCCATGAGACTCTTGCCACTTGGAGAAGCCTCCCCTCAAGACACAGATCTTTTGCGCAACTGGCTGCTGCTTCTTGTCGACCTCTTCGCCTGCCGCAGCTTCCTTGGTAGCATCGTGGCTGCCGCTGTTGCCCTGCAAATCACCTGGCGCAGCCACAGACTCGGGACCGTATTGTGCCTCTCGCTCTCGTATGTATCGTAGGGCGGCACTGGGCCCACGTTGCTTCGACAGGGCGCAGTGGAAGACGACGGTGTTGGTGTTCTGGAGCTGGCGGAGGAGAGTGGGGAGCCACTCGTCGAACTGGTGGGAGGGAACCCATCGCGAGCCCTTGATGTGGCCGCCAATATGGTCTACCAGGAGCCAATGAGTCGATCAGTATACACGGTATCTCCGAACAAGGGCAGGCAGGGGGAAAGGAGGAGGGAGGAGCTGACCACCGTCGCGAACGTCGATGATTGCGATGGAATTGTCCGGAGACTTGAGGGCAAGCAGCTGTTCTGACAGCGCTGCAACCTCCATACGATGCAGATTAGCTATCGTGAAACGAGACATGGTGCGTCTGAATATGGTGCTCATAAGTAGAGGTCGGCCTCGCAGTCTGCTGAAGCTGGCAAGAAGCAGTGACGGCGGCTCAACAGTACTCTTGCTATCGAGCTTTGACGGCGATACCAGTAGGACCCTAACCCTGTTCTTGGTTTGGCTCCCTTCTCCCTCTGTACTGTTTCTTTCAACCACTTCTGCTTGCAAGTCGAAAGGCTGAATTTCATCACCGCCTGCCAACCTTTCATATTCTCTTTCGAAGACAAACAAATGCTGGAAGACTACTTCAGTATTCTCGCTCTATATTCCCACAATCATAGATCAATTAACCATTGACCACAGGATCCTAAGCACAAACATGTAGTTCCCCCCCCCCCCTTTTTTTTATTTTTTATTTTTTATTCCTCCTCCTTCAGGTCAGCCAGCAGGGCTTTCAACTTCTTCTCATTCCTCGGCACGCAGTACACGCTGTAGCTATGTGGAGCCATGATCAGATCCCGTGGATTCTTGCCACCCTTGGCCGGGTCGAAGTCTCCAGTCCCGTGTGGCTTGAGCGTGAAGCTCGCCAACAGCCTCATGAAGATGAGGTACAGCTCTCGTGTGGCCAGGAGATGACCTGCACACATCCTGTAGCCAAGGCCAAACGTGAACACCGGCGCATCGGGCTTCTCGAGCCATCGCTCGGGTCGGAAGACGTGCGGATCTTCCCACAGTTCCTCGTCTGAAAGGGTGGGTGTTACTAGTCAGCAGGAGAATGGTGCGCTGAAAAGCCTAGGGTTTATTAGAGCGAACGAGAGGAGAGAACTCACCATGATTGCAAGCCGTAGCATTCATGTATACTGTCGTGCCTTTGGGGATGAACAGCCCCTCATACTCGACATCTCTCGTCGTCTCCCTCGGCAGGTTCAGAGGTATGACAGTGAAATAGCGAAGCGCCTCCTTGGCCATCGCGTTCATGTACGGACATTTTTGGTCGTCTGCCGCATCACACAGCGGATCGACACTCTCCTCGTCGCCCTCCTTCAGGCCCTGGAACGCCCTGATCTCCTGGAACGCACGCTCCTGGATCTCTGGGTGCTGCGCCAGCCACCCCACGCTCCACTGCACCGTGCTGGCGACGGTCTCGAACCCGCCCCCGAGCATGCTCAGGCTGATGCTCGTCAGCTCCGTCTCGCTCAGCACCTCGTCCTTGTATTTGATGACATTGGCCTGTATGCACGGCCTGTGCGTGCCCTTCTCAACCTTGGCGGCCAGGTCCCCGTTGAGGCGGGCAAGGTACGTGTCTCGGCGCGCTCGCATCGCCCGCGCCCGTGCCGAGTGCAGGTTGATCGGGTTCAGACGCAGCAGCGGCACGTAGTCCTGCAGGTTGCCCGTGGTCGAGCGGAAGCGGTTGAGCTCCTCCTCGACGGCCACGATCTCTTGAAACAACGGGTCGGCGACAGAGGGAATTCGCACGCCCCAGTTGATGGTCACCGCCAGGCTCAGCGAGAGCCTCTGGATAAAAGGGAGGGGATCGATGGGCTGGGCACCAGAGGCCCCATTTTCGAGCAGGTCGCGAATGAAGGTGCGGGACTCGGTGTCCAAGTAAGGCACGTAGCTGGCGATGGCGGGCTTGTTGACAGCCACGGCTACGCCTTTCTTGCGTCGTTTGAGGGAATCATCGTAGGGAGAGGTGCCTATCGTCAGGCCCTGTGTCGATGATGCTACCTGCAACTTCCGTGTTACTCGAAGCAACCTCTGTGTGATATGAGCATACCCAAGCAACTGCTTACCTTGTGAAAAGTATAGGTGACCGGCCTCGAGCTCAGCGCCTGTGACTGCCCAACCCACAAGGCCTTGGCTGCCTTGGCACTGTTCACCACCACGATAGGGACGTTGCCCATCTGCACCTGGTACACATCCCCATACGTCTTGGACCACTCCTTGTACTGAGCGGCTGCATCGGTGCGAATGGAGAGCAGATTGCCGATGAGTGGTAGCCCAGGAGGACCATTCATACCCGGGACCCGGGCACGGTAGCGAGTGGCTTCATTGATGAGGATATAGACGAAGAGGAACAATGGAGTGAGCGTGAAGACCGCCTGGAATGGATGTGAGGCGATATAGCCTGGGGCGATGAGGAAGAGTTCGTTGATCAACATCATGAATGCTGTGAATCACAAACTTGCTGAGGGCATCACTTCAACAACTCCCAGCCCTTCTCCAGGAGACCAGAGAACCGAGTTCACAGAAAGCCAATGCCTTTTTATAGAGACAGAAATCCAACCACAAAATTGACTTGTTTTACGTTGTTGTCGCAGAGGATGCTCCCAAGGAGAGAAGCTGTGCAGCATTTCTCCGCATAGCATCGGCTGCACCTTCGGGTCTTGAATCCAATGGCGAGCCCTCCAACATGACCATGCATGAGGTCAGACGTGTGAGACTACTCAAGCAAGGCCATGGATAGTACTCCGCATCCCATTTACCGGCCTGTCACTCCGCACTGGAGACGTCTGGTCCACCGAGTGTGTGGAGTACTTAGTTTAACCCCCTCCGCGGGGAAAGACGCTGCTCGTAGGGTTGCTGTAACCTCGCGCTCTCAGGCCTCGCGGTTCGGCTTGACGATGACTCGCGAATCATACATTCAATATGATGCAGCTCCAGGCGTCTAGGCGTAGCTGGTGTGACACGGGAAATCCGTAGTAAGAGGCACAAGGATAACTCTATCTGGGTATTGGCGTGTGTATATATGTTTACGTGTAAGCTCTATAGGAATTCCAATGTGAACTGCCCTCGCCAGCTAGGCTCCCTTTAATATAACAAACTAGTCGAATGGGCCATGGCTTTCATTTGGTGATATGAACCGTCATTAATCTCGCGTCTTTTCCCTCGTCGTTCTCGTCTGCTGAGTTGGAGCCATCTTTCTTCTTGTGCTTATTATGCATTGGCAGCAGCTTCTTTCCGCGCTTGACGAAACCAAGATGAGTAGTATCGCCCGAACGAACAGTAGTATCAGCACTATTCTCCTGAGATATCTCGTCCTTCGCCGGGCTCTGTCCAACAGGCGATTCCACAGGACTGCCACCACCACCCCTGAGTCCAGATGGTGAGTTGTCTGCAATCTGTTCTTGCGACTTCGCAGCGCCGCTTGCGTCTTCGGGGTTCTCTGCCCGGCCTTTCGTGGCCTCAACCTTCTTTTCGTGTTCGGATAGTGCTCTCTCGCCTGGCTCGGCAGCGGTGGCGCTGGGCTCTCCCACACCACGTTCTTGTGCGATATCCAAGTCTTCCTCTCCCGTTGGCCCAGAAACCTTGACGCCCTGCAAGCTCTCGTCGTCCGGGTACTCTTCAGCCCCGTCCGCCTCCTTCGTGCTGCCGACGGAAGTGCCCACTTCCTGACTCCGAATGCTGCTAGCCTTGCTCACGGATGCGCTACCGGGGTCTGCCTCTCGCAGCCCAAGAGTCTTGCCCTGGTCTGGGTCCCCAGAATCGGCACCCTTCCAGTCTGCAGGCTTCATCTGTGGGACAGGACTGCCCTCCCTGGGCTCCGTGATCACAACACCTGGCGTTTCCACGGCTGGGCCCTGAACCCCTACGGCGCGCCACAAGACACTGATCTTGTCGGCAGCCTTGGTTCCTTTCCGCGAGCTTCCCTTGATCCCATCCATCCTCTCCCACTCGATTTCAAAGACCCCACTGTCATCAGCATTGCCGTCCTGCTCAGGACCTTTGCCCTCGAAGAATGCATTGAACCATACATGCGCAACTGCCGTGACCATTGTCAGTCCCATAGATGCTGGGGCACGGTTCCGCCGTTCAAGCGAGACACAGATGTCCGAGTTCGGAATGCGGATGGGTGATGTCGGCTTCAGGATGACGGCCATCCCGCCAAGCTCAGAGTTTGAGGCCATGGTATTAGTCCTGGGAAGCGCGGGCTGTGAGGCGCTGGGATTTGACAGATTGGAGTTGGAGTCAACAGGGGTAGGCGTCGATGTGCCCGGGGAAGCAGAGGCGAAGTCGGCAGGGTTGATGGTCTTGCTCTTGGGGTCCGCAGCGAGCTTCCTGACGCTGCGGTTGCGAAGGAGGAGACTGGTACGAGAGCCCTTTTTGGACTGGCTGCGCGACGGCGAGGAGCTCTTACTAGTGCTACTGCTGTTGGCACCGCTGCTCTTCTGATTGTCGCCATTGACCACCTGGTTGTAATCGACGTCTTCGTATATCTCGTCATCATTGCCCCCCTGCGGGCTGAGAGCGTCGCCCACGAAGTCTAAGAGACCACCTTCGCCAGGGGCATCACCCTGCACGATGAGCCTCTCATTCTTGTTGAAGGTGTGGAACACCTTGATCTTCTTGCCCTCGTCCGCGAAGCCCTCGACGCTGATCTTCACGCCGTGCCTAAGCCCCCAGACGTGGACCTCGAGGATCTCAATCTCCCTGTCAACGTACTTCTTCCCACCCTTGGTCCAGCGGTCGACGTAGCTGATAGTCCGCAGCTGTGAGGGGATAGAGACACCCGCGCCAAGGTTGGGCCTCATCCTCCTCTTGGTGAACTGAGCCAAGGCGTCCTCTGCCGTCCATTTGCACTGAGAGATCAGGTAAGAACAGGCTGCGGTGCCAGAACGGCCTTTCCCAGCCTTGCAGTGTACAACAACCACCCTCTTGCTCTTATCATTCGTTTTGTCGGAGTGTGTACTCGGTTGGTTCGACTGCGCTGCGTTTCCCGTCGTTTGGTCATCCTCGTCACCGTGTAACCAGTTCCGCATGCTGGCCGTGATCATGGGCACCAGCCGAAAGGGTGGCGGGTGGTGATCAGGCCACGGATAATGTCGTATCCTCCCATAGACAGCCTCATCTGGATACCCTGTGCCCTCAGCCCGGAATTCCCATATGGCCCAGTTCTCGCCATGTTTAGCATCGAGGAAGGCTACGACGCGGTCGAGGGGGTTGCGGTAGGCTCGTTGGGGGTAGGTCTGGCTAGGACCGGAACTATTGGTGGTAATTAGGACTTGTTAGCAAGGCCGTACACATGGAAAGGCAGGGAGCAAGACCTACGTTACGATGATATCGTCTGTCACGTAGCAGAGATCTAAGCCGGTCTCTTTGTGTTTCGCTCGTGGCCCAGCAACTATCTGCCTTAGGAGAGAGGTCATTGTTGGTGACAGTAACGGTCAGCCCCTGAGTGACCTAGGAGGTACGCGACCCGTATGCGTAAGTCGATTCGATGTTCCGTGGTTCAAATGGTTCAGGCGAAAGGTAGGTTCGCGTGGTTCCTCGTCAGGAGCGGTCTGGCGCGAGCGAGCGTGTGCCAGGCAAAATAGGATCAGCCGTCGCAGTCGCAGTCAAGCATCCAGGAATAATGCAATGTGTCAGACAGACGAGGCTGGGTTATGTGAAGTAAGTTGTGGGTCTCGATGCTGTCAGTCAAACCTCTCCAGACCTACTTACACATTGGAATTTCTTGGAACAGCAACAACACAGCCAGAGACTTGAGCAATCACCTAGTGCAGTGACCATCACAGTCATACGTCATAGGGTGGTTCAAAAACAGCACACCCATGGCCTAGCTCTGGTGGGGCTTAGCAGTAGCTTTCATTGCTGATCATTTGGGCTCGTTCAGCTGTTAGTGGCCTACACGAGCGCTGGAACCAATCGTCATGTTACCATACACAGCTGATCACGTAAACTCACAATACATTTGAGCATTATGGAGTGCCTTTACGGCATTAGGGTCATGATCCAAGCAGATTAAAGACAAAAACAATGGCATTAGAAGAAAAGACAAGCCTATGTTGGAAAATCCATGAAACCAAAGTCTGTCTTCCTGTCGCCGCCAACTCCTCTCTCCAATGTGCTGTGTAGGCTCGACATGCAACTCCTGAAACTAAGTACTGAAGAAAGCATTCTCCCCCCTCCGCTGACAATCACCACAGGGCCGGCCGGCCCATGTATACTTTTCCACAAATGTCTCTCCCCATTCCCCGCGGCCCAACTTTCGTTGTGGGGCGATGGAGAACGTCACCTTCCTTTCTGCACCCGTCTCCCTTCCATCGTTGTCCCCTCCCGCTCAGCCTGCTCTAGTATCGGACCTTTGGAGGCAGGACTTGCAATGTTTGTAGATAGCGCTCTGTGCACCAGAACTGGCACCGCTTCTTTCCAGCAGCCGTGGTCAGCGCTCATGATCCGAATCTCCAGGTCGTTGGACACTCTGGAGAGCTGATCACTTGGCGCCACTTAGGAAGTCTTCTTGGGGGCGGCGGCGCCAGGACCGTATTTGGTCAGGTCGGTGGCCGAGTGAAACTGCCTCACACCGCCCTTGACACCGTCCCAGATCTGTCTGGCCACTGGGGGGGTTCCCTGGGCTCCGACCTGGTTATCAATCCTGGCCTCAAGGTTGGCGAGGGAGTTCTGGACGTGGGCACTCTGGCTGAAGCGAGCGCGCAGGAAGGCAGTGTAGATTGCGAGCATGATCCAGCTCCTGTGCTGGAAGAGGATGGCCGAGCCCAGCAGCCTGATCCAGATCAAGACCTCGAGACCGGCGACGACAGACATGGACAGGTCGTAGTACTCCTTGACGAAGTTGCCGATGGCGTCAGCAATGGGGTGGTTCTTGAACTGCGGCTTGGCGTTGGGAGAAGCGCCATCGGCCGGGGCGGTCTGGGTGGGAGGGACGATGGTCGGGATGACAGTAGAGCGGGTGTAAGTCGCGAAGTGGAAGATGGAGTAAACGCCATAGGGCAGCATGGCCACGAAGAGCTGGCCAGAGAAGAGCCAGACAAGGGCCAGGACTGCGGCGATGGAAATATAAGGTCAGCGCACAATCAAAACAAGGCGGGACAAAGCAGGTGCGGAGGGTTACATACGCAGATATTGAACATTCTCATCAGCTACGAGCGACAAGGCGACCTGAGGGGTGAGCTTCATGCCGGCCTTGGCTCGAGCGCGTAGGGTCTTGTAGACAACGATTCCATAGGTAGCGGCGGCGGCAATGAAGGCGAGACGATAAGAAAATTGGGCCATGCGGGTGTAGTAGTTGAATCGCACCCAGGATAGGGAGTATCGGAACATGCAGAAGATCAGGGTGAGGTGCCTGTCCAAAGGAGACAGTTAGCAATACGGTCTACCGCAGAAGCTCGGGTCCACCTCATGGACAAGCCCTCTTTTTCTTTCATTAATCTCCTCTAGCGACATATAGAGGGCTCGACCTCCAGACGATTCCATTTGAGGATATGGTCTTGTGAAGGTTGTAGAGACAGCTCATCAAGAGGGGAGGCACGTGGTACTGAGAAAGCTTGGTCGGCCGCGGGAGCAGGAAGGGGACACGCACCCGATGAACCAGGCAACTATTTGGGAAATCATGAATCAGCAACTGATTTCAGGTATATACAGTGTATTATTCTCGACAGAATGGGCGAAGCAAGGAGATGAGCTTACACTGGAGGGTCTGCGCAACAGTCAAGAGACGTTGCGTCAGAGGCATACTCGCCGGTGGCGGGGGAGCCATTGTGCTAGAGTTACGGTAACTGGAGCTGGTGGGAGGAGCTGGTGGGAGGAAACTGAGCTCGAGACTGAGACGGGGCGGAAGATATCACAGAGGACACGTTGATCCTGTAAGAGCAGGTCTGGATGGTGGTTATGCTGGCGGTGTTGTTGTTTTGTACGGGACAAGAAGGGTCAGGTGGGAAGATTCCACGTAGGTTTCAATGTTGCGAGAACTTGGCAATTGATTGCACAAAGTGGCTTGGCTGGTGACGAAGGTGTGGTTCACTGGGAGAGTGCCCTTGCCCCCGCCCCCCTCCCCCCTTCCCCCCGTTCTCCCCCTTCCTGGTCTAGTATGCTAGCCATGCCTGAGCACCTACCTAGCAAGCTGGGTAGTGGGTCTGGAGGCCCCCCTCAAGAAAAAGAAAAGAAAAAAGCTACCCGCCATTCACTTGTACTGTACGAGTATCAGTGCCTCCAATGCGTCACCACACAGGGATTAGCTCTATCACTCTCTCTGACCATCCATCATCCAGAACCCCATCCTTTCATCATTGCACCACCCATCAGTGCCCCACCCCTGTATGCATGCCAGCCTGGCCCAATCCAAACCCGCTGCTGCGCGATGACCACCTGAGACTTATGATGGACCTTCAGCTTCTGATATCTTTTTTCTTTCTTTTCCTTTCCTTATTAGAGCATGAGGGTTTTGCTACTTTGTACGAAAACCCTCTGGGTACTGAACAGCTTCAGCAGCTCAAAGTTCCTGCCTCTTGTTAATTCATAGCCACAACAGTGACCTGCATCCGCTCGGTCTCTGACCTGGAATGGAGACACAGGATTCTGTGGGACATAATCAAGGGTGTCGAACGCGTCAAACGTACTACAGTATGGCATCTGTGCCGTCAGTATCTCCTTCAGCTGGCCACAGCACTATCACAGATGCCAGGTTTTCCTCTTTTTTCCCCTCCCCTTCTTTTATTTTCCCCCTTGTTCTTTTTTCCCTCTCTCGCTTTCTTTGTCTCTCTCTCTCTCTCTCTCTCTCTCTCTCTCTCTCTCTCTCTCTTAGGACAAAAACTCGCGTTGACTGTACAGCTTTGCAGTGGCTGCAAGCTAGTGTAGGTAATCTGCCTGATGCATGTTCGATTGTAGGACAGGAAGGAAAGATGTACAAAGACCCAAATACTCGAGTGGGCTGCTGCCTACTTCAGTACTTATAAATAGTGATGACCCAACCACGCCGGTAGACGACCAACATAATCATGCGATCTCCCCATGAAAGCCCTCCGTCTTGACATGTTAGTCGTTGCGCCCATCAAATACTATGGTACTTCTCCTTATCGGCTGATGGACACTGTTAGATACGTGGGAGGTTGGCGCATGATGGCGTCGTCACGTAGTTGACACCCCTCGGCGCCGTACTAAATAAAACACGCTTTACCTCAAATGGGTTGTAATAAACACAATGTTCTCTTTGTGTGGAAAAATGCGTGTCGGCGTCTCTCTACTTATAGCCCAACATAAAAATACTCCCACTCGAAAATGCACAAAATTCAAGTCCCACGCGACTGGTCGTTCTTATTACCAGAAGTTGAAGCATGCCGTACGAAGCCGTCAAGCCATTAGACCCCGACGCCGAGGACGGATCAGTCGACATTGTGGGTGGGAGCGAAGCAGACGTCGAGTCTAGCAAAACAGATGCAGATGAGACTCTGTCTTTCCTGAGATGGAAACAGAAGGGAGACGCATCAAATTCCAACCCAGCGCAGGTGCTGTCCAGAAGGGGGGCAGGTGATATTCTTGCAGCCATTTGCAGCCTGCTTCCCTGGATCATCAACCTGATCCTGGTGATGGTTGTGATTTCGCTTGCGAGGAGATTGAACATGACACCACCGGCTTCGTCCCGCCTTCCGGGCTCTGAGTTGATGTACAGTGAGTTGGGCCCTTTTTTTTTTTTTTTTTTTTTTTTTGAAATTAAGGAGAGGATTGTTCACCAGCATTCTGGGCATGATAATGACGAGGCTGTATTTTTAGCACTAGCCGAGGAAGCAATCGAATATAGGCTGGAGACGACATATGCGAGCGAGGACTTTCCCGACTCGGAATATCAAGGCTGGCCGAATACTCATAAGGACAAACTCTGGAACAAGTATGAAGGTGCGTCGACAGCAAAAACTCCCTAACATGGAACTATATACAGAGATCTTATACTGATCCTCGCATGTCCACAGATGGCAATTTTCTCTGGATCGACCAACAGACCGCTGAGAGGCTCCCTTTCGAGACCGAGCACGCCCCTTTACAGGAGCATATGGACGACTACGTTGTAGGCCTATCCGTCTTCCATGTTCTCCACTGCCTCTCCGTCCTCCGACGCAACATCTACCCCAGGCGCTACAACTCCTCTATGGTCAACCCGGACGGCACCGTTGACTACCACAAATGGCACCACATCGATCACTGCCTAGAGACTGTTCGCCGCGATGTTCTCTGTCACGCCGATACGTCTGCCACGACGTGGGAGTGGGTCGAGGCCTCGCAGATGACTATCCGCCCTGAGACGCAGCACATATGCCGGGACTTTGATCGGATCAGCGAATGGGCTTATGCTCGTCATGTAAAGGGGAACCAGAGGACACACGTCGAGAACGGCAAGATTGTCGACTACACGGGACTGCCGCCAAGCGAGGCGTGGAACAAGATCCAGGTACTGCCACCTGCCGATTGGGCTTATACAGTCGATGATCTATGACTTTAGGCTTTGGCTTCGCCTTGTCGCCTTAGAAAATTGAGGACCCATTTGTTTTGTACATACCACTATGTAAAACCCTTTTCTGCAAAATGATCAGACTGTATTGTGTGTTAACTACTTAAATCACTTGTGTGTGTTTGAAGCATGCAGTCTGAACAAGTCAGGCTTAAACTCTTCATGACACTTGTTCACAGTTCATTTATTTCATCTCTTGTCCATATCCATCATGACACTTCCCTCGTATGTCTACCACTTATGCAGGCCTGTGTGCCTCCTTCAATGCAGCAATCGCATCCGCATCATATTCTTCCTTCTTCTTCAACCCTGCAAAGGCCATGAACGTGTGCACCGATCCACGATATCTCTTGAGTGTCGTCTTGACCCCTGCTTCTATCAATTTTCTCGCATAGGCTTCGCCCTCGTCCCTCAACGGGTCACACTCCCCTGTCCGGATAAAGGCAGGACACAAGCCATCCCAGTTAGTCGCCGCCAGCGGCTCGAACCACCATTCCGGCCACATGGCGTGCAGCTCGTCGAGCTTGTCCTGCGGCTGACTCAGGCTGCCGAACCACCGGATGCTGGCCCACGGCAGCACAGGTCCGCGGTAGAACTCGTAGAGCGAATGGAAGGGCGACTCGCTGAGTTGCTTGTAGGCGAGGCCCTTGCTTGTCGACGGGACGGACGGCATAATGAGCTTAAGCGGGATCCCAGCGTCGCGCGCGAGGTGTGATACGATGATGGTGATGGTGCCGCCGGCCGAGATGCCGCCTAGGGAGACCGATGAAGGGTCGAGATTGAGGGCGGCGGACTCGGCGCGGGCCCACTTGAGCGCAGAGAAGGCGTCCTGGAAACATTTGCCCCAGACGGTTTCTGAAGGGAAGTAAGTCACTGTCAGTCACTCCCTTTCTTTTTCTTTTTTTTTTTTTTTTTTGTTCCCTTTCCCCGGCCCTCTTTTGGATGTCTGGGCTCATAAAATGCGTTCTAGAGGGGTGACATACCGGGACAGTGACGATAATTCACGTCAATGACCACAACACCTGCGCCGTCACACATGCTCATGCACAGTGTTGACTCACACGCCAGACTCCCGAGCACGAAACCGCCTCCTATACAGTGGTTAATCAGTCAGTGTCAAGCCGAAAGATGAAGAAAACACCTCACTGCTTACCATGAAAATTCAAGTGCACGGGATAGGGCCCAGGGCCATATTTCGATTCCTCAGGATAATAGATCCGGACAGGAATCAAAGCGCCATCGTCGGAAACGACCTCCTTCTCCACGGTGCGTGGGTACCCCTTGGTATCAAGGTAGCACGGCGGGGCCAGGAGCCTCTCGTCAGCCCGGATTGCAGGAATGGTTATCTTCTCGCGCGGCGGAGGCGGGTTCTTGTTTATCAACTCGGTGAACATGCTCACCCACTCCGGGTCCAGCTTGGCGAGTATGTGAGGGTCTATAGATTCCGCCGGGTCGAAGCCTGGCTTCTTGGTGGGTGCTGTCGTGGCCGCTGGGTGCTCCGGCAAGCTTGTTGTGTTTGACTCGGCCATTTTGGTGATGTGACTTGTGGTTTTCTTTGTTGTGTCGATGTCAGTGTGGTCACTCCACCATGTGTCCGTCCTCGAGATGCAGTTGAGGGCTATGGGGCCTAATTATATGGTCAGCTGCTAGTCATGGCAGATAAGTCCGACCCGAGGTAATCGGCTTCGAATAGGCCGAACTGCTGGAGGATTTGGAGGGGTACACCACTTTCTTGTCACCTTCACCAGATCTCACAGAGTCGTCCAAGGAGTTATCCATATTCCCAAAAGGGCTGTAGTCTCCAATGTATGTAACATAAGCAGTGGTTTCCAGATGTGGCTACTCTAAAATCTGGACATCTTTCTTTAGTTTATTTGATATCGCATTTGATTACCGTAAAGATGTGACTGAACCCATCCCTCTAGCACAGGAGCCCCGCAGCGCTACCCACTGTGATGGTTTGACATCAAACATGTCACTGGCATAGATCAGCAAGAATCACCACACATTCCGGCATACCCTTCATGATACGAAGTAGGGCAGGGTGAGTTGATAATACGGATATAGCCAAGCAGCCGCATGTTGAAGTAAACGCTGCAAGAAATGATCAACATTCTTTTTTTTCTTCTTTTTTCTTTTTTAACTCATACAGGGCCCCAAAAGGCACTTGATTCGTCGTTGTGTAACAAGCTCGCCTGCAAAGAAATGTTTCAAGCTCGGTACTCGCCGCATATCAGCGCACTGTCCATGACACACCGCTCTTGTTGGTCCCAGTAGATGAGTACCCAAGCGCTTCTGGCCCTTCCTCGACCTCCAAAGGGTCGAACTGCAAACTGTCCAGTGGAGCAGAAGCACTGTCAGCCTTCTCAAACAGCATTACCTTGGCAGTCTTTGCCCTCTCCTCCATCTGGGCGACCCTATGCAGTCCGTCCAGCACGCCGCCAACAGCGGGCCCTCGGCTCATGACAGCCAGAGTGCTTGATTTCCACACTGGGACAGCGTCAGAGTTTCCTCCACTTTTTCGGATTGTGAAAGCGAGAAAGAGGGCGCCGGCAACGATGACGAAGCCTTGGAGCGAAATCCATGGCCAAACAATTCGATAGAAGGTTGTCAGGACGCCCGTACTCCCAGACACTAAATTGCTGTTGTCATCAAAATCCTGATCTGCCCCTGCCCGCATTGCGTTGCTCATGCTTGCCGCCAGGGCCACGAACGTGGCGTTCAGATCCGCACTGGAAAAGAGAGCCTGCATCACTCCGGGCGCGTACTGTACGTTGGACGAGTTCATGTAGAATCCGTTCATCCTACCGCTTTTGCTTCCGTTGTCCGTTATGTTGTACTCGCGCAGTGTCGAAGCAAAGGCACCCTGGAAGTGCGAGCTGATACTATCGACGGCTGCCTGGGAGACGTTGAACTGGTCCCCAGTCACGGCAGACGAGAGTGCAAGGTCGGTTCTTGGGATGACAGAGAAGTAGCCGTTGAACTCGATGCTGTCGAGCATGGTACTGTTGAGCACATCTGCGTTGTCCTCGGGTTGCCACGATTCCTGGACTCGTGTGCTGTTCACCAATTCTTCTTTGTTCAACTTCAATGTGCCATTTGTCACCACAGACTCGTAGCTCTTGACGCAGTAGTGAAGCGCACACTCCATTGCAGACCGTGGAAGGTTGGGCCAGGCTGCCGAAGCATTGGCCGGGTCTGCATTTACCTCGATCATCGTCATGGACCAAATCAGCGTGGAAAGGTCCTGCATGGCGACGGTCTCGCTCGCGTTTCCCGTGCCCAGCGTGGTCATCATGACAGCGCCAAAGATGTCATCTTGGTCGACTGAGCCATACTGCCAGCCGTTTTGGTTATCTATATATAAACCATTCGACAACCTGAATGCCGTACCACCATCCAATGTAGTGGCGCAGGCTCCGTTGTCTGCCTCCAGGTTGCAGTACAGCGCACCGTCTGTGACCAGTCGTTCAAGTCTGCTTGTGAGGTCAACACATGTGCTGCAGATCGCCAGTGACTCTACTTCTGGCCAGCTGCAGTTCCCCGTCTGGCACTGGAAGGAAGTCTGCTGTATCACATTCTCGACAGGCTGATCGAGTCCGAAGAGAATAGCAGACTGCATCGAGAAATCTGCATCAGCGAAAGTGTTGGTAACGTTGGCCACATATGCTTTTCACAGTCAGCTAGGTTATCATGCCTTATACATGCAAAAGACATAATTACTTGATGATAATAGCGATAGCTGCATGCTGTATTCGCTCCCCTTCGAGTATCTGCCTGCTCGTGCGATGGTCGTCTCTGCATTGGCGCTGTACACCACGTCCTGTTTATATTGGACAAGCTGTTGACTGAACGGATCAACGGCGATGCTCAGCAACACGACCAACGCACCAAGTCGAAGGAATCCGCTATCAAGTAGTGTTAGCCACAGTGCACCGCATTATGCAGCCTCACACTCCCACATACATTGTCTTGCATCTCCAAAAGACGCTCAGACTTCCGAGCGGTCCCCGGCTCGCAGACTCGATCCATTCGAAATCCATCAACGGCCTCCTCCCCTTCGCGAAGAGCATCCATTTCCACTGGCTGATCAGTTCCGCGATAGCATACAACAATGCAGCCTTACTAGCCGTCGAGAGAACCGAGACGACCGCGTTTAGTGTGACACCGTTCCAGTCGAAAATTGGTTTCCGGTCGTACAGAGCGAGGACGATCGCAAGAGCCACCAGGAACAAACCAGAAGCCACTATGGCGACAGCCTCTGGAAGATAGGACGTCCAAGGAGAGACCTTCCCCGGCATGATGATATGGATGCAAATATAGCCAACAGTCACAGTTTATGCTGGATGCTTCTTGTGAAGGAAGAGACCGGGACCCGTTCTTATAAACCATGGCCATCATTCGAGGCGGTGTCCTAGGGCTGACTGACTGTGAAACTTACGATCCAGGTTATAGCCCTAAATAATCAGCCGCATACTCAGACGAATCGCTCGGACGCCTATGAACCTGTGAAATGTCTTAGGGCTGATTATGCCAAGGCTCTCACTCATCTACTTGGGTAGTATCGAAGCGCCCACCCCACTTCAGCTCGCTGAAGCCGGAGTCGTACACAACAGGCAGCAGGCAGGTGGATAGGAAGATTAAAAGTGAAATGCAGTTTGTGTCGCCTCTTATAAGGGCTACTTCTAAGTACGTAAAATATCCCACTCCAGGGCGATCTGTGCGGGAGAAACTGTGGCAATATTCGCACAGATCAGTCTTCATTTCTCACTCTCAGAGCCCGTGGATTGAATGCCGCCCCCTTTGCTGTCCACGGTTTCAACGCGTTCCGGCCCTGGCTCGTTCTCCCTCTTCCGAGAGATGCCGCCGACTACCAATGCAATCTGCTTCCAGCCGTCTATAATCGGGAAAAACCCTGCAACGATCATTGTACCCCAGACCCAAATAATGGACACCACGACCCAAGCGACGAAGAACTTGGGGCTGAAAATATACTCTGCCGCATACATGGGAAGAGGCCTGAAGTCATTGGCGTTAGAAATTTGGAAGCTGAAGATGATGAATGTGATTTGCACGCGAGAACAAGACAAAGAAGAGGAAGTGAAGGGAATCATGATAAAAGGGACGACTCACCAGAGCACCCAGTGCCCAAAGAAGGTAGCCAGCGCCCAAGCACTTGCAATAAAGCCCCAATGTTTCAACTTCGCCTTATCACTCGCATACGTCGAGGAAGCTGTCTCCTCAGCATGAGAGATTTGCAGGCCACCAGCGCTATTATCATGTGTAGCCTTTTCGAACAAGAGTTTCTCCTTCCTGAAATCCGCCCAGTTGAAGTTGGCTGGTCGGACCAGGGAGATGATGATCGAGTACACTGCAGGACTCAGGGCCGACGCCACCGTTCCGTAGACACACGGCAAGGTCTGGCCTGTGGCGGTAATGGTGATCTCCCCGTACAGGGAGTGTGCCGAGCCCAACCAGACAGCAAGGCCGGTGAAAAGCCCCAGGATTGGCGAGACGATGGCCGCGATTCTGGACTGCTTCTTCCACAGAATTGTGAACGTGGTTGGGAAGATTCCAGGACAGGTCAGAACGCCGAGCATGTACAGCGTCCAGCCCAGATCCACACTTCCATAGTACAAGGCCGTCGAGAAGGCGGCACTGAATATGCCAAAGATGACAACGCCGATGTGGCTCCAGTGGATGACGTCCTTGTCCGTGGCGCTGCGGTTAAAGTATTGTCGGTAGATGTCAAAAGTGATGATGCTAGACACTGCGATCACCTGGGCTGAGATTGTCGAGGTCACTGCCATGAAGGTGATGAGGAGCACAGCGGCTGCGCCTCCTTTGCCAGCGATGGCGATGGCCGCGTATGGCAGCACAAGACCGTTGGATACCTCAGTGGCAGACATCCGGTCCGGGTACGTTGGGAATCGTGGCGAAGGGATGTTCTCTAGCCCGAGCGCTGTCAAGGACATGATGGTTCCCAGACACCATGGAATCGCAAAATAGGCAATACCTCCGATAATATAGCCTGGCACAACAGCTTGAGGGGCCGCGCTGAAGGCTTTGGTGAAGAAACCAGTGTCCATGATCACCAGCCCAAAGTTGGCCAGGATATGGATGATTCCAAACAAAATGGCCTGGAGGGGAGAAAGGGTGAAATTTGATGATTAGCCGGACTGCAAAGAGTGATCTTGCTCGAGGCATTGTATTATTGCACTTACATCTTTGCTTGCCATGGTCAAGTACGAGCCGTCATGGTTACCTGACACGGGATGGCTTTTCCCGGCTGCTACCACCAGCTCGAACAGCTCACCGATGGACGTCACTTCAGGTAACGTGAAGGTCTTGATTGTGAAGAAGCAGATAATGATGGTGATGGTGAAGGTGTGAACATAGTCCGTCAGGAAAGTGGCCTTGATACCGCCAACGAAAGTATACAACACCACACTCGCGGGCAGCAGGAAGATGGCTGCAATGACTGGCATTCCGGTCCTGATATTCACAGCCATGGTGTCAGCTTGAAGAGTCTTAAGTAGAACATCACCATGCGAGAGACAACCCCCCCCCCCGGGGGGGGGGGGGGTGGAGGACATACAATGCTGAGATCGCAGCGCTGGCCCCAAGAAGCATATTGGCAACCGCAATGATATTGTTGATTAAACACAAAGCAATCCACACACCATGGGCCACCAGCCCATAGCGAATGCGAACAATTTCGAGGAGTGTATGGGCTTCCGGGATGCGCATCTTACACGCGATACCCAGCACAGCGAAAAAGACAATCATAGGGGAGCATCTATCGTATTTGAGGAAGGTTTGTCAGAATGGTTTTTCTTTTTTTTAAGCCATAGTAAGGTTTTAAACTGGACGATTTTGTGGGCTTGCTTACCCAGCGGCGAACCAAAATGGTCCTGCAACACCATAATTGTAGCCAACAAGACTGCTTCCCAACATGGCCGTGCTCCAAAGCCAGCTTGATATGACAGCGGACGCCGTCAACCCCGTGCCCACTCGGCGGTTCGCTGTCATGAACATTTCGGTCGTTCTATTGTCTTCTCCTACTGTCCTTCTCAGCAGGTATGTTACCAGAATCATCACAAAAGCGATGAGGAATCCCACTGCTACGACGACCGCATAGCCAGCAGCTTGGGGCAAGGGTGGCTCTATGCCACCCTCGCTTGCTCGAGACGAGATCAATGAGGCTGTCATAACATCGAAGTCGTCCAGCTCCAACACGTGGTGATGGAGTGTGTTAGACGGAGTGGAAAGATGACCTTCTCTGAAGAGATAATAATCGATTCGGGCACGTCAGGAATTCTTGTATTCCACTTCGAGACCCACTTACGAGGGTTTGAATGGATCGGATCTTCATAAAGTTTTTCAAGACTTCTTGCCAGAGTGTACGGCGCTGTGGTTGAAGAACCACCCTTAACGCCTAGTGAAGATTGTGCAATTGTAGGGTATAATTATCACATCCATTGCTTGAAGGCTAGAGACTGACTCGGATCTCGCAGAACGGCATACCGATTATGGTATGCATACGATAACCGATTTACATTTCCGAACGTGTGTGCGTTGGGTGCCAAGGTTATGTTCTTGATCGAGGTACTAGTCTGTGTGGATTGCTACTTATTAGCTTCAATCACGCCAACCTCCACCTCGAACGTTCAATGCAACTGCCCCTCCCAAAGTTGCGAACCCATACCACGTGCAGATGATGCACAAGGATTAAGTATGCATACGCGAGGGCATGGATTTAGTTATACTTTATTTATGATGGCTTCCTCCTCACTTTAGTCGAAGTATGAAAAGGGCCTCCCTCCGCGATTGAGAAAAGATAAGTATCTGAACCCTTGCGCCCCCGGCTTCATCCAACCAGACAGACGCCCCCCATTCTCATTTTGCGCTTGTCCACCTCCGCAATTGCGCTGAAAATGGCATCATCATCCGATGACCTGAAGACTGGTGAGGCTGGAAAGAAGAAGCTTATCATCAACGCCTTTGTCGAAACCTGCAGCGGGCACCAGTCGCCAGGTCTATGGAGGCACCCACGAGACCGGTCCTGGGACTTCAACAACGTCAAACACTGGGTCGAACTAGCGAAGCTGCTGGAGAAAGGCCACTTTCATGGCATGTTCATAGCCGATGTCCTCGTGAGTACACAATGAGAATTGGGAAGGGATTTCCCACCGATTTCATGTTCTAACAGCAAACATAGGGGGCCTACGATGTCTACAAGGGCCCTCAGAATCCCGATCCTGCTGTGATCTCGGGTGCGCAATGGCCTGTCAACGAGCCTCTTGCTGCGGTCTCGGCGATGGCGGCTGCCACCACGAACCTGGGATTCGGCGTCACTGTTGCGACTACCTATGAGCAGCCTTATCATCTCGCTCGACGCCTCAGCACTCTCGACCACCTGACTGGAGGTCGACTTGGGTGGAATGTTGTCACAGGCTATCTGGACTCCGCAGCGAGGAACCTGGGTTGTACGGAACAATTAGCCCATGATGAGCGATATGCGATGGCAGAGGAGTACATGGAGGTGATGTACAAGCTCTGGTAAGTTTCCGGCCCTCATTCTATTGTGTGGCAACTCAGCATCGGGACGTAAGACTAACAATCTAAAACTTAAAGGCAATCCTCCTGGCGCCAGGATGCCGTCAAGCTGGACCGTGAGAAAGGAATATACACGGATCCCAAACTCGTTCGCAAGATTAACCATGTTGGCAAATACTACACTGTTCCAGGCCCACATATATGCCAGCCATCCCCCCAACGAACACCAGTCATCATGCAGGCCGGGACTTCAAAGGCAGGCAAAGCCTTCGCCGCCCGTCATGCAGAGGCTATCTTCGTCGCAGGCCATAGTCCAAGCGTCGTGGCTAAGAATGTTGCTGAGATCCGAAGCATGGCGCGGGATGAGTTCGGCCGGGACCCCACAACCATCAAGTTCTTGGCCCTGTTGTGTCCTATCATCGCAGACACCCATGAGAAAGCAGTAGCCAAGTATGAAGAGTTTGTGAGCTACGGATCCGAAGATGGCGCGTTGGCTCTTTTCGGTGGCTGGACAGGCATCGATCTCAACACTTACGGAGACGATGAGGAGCTGCGCCATGTCGAGTCAAATGCCATCCGGTCTGCAGTCGAGGCGTGGTCCAAGTCTGCACCTGGCATTCCAAAGTGGACAAAACACACCGTCGCGAATCACATCAAGGTTGGCGGTCTGGGAGCCACCGTGGCTGGCACGCCCGAGGAAGTTGCGGATGAGATGGAGAGGTGGGTTAAGGAGGCCGACGTGGACGGATTTAATCTGGCATACGCTCTCATGAATGAGTCGTTTGTGGACATCATCGAACATCTCTTGCCAGTCCTGAGAAGCCGCGGGCTGTTCTGGGATGGGTATGCCGTTGACGGTGGCTCATATCGCGAGAATCTCTACGGCAAGCAGGGCACTGCACTGCCTCCGAGCGATCATATTGCTGCTACCTACCACTGGAAGGCAGAGGATTGAGAAATATGGATTAGAGGTCGCGCATTTTTCACGACGATGGTATTACAGCTTACAATACCACTCCATCACTTTCATAAGACAGATCTTGGAGACAGGTACGATAGTTTTTGTTGTGAAATTCTATCAAACAAGGAGGATTAGGATAACAAATACTTATTTCCTCAAGACATAAATCTATCAAATTTGAAGCAGGCATTTATGTGTTCTTTACGTGCCGCTACAAGTTACCATGTAATTAATTAATCGTAGCAATCCCGTACTCTTCCACTCGGAGCTGTTCATGCGGTCAGAGGCCTATCACCGGCGAGTGTCATAGACATATTCTTCGATACTACCGCTCTTTGACCTGGCTCAATGGCTACGTCTGGGCTTTCATTGACCTTCAAACCCAGAACCACAGCTTTTCGCTCACTGCTCAGGGGGTGGACGGGCACAAAAGCCCCAGCAACAGCCCCAAGCCCAGCAAATGCAACATACTATTACGGCAAGTTTTGGTCAGCTCTCAGTTCTGATAGACAGGAATGTCATTGGAAAAGTACTGACCATGATCCAAGTGGCCCTCAAAGACTGCGCCATTGCTTTTCTCACCACCGTTCTTTGGTCAGGGGTTAGAGACTTGATGAGTTCGACATGAGCAGCGCCCTGGCCACCGAGCAGTTGCTCGGCAAGGTTAAGACCCAAGACAGCGACTAGTTGCTCAACGTGTCGGTTCATGATATTTGCGTAGACGACACCCCCCACGCTTATCGAGATGGCCGATGACATCGTTCTCATGAATCCGAAGGTTGTAGTCCCGATGGCGATGTCTTCGATGTTGATCGCTGCCTGGACAGCGAGCAGCGGGCCCTCGAGGTTGAGGCCGACTCCAATCCCAGCAACTAGCTGGTAGAGGATCAGTTTGACCCAATTCACCTCGTAGTCAAGGTCCACAAGGAGGCCAACACCAAGGATCATGATTGCCGAGCCAAGGTATACGGAGTATATGTACTTTCCCGTTCGTTGGATGGAGATGCCAGTAATGGCGGCCGTGAAGCTGATACTCAAGACGTATGGCAACAAGTATACCCCGGATAGTACAGGATCTGACCCAATGACAGCTTGAAAGTAAAGCGGTAGATAATAAGCGATACCAAGAAAGACAAAGCCGTGGCAGAAACAGACGACGAAACTTGCTGTGCTTGACCATGTCCGAAATAGCCTTGGAGGCATGATAGGTCTCGTGGCAATATACTTTTCGTTCAGCATAACCAAGCCCCAGGTGGTCGACCCAAAGCAAATGAGGCAGATGACAGTGGCGGACTTCCATTGGTAAGAGTTGCCTCCGAAAGTAAGGCCAAGTAAGAGCATCAAAGTGCCACCCAGAACTAATGATGCACCAGACCAGTCGATGGCCTTAAGGCCGCTCCAAATTGGCGTTCTTGGAGTTTGCAATTTGAGGTTGAAAACAAGCAGCAGGAATACCGATCCAGTTATTGGCACTTGAAAAATTGGTCAACTTTCATTGGCGTAAAATTTAGAAAGGACATTCAACATACGGTTCAGATAGAAACACCAGCGCCAGCTGAGGCACAAGTCAGTATGAATAATCAATGGAAGACATTATAAATAACAGAAGAACGGTGCCGACTTACGTCGTTTCTTGAGAGAAAACACCTCCTAGGACAGGTCCAATCCCAGCCGCAAATGCCCAAGTGACAGACGTCAGGCCAAAGTATAGACCACGGTCGCGTAATGAAAACAGGTCGCTAATGCAGATGTTTACCAGATTTTGAAGCCCCGCGGCACCGATACCCTGCACAGCGCGTCCAGCAAGGAATGGGGGTAGAGTCTCGACAAACGAACAGAGCGATGAGCCAGCAAAGAAAATCGCGAGGACAAGCAGCAAAATGGGCTTCCTGCCCCAGATGTCAGAGACCTTCCCCCACAGCGGCGTCGTGCTGGCGTGGGCAAGGACATATGAACTGCCAATCCAGGTGTATCCCGAAGCGGAGCCAAAATTATTGGTGATAGTGGGTAGGGCATTCGCAACTATGGTAATGTCGAGGGCAGCAACAAAGACGCAAGCACAGAGGCAGGTCATGATAATCGTAGTTTGAATGGAGCTCAGCCTTGCTGGTTCAGAGACTGGAATTTCGTCTTCATCTCTTTTCGTTCCGTTGCGTGTAAGGTTGCAAGTATCAAGTTCTTGATTTGGGATGGCAGCAATTGACTGGGCAAGATGCTGTGTCTCAAGGGTGATGGGTGCAACCATTTCGACGGACTCGATCGTCTGGCTTGCTGGTAAAGCCTCCATTGTATCGACTGATGCAGAAATAGCACGTTATAAGAAGTGTCTTGAAAATAATTATTTTGAAATATATCGAGGATTTTATAATTCAGAAGAAGGCGTGAAAGTGATGGCAAAGTATTGAGGTAGTGACACGAGACGTTCTGATTGGTCGAGCTAGTTTCCTAGAAGGATTGCTGTGTCGGCGATCCTTTGGGGATAAGATTTGACCTGGGTAACGGGTGGCCCCAGCACTTCGATTCCCTCGGTCCTCTGCTAACCTTGGAGACTGGCTGTGAGCCGCGGCGCTTGATTCTCAACAACACCAAAGTTTCAACGTCGGAACCTCCGTAATTGATATTTGCAGTGTGAACAAATGATGTGAAAGAAATGACACCATTATCCTATCTAAAAGTAGGTCCGTCTCATCCCAATGACATGCACAGTGCATCGGGGTTCACTGATATTCTCAATTGCGGCCCGCTGTCTCAACTATCTGAACGGATATGCGGTGCCCAGCACCGTCAGCGTAAAATGTATGAACAATTGTGTCCTTTTCAATGTGACTGAACGCCAGGGTCCATATAGGCGCTAAAGGAAGAATGTCAACCTGTAGCAGGGCTGTTCATCACTTCCCAGAAGCCACAAGAGCCTGACATTCTCAAAAATGCAACCAGGAACAGCATTGCCCAAGTGTTCAATTAGGCATCATCAAGTAATCAGTTAATATGCTGATAACTCCTAAAGACTCAACAGCTAATTCGCATCATCCATTGGCATTGTGCCGTGGAACTTGCCCAAATTCTCGTCGTTTGCGTTAACATCTTTGGGCGTCGGTGTAGTGAATACTATATGATTACATTGAAAGTGCACGCTGAAGCTCTAGAGAGAGCATTTCTACAGTCTGCAAGCTGCGACTTGGAATCGCGTAGTCGACACCTCTGCATAATTGATGTGTTATTCATGCAATCCCAAGGTTGATGCTACTTTACGTAACCAAAGACCCCCTCCCTTCTGTTTTTTTTATTTATTTTTGAAATCATAAAAAAGACGCCGATCGCTCTTTTCGTGTCGAGCAGACTCAATTTTCTTTTTTTTCAAAATGCCTGCTGCAGCAGAGGCTTGTCTGTCTTCCGACGACCTCAGGAGCGGACGAGGTGAGTTACGTGCTAATTACAATGTTCCATAAAAGGATGGATTGATGCCAGGTTTGATCACGGCCACACCTCTGGCGCCGTCAGCAAAGCTGAAGACTGAGAATAACAAAAAGCTAATATTTCTGACGCAGGACACACAAAGTTATCATATTGGGTGAGGATTCTGGGATATTAAAGCACGGCATATGAGTGAGGTAGTTGTCAATTGTCGCGAGTCTACCGAGGCATGACCGAGGACTCGTGGCCCCTCGGGCTGGCTGAGCCAAAAAAGAAGGCTCCGCAGTCGAACCGTTCTAAGCGTTCTGTGTAGCTCGCGGAATTTAGAAATACAACGTGGAAGCAAACCTGGTCCAGGGGGGGGGGGGGGGCAACATGCCGTTGTTCAGCGACCACAGCCATTCTGCCCCTGCAACCGCGACGGTCACCTGGTGCAAATATGATGTGAAAATCAGCACATGAAGGATTAAGGATGCAGAAGAGCTAAGCAACGAGACAACATAAGACATAGGGAATACTTTAATGAAGTTGTTCCTGCCCATCACGTGGAACCTGCCACGCTGCGTAACTCCGTCGGGCCGCCCAGTACGTCGGCAGAGCATTTTCCCGGGGAAGGCCGCATATGGGCCCATCTTTCTCATAGCGGTATTTGGACCCGCGGGGACTACGATTGTGATCGGGCCCAAGATTTGCAGGCCGGGGAAACCCCACAGATTCTGTTACTACTATGGGATGGTCGTCATCTGGGGTAAAGAGAGGCATAAATATTCACGCAACTGCTCAAAGGGATTGCCGCCCACGTCTCTTGTTCCTTGTTTGGCCCTACTTTGTGTCCCAGCTCATACCTGTACAGTCAAATCTGTAGCTCAAGGACGAAGCCTCTCAAAAAATGGGTATCAACAAGGACCTTCACATAGCCATCATCGGCGCAGGTAAGCTATCGTCCCCAAGGAGATCCCCCGTGCGCGTGCAGTAAATGGACATTCATGAAGGATCTAACATGTTCTGTTGTCTGTCGCAGGCATGGGTGGCCTCGCCACGGCCCTGGCGCTGGCGAAGGAAGGTTTCACGCATATCGATGTCTACGAGGCTGCTTCAGACCTCGGCTTTGTGGGTGCTGGTATCCAGCTGGCTCCCAACATGGCCCGCATCCTGGACAGGCTAGGCGTCTGGAAGCCAATCGCAGCTGATGCGACCAAGATGGAAGGGGCAAGCATCAGAAGTGAGTTTTCCTCATCTCATGTTATACGGGTCTACCTGTTACGTCTAGAACGAAACGGAACGAAACAGGGGCAGGACAGGACTGGCAGAGAGACTCATCATGGCTAACCACATCCTAAAACAACCAATAGAGGGTGCAACAAATGAGGAGCTGGCATATTCTAGCATGATGTGGATCCCCGAGGCGTATGGATATCAACACATGGTGGGCCACCGCGCGTCACTTGCCGGTGAGATCTACGAGGGAGCCAAGCGGGAGAAGGCCATCAACTTCAAGTTTGCGTCTCCCATCACAGAGGTCAAGACCTTCTCGTCGCGGCCAACCTTTGTTGTATCTCCGAGGAAAGGAGGAGGTGAGCCGTACACCGTGGAGTGCGACGTGCTGCTCGGCGCAGACGGCGTCAAGTCACAGGTGCGGGTGTCGATGCTCAAGGAGCTCAAGGTGGACGGCAAGGTGGTCGACTCAGGCCAGGCGGCGTACAGGATCATGCTCGATAGGGACCAGATGAAGGACGACCCTGAGCTGCTGGCGCTCATCGACGGGAACCAGAGCACGCGGTGGATCGGCGAGAAGAAGCACATCATCGCCTATCCGGTATCATCAAAGACCATCTACAACATCTCCACCGCACATCCAGACACCAACTTTGCCGCCGCCCCTGACGAGACGTACACGACGAGGGGCAGCAAGGAGTCCATGCTAGCCGTGTACGACGACTTTGCGCCCATCTGCAAGAAGATGCTCAACATGGTTCCCGAGGCCGAGGTCTGCGAGTGGAAGCTCCGCGTGCACCAGCCGCTGCCCACCTGGGTCCACGGCACCACGGCCCTCATCGGCGATGCGTGCCACCCTACACTGCCCCATCTCAACCAGGGTGCGGCCCAGGCCATCGAGGACGCAGCCGTCATCGCCATCGCCCTTGCAAGGACGCCAGACGCGAGCCCAGAGAGTATCAACAAGTCCCTGAAGGTGTACGAGAAGCTGAGGAAGGAGAGGGCTGAGGCGTGCGTGGCGATGGCTGCGGCCAACGGCAAGGAGATGCAGCTTGGAGATGGTGCTGCCGCCGCCGAAAGAGATGCCGCCTTCAAGGCCTTCAAGGAGAACGGCGAAGGCAAAGTCCCTGACAAGGCTGCAGACAAGGGCGTCCTCAGCTTCATTTATGAGTGGGATGCGTCCAAGGAGACGGAGAAGCAGTACGAGAGCATCTTCCAAAGCCTGTAACTAGTCAACAGTTATACCATGTCTTCAATAGAGGAATAAAAATCCGATGCAAACCAAAAGCGTGTAAAGACCCTCGGCATCGTATGTTCATAATCTAAAGAGGCATGTGAAAGACTGGGCCCCATTTCTGAGGAAAGATCTATAGCATATTCCAGTTTTGCGTTGCTTGTTGCAAAGACACAGGCTCTCAACTTGAGCTGTTATGTCAGTTTCTATTCTTCCTGCTTTTACTAGCATCTCTTGTTTTTATAATCAATAAATGTAGTCGTAATCCAATTTTTGTTTCATCCCTATCTCTTTTCCACCTTCCAATTTTGTTTCTGCCCTTCTTCTATTGTGTCTCGCTCAATTATGTTTATTATGTGTCATCTGCATTTATTTTGATTCTGCCTCTGCCTACACTTGCCCTTCCTCGATATCCTGCCACGGCAAACAGCCCTTTGGAGTACAAGGTAAGAATGATTGTCCTACATCTGCTAGCCGAACCTCAATTACGACCTCGGGAACGTTGGGCAGAATCGTAAGACGCTATCCTATGTAGGGGACCAATTGAACTCGCAAAGGACATTACATCAATGATCAGCTTCGTTAGCAAGACCGGGCACGGCTGCATCTTGGACCATATGCGAAGGCACGTGGCTGGTGGTACTGCCCATCCTGCTGACAGTCATCCTGAAGGAACCGGCGACAGGCTGCTAATGCGCCAGCGAGGCAATGTGGCAAGAATTATACCTGAGATCGGCACCCAAAGCTGGGCTGGGCCATCAAGCTGTCTAACACGGGCGCATCAACAGGATGCAAGTCCCCCCTCTCCGTTTTCCGGAAAACAGCAATAATAATTATTAGATACATACAGCAGAGGTGAGTATAACACTCGCCCAAGTAGCCTCCTACTGGAATACAGAGTGACACACAATATTCGGATAAAGAAAAGGCAGAACAGTGACCGAAATATACTGCTGTACGGGCGCATACACACACACACACACACACACACACACACACACACACACACACACACACACACACACACACACACACACATCTTGAGGCGGAAAAAACCGACTGGCTGGCTAGTTGGCTGCGAAGGCCTATTGGCCACTGCAGCCCTACCCGGATGTAGCGATGCCATCCATCAATGCACCCCGCGTAGAAGAGTGTGGTGGGTAGAAATCAACATGCATCGTCTGACATCTGGACCGAAGGGACACGAAGAGTAGCGAATCAGTAGGTGGCCGAGGGCAACCGGACGGACAAGATGTAACCCAAGGCCAGAGCCAGGCCAAGCCAGACAGGCCAGATGCAGTCCAAGCCGCCTTGTTTCCGCACCTCCTCTACACAGTACATTCACATAACCGCCCCATAGAACACGCAGAAGGCGCACTAAGTCCAATGGGCAAATGCAATGCAGGTCGAAACGAATTCGGGAAAGTGTGCGTTTATCCGTAACGCAAGGGCTGCAAGAAGCCCTGAGATGGCGAAAAACAAAAAGTGACAGGTAAGCAGAACATCTTGTCGGGCTTCCACCTTGGGCATGTGAGGAGGGCCTGGTCGGGCGATCATCCTAATTGCCCCAGTGTTCCCGTACAGAGTACTACGCTGCGCTACGTTAGGATTCAAGTTTGCTCGAGAGCTCGGGCACCAACGGGCCTGGCCTGACTGTACCGTAGTGCCCATAGTAATGTCTTGGGCAACCACTGCAAAGTGACTCAGCTCGTGGCCCCACTGCTGTTGCCAGTCGCACACATACTATAGGTCGTTGTGTCCTTTATGAGCCGATTGACTCGGATTGAGGTACCATCGTACAAGATAAAATGTGTGGCTGGTTGGGACCGGCCTTCAGGCCAACCAGGCACAACCCAGAAGGACGCCAAGAAGGAGTACGAATGGTAGGACTTATACGATGATCATCATGATGATACTTCTGCAGGAAGAAGGGAGGCGTCCAGCCCTTGCCATTTCGTTTTCCGGTTTTCCAATGAACTGGGCGACAAGAAGCCCGTGACAATAACACTGATCACGCCTGTCAGGGCCCAGACCCTGTCTGTGTAAGCCATGTTGGGGCGTTGGGACGGGAGAGCACAGGTTCGGGAACGAGAGGAGAAGAATGAAGGGCGAGAACTGTGATCTCTTCTCTTTTCGCCACTCCACACACAAAGATCTTCCCCTTCGTCTGCCACCAATAAAGTTGCTTGGATGCAGAAGATCTGCGGTAGGAAAAGGAAGTCGCCCTTCGAAACTCTGACCGTCCACGTTGAGCCAATGCCCTTGCAAGTGGGGCTGGGTTTTCCGCTCAAGCGACTGCAAGAGAGTGGATTTTTCCAAGGGACGAGAAAATCGGGTCACTTGATAGTGAGTGAGGAGCCAGCCTCCCGAGTCATAACAAAAAGGAAGAAAAAAACTCCACTACAAATCTACGATACACAATTTTGCCCCGTGCTTTCGTCTGATTATATGATATGGGGGTTTTCTACGTTTTCAAGATCTGACTGCTCCTGGCAGATACGGGTCAAGACTCTTTTCTTGACACTCTGCATTTCGCATGTGGAGTGATTTCTGGCGTGGTGATCTCTTCTCGGCCCCAGACCAAGATCTTGGGCGGCAGGGCGGCCACCATATTTCCACTGCTATGTACTAAGTAGTGTACCGTATACCCATATTACCGCAATTATGGAGCACATGCCGCAGTAGTAGTACCACACTACGTACAAGGCAGTACGACTGCAGCCAACCCGTGAACAGCGTTCCCCTGCTGGTTTGACACCGCTGTAGCACGGCACAACCCTTGTTCATTGGTGCCCAACGGGCTTCAACTCCCTCCCTCGGGAGTCACTGGCGAGAATGTGTGTGTGTGTGTGTGTGTGTGTGTGTGTGTTGCTATTGCTACCATAGTACTCTGTCACCCAATGTACTGCTGTACGTACCATGCAATATGTATGCATGCAAATGCAGGATACTCGCCCCCTTCCGGAACCACACAAACGAGCGAGCGTGTACAGAGTACGTGCTACCGTAATACTCTGACCACCAGAAATTCATGTTACTTGCTCAAGGTCAAATTCTGGGTTGCGCCTAAAAGCTTGTCTGGTCGTCTGGTCTTGCCCTGCATTTCCGCCCCTCTTAATGCTGCAGCTCGCCTCACTCTCTTTCAGGAATCTTTTCGCTGCTCATCACCTTCTCGACAAAACTGCTTGCTTGCCCACCAGCAACTAAAAAGGAAAAGAAGAAAAATAACACACCCTGGACTTATTTCCCCAGAAACATGAGCATCAGGTCCTACCGATTTCACTATCCTCACCCCAAGCGATACAGAGACCGCTGAGTGCGGCAACAATACAGTACGACGATTGGGATCAACGTAATCTACAAACGATCACACCACACCACCACCACCATAAACGCAGGCCTTCTATCCCGTGCTTTTTCGGAGGCAGGCCTTCTTATCCCACTTCCTTCCCTCACTCACCATCATGACATCTCGACAGCCACAACCCTGGGAATACCCAACAACCATGGACCCCTACAGACAACAACAGCAGCAGCAGCAACAACAGGGAGGTGGAGGAGGAGACAGAGAGAGGACACGCCATCAGAAGAACGATGGAGGAGCAGCCCACCACAGTTCTGCTGAGCAGATCTCAAGACCTCGCCAGAACAATGTGTCGCCCCCAGCCTATCCTTCAACATCGAGGACCGTACAGCCTGCGGTGCGACCATCTGTCGAACTACCACCACCAGTTGCTTCTGCTGCTGCTCTCCCTCCAGTTCGTCCATCATACGGGCTCGAGCAGTACGGTTCGCAGTCGTCACACAACAACCTTCCCCAGGTTCCCTCGCGTCATGCTTCTACAGCTGCTGCCACACCATCGAACAGCAGCAGCAACAACAACTCACAACAGCAAGGCCTGTTCCGAAACCCGCACGGCATTCGAGAGGCACCCACCCCATACTCCGTGTCTTCAAACAGGACACGCCCTACTTCGATGGTCTTGCCGTCCACCTCGAACCTGACCCAGTTCGGTCTCTCAGGATATCACCACGGCACCACGACTAGCAGCAGCAACCACTCACAGCCACCTCCACAGCAGATGCCAGGTGCCTTTCCGGGTGACATTGCTGCCCCCTACCGGCGGCCAACCGACCTGAGCACGCAGCTGTACATGTCCAACGAGTCGACGGACCACGTCTCATCCAACTCGGACAGTTGGGACTCGGAAGGAGACAGTGTGTCCAACCTGTCGACCAGCACGGCTGCCACGACCATCGCATCAGATATCGGTGGTAAGGATGAGATGTACGCGCACTCTACGACACCGACGCAGGCGGCACTGGTCTCTTCTGGATCCTCCACCCCAAGACAGGAGCGCTACTACGAGGAGCCTGAAACATCTCATCAACGACAAGCCCCGCGGGTGGCTCCTACTTCTATCCTGCGCCATGCCAGTCAGAAATCGGTCGTGACTACAAGCAACAAGAATGTGTCCACTTCCTCTTCCTCCAACCGAGACTTGTCGTCGTCGTCATCGTCATCGACCACCAAGCGAAATGGCGCCTACAGCAGTGGACCAAGCATTCATATTGAAGTTCACAAGCCCACAACTTCGTCGTCAGCGTCGTCATCATCACGGGGAGAGAGCTCCAACGATGCTCGCATGAGACAGAAGATCGAGGAGGTCCTACTCGACAAGATCGAGCAGCTGAGAACGGAGGCTGTCAAGCCTACCACTAAGGATGTTCTCCAGGCAGCAGCATCTTCTTCTGTTGGCCCCAAGCAAAATCTCACCGTACGATTTGCCGAGCCTGAACAGGCACATCAGCAGAACCAGCAGCCTTCCAAGCTGGACCAGCTACTATCCACCATGACGTCCGAGAAGGAGAATTCCCTCGGCAGGGAGCTTGTGCTGCAGGGCAAGGAGATCAACAAGCTGGAGAATGAGCTGGAGAAGCGCGACCAGCTAATCAAAGAGAAGCAAAAGGCCGACGAGGAGAAGCGGCTGCGGGAGGAGCGTGTGCGGGCCGACCGCGAAAAGGAGCGCGAACGAGATCGTCAGAACCTCGAGATTGAGAGGCGGGAGGCCCAGAAGAGCCAACAGCTCGAACAGGAGAAGCGCGAGAAGGAGCGACAGCGGCTCGAGCGCGAGAAGAAAGAGGCCGAGAAGGCGCAGAAAGCCCTAGAAAAGGAACGCGCAAAGGAGCGTCAGCAGGTGGAAAAGGAGCGCAAGGAAATGGAGGACCAAAAAGCGAAAATCGATAAGGCGCAGCGAGAGCACGAAAAACTGCAAGCCTCCTTTGTCGACCAGGGCAAGATACTGGCAGACCTGAAGGGCCGGTTCGACGAGCAGACGAAGACACTCAAGGCTAGCGAGACGGAGCGCAACGAGCTTCGCAAGGTCAAGAGCGAGTTCGAGCACAAGTGCTCCGACCTTCTCAAGAGCCTCAGTCACGTCTCGGATAAAGAGAGATACGTCGTTGAGCAGGTGGCCTCCCTGCAGATCATCAAGGATTCGTTGCAGAAGCGCGTTGGACCGCTGGAGGAGCGCGTTTCCAAGTTGACGGCCGAGAATAGTGAACTTCACACGGGGCACGACAGCCTCATGAGAGACACAAAGACTTACTTGCTGCGCATCACCGAGCTCGAAAAGGAGATGAAGGGCTCCATCGAGGAGCAACGCGGTCTTCACACCAGAATTGGTGACCTCGAGAAGAGAAAGTCTCAGCTCAAGGCCGAAGTCAAAGGTCTTCAGGAAAAGGCTGCAGGCCTCGAGGCCAATCTTGACTCGCGCGCAAAGGACTATGCGAGCCACATCGCCACTCTCAAGGACGAACACAAGACACAGATGGACATCAAAATAGCCACTCTGCAAGCTGAGCATAAAGCCCAAGTCGATGACTTCCAAGAACAGATCGCCGGCCTGAACGAACACATCGATGGTGCCCACGCCGACATTGACAGTCTGAAGAAGGAAATCAAATCCCTCGGATCAAACCTCACCGGAGAAAAGTCTAAGTGCAACGCTCTCACTGCAGAGTGCGATCGCCTGGCCGTCGACCTGGACAGTCACAAGACTCTGGCTGTCAACCAGGAGGTGAACATCCTCAACCTGCGCGACGATATTGCTCGCCGCAGCGACGCACTCGCCAAACTCCAGGAGGTGAACAAGAGCCTCCAGGCTGAACATGAGGAGCTGCAGAAGCTGGCAGATGAGTTTGACGGCCGCCAGACCAAGCACCAGTCCGAGTACAAGGACCTGCGCACCGAAAATGGCGAGCTCAAGGCGGCCAAGAGCGTCCTCGAGGCCAAGAATGCCGGTCTCGAGGCGTGTCTTGTCGAGGCGGCACGCGCTGCTGCAGGTGTCGGGCCAACTGCTGCTGCTGCTGCTACTGCTGGACAGACGCAAAAGGAGGACAAGACCACCACCACTGCCAAAAACAACACAGCTGGACAAACCGCGTCCAAACTAGAAGAAGAAGCAGCCAAGGTTCCGAAACTACTCTCTGAAAAGGCCGCCTTGGAGGCCGAGAAGGCCAGTCTAGAGGTCAAGACAGCTGGTCTTGAGGCAAAAGCAGCTGATCTCGAGGTCAAAGCTGCAGTCCTCGAGGCACAGGTGACTGAACTCCCGACCCTCCGCGCCGACAATGCTAGACTGGTTGAGCAGCTCGCAGCAGCCAACAAGCTCATCGAGGGTCTCACTGCCGCACAGGAAGCTGGGCTCAACTTCTCTAACAACCCTGCCGTTGTCTCGCCGCTGGCGACACCGCTTAGCCCGACGTTCCCTGCTGCGATGCCCAATGGTGGTGCTGCTGAACCCGAGAAGCCGCGCAAGACGCGAAGCAGGGCGCCTTCGATGGTCCGGAGCGTCTCGTCCCGGTCATCGTCCACCAAGAAGACAGGAGTCAAAGATGACATCGCCCTCGTGATGGTCCGCAAGCCTGGAGAATGGGGCAGCGTGCAGGTAATTCGCAAGACGGACCTGCGGGCCCCGAGAAGTCGTTCACAAGGTCCAGACCAGGAGCCACTGTAAAGAGGAGGAGAGGGAGGTGGATAATAATGGTAAAAACAATGAAGCAACTGGTTGACTGATATTTATTTATTGACGAAGATCACGATGGGATGAGATATTATGAGTGTGTTGCAAGCGTGGTTGGCACTGATGTTCCCTATGGGACACTTTGAAGTCATTCGCTTTCTTTTCTTCTTTCCTTATCTTCTTATCTCTGTTTCTTGGTCCGTTTGCAATCATATCTAGACTTGCATGGCATGGCAGCATGGGTTCATGTTACTCACATGTAGACAGACAAGCGCATCGCAAGATCAACACGTACTTATTTCACAAAGCAATGCATCATCATTCACAGTATCCTGTCTCTCACTGACCTGTCCATCTTCTTCTCAGGACTCCCGTCTTACTGACATTGTACAAACACGCACCCATGCTAGGAAGGTCATGATGCCCTGGATATGCTATCACATTCAGAGTCGGCGGGGTCACCCCAATTGAGGACGTACCCGCTGAATGCTCGTCGACCCGAAACTTTAAAATGCCCTCGGCTCGTATTTGATACTGAAATTTCTTTGCCCTGCTCCATAGGTTTCGAAATACAAATCTGCTGACAGGATTGCGTGTTTGTATAAGAAGCTTGTCATCTCACTGCAAAGTTCCCTTCGCTCCAGAACTCTTTCTGTTCATGAAATCCGCCAATCCCTTTTTGTCATCTGAGGTCAAGCAAACAAAAACGGTCAAGGGCTTACTTTCAGGCCTAGTAGCGTGACCGGGCCGCTGTAGCGGTTCGTTTGCAGCCTCAGTCCTCCTCTCCACCCCCACACAGAGCAAACGCAAACGCCCCATCGGAGAGACTTTAAATCGTTCTTACACCCGTCTTTTCTGCTGTCCCTCTCCCTTGATCTCCTCTTGAATCGTTCTTACGCCCCTCTTTCTGCTGCCTCTCTCCCTTCATCTCCTCACGTTTTACCAGAAAGCATGGCTTCCGTTTCTTTTAACTTCAAGACCATCGCCACCCTCCTCATTCTTGGAGGGTGCAGTGCCTTTGGTGCATATGCTACCATCGGAACGGGACTTAGGACGGGTCTATTTGCAGCCCTGCGCAAGGGTGCCGGTCCGAAAGTCGCCGCAGAGAGCAAACGCTACCTGGCCGGTCCCGAGCCCTACAAGACGACCTTTACTGGTCTTCCATTTATCGACAATCAGCTCTGCACCCTGGTTGGGTTCTTCACTGTCCTGCTAGATGGCCCCAAGACACTGGACGTCTCTTTAGTCTCGTGGTATTTATTTACACAGTTACTGGCCGGCTGGATCCTCGTCTCGCTCGAGGGTCTTCGCCAGGGCAACCAAGGTCGTATCGTCAGCCGGTAAGCCTTCTTTTGTCTCTCTTCTCTCTCTCTCTCTTCTCGATCATGACACCATCTTACAGTTCATGTACTGACTGCCACTCTTCTTCTGCTTTCTTCTGCAGGACGGGCACACTTGGCTTCATCTTCCAGATCATCACGTTCACAGTTGCAGTTCCCATCTGGCTCATCATCCACGTCCTCACTTCCCCCCTCAGCCAGTCGACCCCATCAGCAAATGCCTTGGCTATCGACGTGCAGGATCTCTACATCCTGCCCAAGGTCGTCTTTAGCGCCTTCGTCCTTCCCGGCTTCTTGATGTTTCTACCTTCCCCGGACTATGTTTCAGCAACCGCCCACTACAACTGGCAGGCTGTCTGGCAGGTGTTCCCCGTCGCCCAGAGCATTTACCACTGGTTCTATAAGCGGACCACGGCGCTCATCGACTTCAAATCATCCAAAGCCCCCGAGCAGCTTAACGAAATCTACCGCTTCGTGCTTATCTTGTCTTTCGTCCCCCAGACGGCCCTCCTCGTTCTAGCGGCCACACCGGCGCATCTTGTCCCGCACGCAGTCGAGTCCTTCATTCCGGGCATCACCCAGGGCATCGTCAGTCAGATTGACATCACAAAGGCCTTCATTCCTGACTTGCCATGGGACTTGCCCATAGTCCACGGGGCTGAGGGGGTGGACGCCGTCTCTGTCAGTGTGTTGGTGAAGCAGGTCAAGATGTTCCTTCAGTGGGATATCTACTGCGGCGGGCTGGCCCTCCTTACCTGGTCTGCCTTTGTATATTCAGCAGCTCTGCCGGGGAAGGCCTTCCTGTCGACCACACTGCCAAAGGCTCTGTGGGCCACGGTGTTTGGCGGTCCCGTCGGTGCTGCTACCCTGCTCCTCTGGGACAGGGACACGGCTGTGAGGGAGCGTTCGACCGTTGCCAAGCCTGTGGTAACCGTCAAAGGTGGCGAGAAGAAGAAGAAGGTTGCTCTCTAAATTTTGCGTGTAGTAAGGTGCTGGGCTGTCTGCCCCTCTGGCACCTCCTTTGCTCATGGTGAGGCATGTTGACACTATATCTGGTCACATCGTCGGCGAACTACACCTGTATACGTATGAAGAAAATCTCCACTAGCTCTTTAATCCAGTGCACACTATCGAACTACACTCGAGGTTATGTGATCCTGAAGCAGTGCTTAGATCAGGCTCTCGTCACCCAGTAGACTTTTCATGCCTGTGTACTCTCTGACTCTTTCAAAAATAGCCGCAGCCGCATGTCTCTGCTGGTCTGTACTGATGTCCTGAAGCAAGTCACCCTTGAAGATCTTGATAGGCCACAGAAGAAAGTAGGCTCCAATGGCTCTACACCTCGGCGCCAGCGACTGCGATCGTCTAACATGACCCGTGTGGTCTATATCGCCCATCATTTGAGGCACAGTGGCTAAGACCTTGGTGACCAAGCTGCGAATGATGGCCACGCTTTCTGCCTCGAGGGGTATCAGGAGCGACGCTACGCACGTGGACTCCTCATCGTCTCCGGTACTCAGCATCGCAGCCCGGTGCAGACAGGCAAGAAGCTGCTTGTGCATCAGGACGCGAGCTGTGTGGTGGTAGTCCCACTCGTACGCCGTCCAGATGTCAGGGTGGATATGAATTGTGTCGGGAAACGTCGACAACACGGCCTCGTCGCCCGCGAGATCGGACGTCTTGAGAACGGCGTAGGACCACTCGGGCCCCTGTCTCCATGCTACGGCCTCGCGGTCGAGACTCTGCATCTCCCTGACGAGGTTCAGCAGCTCTGTTGCTCCTCGCTGCTCCTGGTCCAGGTTCTGAAGGGCTGCTCTCAGGGCCCGCCCCTTGGCACACAAGCTGGATATCCGACTCGCATCCCTTTCTAGTCTGACGAAGGGCATCTGGTCGTTCAGGTGCTCGAACAGCTCGTCTATCACTGGGACGGGCGGAAGATTGAAGGCTAACGCCTGTTTCTGCAGCCGATGATGTGCGAGGCGGAACAGACTCCATCCGCGAGCGTCGTAGAACTGATCGTGCCCCCTCTTGCGAAGGATCTGCGCCATGCCCTGGGCATGACAGCCTTTGGACACGTTACCAGGGAGGAAGAGGGTCTGTAGAATGGTGTCAGAAAATAGTAACATGATAGAAATCGCGTCGACTTTGATAGTGAAGAAATACTCACTTCGAATATGTCCAGTATTACTACTGTCATCAAATCATAGTCATCCGGAATCTTCCCTTGTTTGCCCAGGCTCTCAGCGAGGGCCGAGAGGGCCTGACCATAAGTCTCTAGGGCCCTCCTGACCAGTTCAGCCTCAATCTCACTGCTGGCATCGTTGTTGGTGTCTTCTGGTATCTGTTGTTGTGGCGAAGCTTGGGATGCGGCATCAGCCAACGCGGCAGCCTGCACAGCCCACCGCAAGGCAAATCTGCCGCGAACGTTCACCTCCTCGAATGTACACGGCAAGAATTCAAGAAAGCCTTGTGAAGCACGCTGGGCTCGGGTTTCGGCGCCGTGTTCCGTAGGTTTGACCTCGGGAAGTGCATCCACAGCATGGAAGTCGTAAGGCAAGAGGGTATACTTGGCGAAGAACTTCTGGACCGCATCGTCGTCCGACCTTGATAGCGGTTGTGCCCGAGGAGGCTTTACTGACGGCTTGAGCCATGTAAAATCCTGGACATATCGACGGGGCTGAGAGGGTGAACCTATCGATAGCTGAGATAGGGCGTCGGGAGGAACATATGTGGCTGAAGTGCTGGATGTCGGTACATTGCTTTCAACTACTCGGCCAGAATCGACTGATGCGCTTCTCTGCCGCTGTCGGCCCGTGGCAGAGCTTGATGTGGCCGTGCTAAATGCGTAAAAGGCCGGCACCTCTTCGGTATTCACATCACTAACTGCGCTGGATTGTACTGCTCTGGACCGTTGAATTCCTCCGGTGGAAAGGTTCCCAACAATCTTATGCGTCTCATGGCGAAAGATAAGATCAGACTCGTCTCTGTAGCCGACGCAGAGCTCATCACGTGCTATACATCGCTGACAGGAAGGCCGACCCTCGTCACACTAGGATTATGGGTCAGTCACGATCAGCGCTTGGCCGCGATGATGAGGTCGATCATTTGGCAGGGAGTTACGGCTTTTCTCACCCTGACTTTGCGCTGGCGGCAGCGCAGACATCCACGACTTAGACGAGGCATGGTCTTCGTGCGCTTGCCGGTTCAGTCGATCTCGGTATGATTCGACGCACTTGGTGTGGTGTAAGAGTGAAGAAGAAGAAAAGGTCTCCTGGACGTCTAATGTCATGAATCTCACATAAGAACACCAGAAACGTACGCATGCAAGTTTCCTTGTATTCTGCATCCGACATTGAATCGCTGAACTTCCTTCGACGTCGCCCCCACTACAAGGGTCTGTCTTAGGGGCAGACACCCTCGATAATATGCTTAGAGTTAGGCAACAATAATCCGGGGGAGATCAGTGCACGCTAAGTGTTTCTAATTTAGAAACACAAGACTCAATTATCTTGGGTTGTACCATAGTAGCTTTGGTGACAGGGTGATGAGCTACAAACATGAAATGGTCATACAAATTAAGTGCTTTTGTATTGTTCCTCATTTTTTCTTGGTGTTATTCGCTAGGTGCCAAATTTGCCTATCTATCAGAGCCGTTTCCAGGGCCATGTATGCCATGCTAACCGTACTTAGAGGGCCCTTACAGAGGGAGCTTGCCGCTGAAGGAATGGCCCGGAGCGTCTGGGAGTGTTTCCCACCTTGCATCCATAAGCGGACGCAGGGGAGGTTTACGTAACGGCGGCTGGGTCAACGTTTGAACTATGAAGTTGTTTTCAATGCGTTTTCGAACTGTAAATCGTTCGACACGTTTCTTGCGGTCACGAGAACTATACAGAATTTTACCTAGGCATTCATTAGATGCAATCCAGAGTCTCACTTTGATCGGCCTAGAAAGGTCGTCGTGAATATGCAGATTTTGGCAAGGCAAGGATGGGATCGGTGACCGTGTAGAAGCCTTTGCGGGTATTAGTATTGCTTCTAGTGTGATCTATACATCCAACCTAGAATATAGAAAGGAACTTAGAAAGAAAGAGGAAAAATCACTTTCAAGTATCGATCGACATCGATCCCAAAGAACATGACGGGTAGTCAGTGGCCTACTCTGTCTCTAGCCTCCGTCCCATTTCACTCACAGGTCTACCATCGTTCTCTGGCAAAACTTCTTCCAACTTGATTTCGGCGTCAGTCACAGGAGCTTTTTCGCTTTTCACGCTCTTCCATTCAACCGTGAGTGCCCCAAAAGAACCCAGACAACACATGACAAGGCAGATGGTCCACACCTGGGTCAGGGCCAGGTTGTAGGACACAAGAATGCCATGCACGGTAGCGCTATCATAAATCGCACTCATCGCCTTGGCCAGGCCACTGGCACCATGCCCAATCACCACATTGGGATCCACATCTGGTACAATCCTGCGCAGCTCGAGGACGAGATTGTCTTCGAAGACATTCTGTGAGGCGGAGAGCAGGACGGTGCCCGCTATCGTCTGGGCGAACATCACTGTTACGCGTCTGGTTAGGCAATTTCTGTGCAACTCATAGCGGACAAAAGAAAATGGATTTTTGAAAGCCGCATTTTGCTGTCTCGCTTTCGTGAAACCAATTGTTCGTGGCCACATAATGAACGTACTGCACGATGTTCCCAGCGAAATATCGGGTCCCTTCATCACAGTCTGAGGGACCATGATGGATTGTTGCCCTCCGAGACCAAAGCCAAAGCCGATGATGACGAGTGTCCCGGCCCAATAAGCCGTGCTGGTGTCGATTGAGAATCGATGTAAAAGGCCGTAGCCGACAGGACAGATAATGCAGCAGGCTATCATCTGAGGTACATAGTATCCGATTTTGGACGTCTATTTAAAGTGCAGAGGTTAGCCTAGCTTGCTCCTAGAAAATCAGGTCGAGCGCCTGAAAGTTTAGGTGATGGTCTTCTTCATACCAGAACGCCGCTGCAAAGGGCCACAACTGACATGGTGGCCGTGGCAGCGAGGAAATAAATGCCAGTCGAATACGCCGACTGTTGCTTGACGGACTGAAACCAGATCGAACCGTAGTAAGTGAAGCAGGTCAGTGCTCCAAACACGCAGAACATGTACCATGTCGCGGCCCCCATGGACCTGTTCTTCAGGATGCGCAACGGTAGGGTCGCCTTGTCACCCTGCCTGACCTGGACGTACATCCATATCGTTATGCACACCCCAAAGAGGCACAGCAACAGGATAGATCGCCAGTCACTCCAGGCATACGTGCTACCGCCCCATTGCAGAGCCAAGAGCAAACATACGAGTCCTGGTAGGAGAAAGGCTGTCCCGAGGAAATCGAATTTGGCAAGGAACTCGCTCCAGGTTATATCGCGTGGTGTTTTGGATGGCAGGTTGATAAGGAAGAATACCACAATGACTGTCGGCACACCAAGGATAGGGTTGATCCAGAAACACCACCCTATATATTTTCGTTGAATCAATATCAGGTTTGAGATGACAGACCTAGTGGAAGTCGTCTTCTTGGGGTTTCTTCTTGACTTACTCCACGATGCTTTATCAGTCAACACGCCACCCAGAGTCGGTGCTACACAGGAGGCTATGCCCATTGACGCGCCAATGGCTCCAGTGTACTTTGGCCTCTTCTCTAACGGTGCTGAATGTGCGAGAATCTGAACATACCCAACTACTTTAGTTTTTCGCGTGAAGCAATGTCGATTGTTATATTTCTCATCACCTACAATCAGGGCCCCAGTAGCCACCCCAGACGAACCTAGCCCGGCTATGGCACGGCCAGCGATGAATGCTGGCGAGTTTGGAGCAGAGGCGCAGACAATGGAACCGATTTCGAAAATGCTCAACGTCAAGAGGAAGATGACCTTGATGCTGAACTCGGCATAGAGCTTTCCAATCATCAGTTGGAAACAGCATGCTGTAAGAAGGTATACCGAGCCGTACCAGCCGACATCGTCCAGGGAATTGAACGCCGTGGTGATCTTAGGGATTGCGGTGGAGATGATCGTCTTATCCTATGCAGGAAATCAGCTATGAATCATGAAACAGGGCACAGATATCCTTACCAACGCGGTACAGAGAACAGAGAGAGCCAAACCAACAAGTATAGACCACAGTTTCCATCCTTTTGGATACTCTGGCTCAGATGTTGAGTCACGTCTCCCAGCTTCTAATTTAGGGTTGTCTTCCAAGTTCTTTGACCCTTTGTCAGAGTTGTGATCCTCGTTTGGTGGCGTGATAGATGCCATGCCCAGTAATTAGTGTCTGGTCGATTATTGATGCTCGTGGCACCGCCTTTTGGTGTTGTAATTATAAGTACTCGAGACGAGATGGAATGCAATATTTTGGCTGCCCTATGGCCATAACTTTGCATGAGAAAAAGATTCTATAAATACAGGAAATCGACATCAGGCTTCCTGAACGACATGAATAAGACTCTTCAGGGCAATATAATCATGTTTTGTGGTCTGTTGGCGAGATTGCCGGCTGCCGGAACGACCGATGTCCCGGTGACCGACGAATGAGTTTCTACATAGTAAAAGGGCCCACAGCGAAAACGCTCAAAGGCAGCAGGATTCAAAAGGATCCTCTGGACCCGGATATTAAAATAGATCCCGAGCCGGGCCCCCATCTCCTGAGCAGACCACATCCATTGGATCGCCCGGCGGGCCGAGCCAGTAGCGAAAGCAAAGGCCGCAAGCAAGCAAACGCCCATTGGAGTGAGCATGCATGGCTAGGTTCTTCCGAGGTGAGGTGATCGCTGGCGAACCCTGAAGCCCCATAGAAACTTCCCCTTCGACCCCCGAGCGTCAAACGTGTGGTGCCTCGTCGGTGTATGCTTCTCCCTTCTCCGGCCTCTACCACAAGGTTCTTTCTTTCTCTTTGTCTCCCCATCCCTCCCTCGTGCCCGTGCTCGACTTCTTCTTGCTTCTGCATAGTTGCTATTTTTCTCACGCGCGCGGACCCGCAGGAGGATCCATCACACCGCGTTCCTCGGCGCAGCCGGAAACAGAGTCCAAGCCACAGCCCTCGCAAGCCCCCCGGCCGATGTAGCAACAAACACACTTCAACCCGACCAGGCGCCTCTCTCACACAGCAACACCTGGACAGACCGCTCTCGCCAGCTAGGTGGTAGCACCACCACCACCACCACCACCACCACTACTACTACTACTACCACCACCACCACCATCAAGGAACCACGGAAAGGAAGGGCAGACTACGATAGCTGTTCTAAGTACGGCTAAGAGACACGAAAAGCGCCCAAAAAGAGATGATGCCACACTCCACGCCGGCCTCGGGCGACCATTCTCGCTCCACGCCCGAGGTCCAGAAATACCGGCCAAGGGCTTGTCAGTCTTGCGCGCGGTCCAAGATGCGCTGCGTATGGCCATCTGAGCCGGGTGCCACGCCATGCCAACGGTCAGTCGATTTCTGTTGTTCTTTCTCGTTAGAATCTATTTCTCTCTTTCACACACACGCACACACACACACACACAGCACGGTGTGCAGTCTGCTCGCTCCCTCGCTTCAACTATTTGTCTGTTGCTGCCCAACAACATGTCGGATCATTCCCTAAAACCCGAGGCGGATTGATTCGGGCGGCGCAGTCCAGTCAGTTCCTTTACTATTAATTACGTGTACCTATCACACTCAAACAAGGCGTTCTGGGCCGTAGCCGACACAAACGCTGCTGCAACCAAGCCCACGCACCCTGAACAGCCTAGCCCTACAACATTGGTCAGACCCCTGATCGTCGGGGCTCGGATAGTCCAGTACCGACTCTCAGAGTCTTTAGTTGGTTGGGTTCTGCAGTATGACTGGCCGTCGTCCAGCACTATGTGATTTCTTGTCCAGCCCCAGCACAACTGGAATTTATTCATCAGATCTCGAGTGGAGGTTGGCTAGAGAAAGTGGAAATGCTAACTATTCCGTAGATGCACCAAGATCAAGGCGCCATGTACTCTCCCAGAGATCAATCCACGAAGGAGGCGAGGGCCATCTACGTGAGTTTCTCATCTGCTCTTGTCACATTTCGCAAACATTGTATTTTGGCATTCGGTTACCCTCACGAAAGCTGAACAACAATCTATGCAGCCGTGTTGGTCAGCTGGAGGAAAAGATCGATGGCATCATGTCATTGCTCAATGCAAGCCAGCAGATCCAGCAGAACAGTCCCAGTCCGGGTGACCACAGTCCTCCCAGTAGTAGTGGACCGACTGCTCTAGGTCCAGAGCAGCAGCAGCAGCAACAACAACAACAACAACATCGCAACAGTATTCATCAGCTGCTGAATCAGGCTACTGACGATTACAACACATCATCTCCTCACAGAGGAGTGGGGGACGAACTCGATCCCTCCTTGACGCCCTCGTCATCCAGTCATCTTCACGTCAACGCCCGTCTTATCCCTCCAGCGGGTCTGGTCCGTCCAGCCTCCATCTCCACTGGGCCAGATCGGAGCACCGGAGTGAACACCCCCAATCAGTTCATGGATCGAGATGCACGGCAGGCACCAGCGGGTGAGTACGTCGAGATTGTTAAGGGTCTCCGCCTGTCTTACTTCGAGGCCGAGCGCTCTCTGAACCTATACCGTACCGTCTACTGCCCATACTTTCCATTCGTGCCTATCCCGGTTGTCTTAACCTCGCGTGAGCTGTACGACCAATGCCCATTCCTGTTCCGAACGATTATGGCCATCACCACGCCACACCCTGCAGATGTACAGGCAGAGTATCGAGTCTGGTTTCGGGAGTACGTGGCCCACCACGTCGTGGTCAACAACGAGAGGCGACTGGAAATCCTGCAGGCGATCCTGATACATATTGCTTGGTAAGTTTCCCTCCTTCCTATTCCTCCTCCTCGTTCCTCTGTTATCCGGTACATGACTATGTGTACTGGCTTAAACCTCGGAGAGTGTCGGCTGATGGTGCAAATAAAAGGGGTGATTTCTACTTCATGCTCGACTCGCAGGGGACGAATCTCATGCAGCTGGCCATGTCTCTCGTGATCGATCTCGGGCTCAACCGATGGCCGATGGATTTTGGCAAGGCCAACTTCATGATGCTGAAAGATGCTATCGTTTCTACGGGGATCAAAGGCCCCTGGAAGAAGAAGCACACCGTGGAAGAGATGAGAGCTGCTCTGGGGACATTTTATGTAATGTCACTGTAAGCAAACCACACAAATACTCTCTCTCTCTCTCTCTCTCTCTCTCTCTCTCACACACACACACGCACACATAAATACGAGTTTCCCGCCGCAACTAAAGAGAACACTCAACTTATAAAACCTCTAATATAGATGCGCATCACTATTCCGACGGCATCACCCCATGTCGTACAGCTCCTACCTGCAAAAATGCTGCGAGGTGATTGCAGAAGCCCAGGAATATGAAACGGACAAGTTCCTCGTGGCCCTGATCAAGATTCACCAGCTTCTCAACCGTGCAGCCGACATCATCCCATACAACGACGGCGAATTGACTTCCCAGATTCCGTACACACCGTCTCATATGGCGCTTACAGCGATTCAGAAAGAGTTGGAGACGGTCATACGCCAGCAGCCAGCCGAAGTAGAGATGAATGGTAAACTCCCTCCTTTTATGCCTTCAGTTTATTGACATGAGTCTTTGCTGACGAGGTGGATGCATTTAATTGATTACATTCAGCTCTCCTGTGGACACACTACCACACCACCCTCTGTCGCCTCTACGAGCCCGTCATCTACGTGCGCTCGACTTCTGTCGGCGGCTACGACCCGTCTGACAGCACCTCGCGGACGGCGGCACTATGGCAGTGCCTCACCTCGGCACGGGACTTCTTCACGGCCTACCTGAGCATCCCACCACAAAACTTGCCCTGCATGCCCTTCCGCAACGCACACCTCTCCTTCTGTCTCGTAACCGCGGTCAGGCTGCTGTTTCTAGGCGACGAGAGCATAGGTGGGGGCGTCGTCGACCACGGCTGGGACGCGGCCCTGGCCAGGCAAGCGATCGACTTTGAGGGGATCTGCACCAGGATGAGCCAGCTCTTCGAGAACGCAGACACCATCTCCAACGGCCTGGGCAGGCGCACTATGTTAATCCACTCCGACAGGAGCCTGCTGAGCATGTACAGGGACAAGGTCCGCTGGATGCGCGACTGGTATGTCGCGCGCGTACGGCCAAATCAGCAGCAGGAGCAGCAGCGCGGCGGTGGTGGTTCCGCCGCCGCCGCTGGTCCCGGAATGTACCCCACCACCAATAGGCTCAACGGGGGAGCAGCAGGTGGCGACAGTATAGCAAAGGAGCCAGGAGCAGATAGCTTGGGGTCCGGTGGCGCAGCCAGCACGATAGCCGGTGGAAACAGCAGCAGCAGCAACAATAGCAACATCCCACTCCATGGCCAGGCGATGGATGTCGACTATTCTGTTACTGGTGGTGGTGGCACGTTCTCTGGTGACCTGGACGATAATTTCTGGCAGGTCATGTTTGACTGGAACTGGGGTGCGCCGGTGGATCTGATGCAAGTTCCAGGTTGAGCGAGTTCCGGGACGTCACGAGGCTGGTTCGACTCCTGCCTGTCAGTTGTCAGCATTTGGGGGCTGATGGGTGGGACGGCAGATCATGGGTGTGTGGCGCCGTTCGCGGATTATTTTCCGAGGCCACGGAACCAGAGAACAAATGAAAAAAAAAAAAAAAAAAAATTAGAATTAAAAAGAAAAGAAGCCGGGAAAATGACAGACCAATGGCAAGCATGCTTTTACGAGATGATAAATAACCAATATGCTATGTCTATTCCTTTATCAAAATTACAAATGCAGTCAATAGAAACTCCGTTGGCCTCGTGTAGGCATTCTTTAAGCCTTTGTTTCAGACTGACTTCCAGGAGGAGTCATCAGCAGCAATGCGAGGTTCTGAGATGATCATGTAAGTAAGAGCATGGTTGCCACATGGAGTCACAGTCTCAAAACACGAGGTACTGTCTTGTCTCGTAATTCAATTGCGTCAAGCTTTCTTCGTACTCTTGTCCAAAGGCTTGCTCCTGAGATGTTTGAGGCAAAAGGATTACATTGTCATAGATTCTGTCGTAATCCTACAAATTCTCGGAGAAGACGTTTGGATCAAGTTATTACAGACCCGAAAATAATTGGTCTACTTAAGTGCTGCTTTGTACTGACTCGGTCGAGCCGTCGATTAATTGTTCCGGGCCTCTTTGGTCCTACATCAGTCTCACATGTGAGGCATTTACAAGTTGCATGTGCAGTTCGGAGACGAGCTGATGTGATGGGGAGCTTTGTGTATCTATGAATCAATACATGTGAGAGTTGTATCTTGGACTTTTGAGTTATTTGTCAAAATACTCAAGTATTTTGATGATGGCTTATGTATACACTTTTGGAACTTTGATATTCACACCTCATACACACCAAGTTTAATTATAAATTGTGGTAGCCTCGTGTTGTCATCATCGTTTTGTCTTCTTATCTTCCTAATTGGACATATTGTATGAGTTTACATACAGCAACCGCAATCTTCAACACCACCTTCTAAGTGTAACCTTGTCTCCTAATCAAATCACGTCTGCTTATCTTGGCCGCCTCTCAAGCCCTCGTGTCTTCATTTGACTTGTCGAGAGTGTGCAATTCTGACAAAATATCAGTGAAAGTATCAGAATCCTGATCATGGATGCCTAAAAAGGAAAATGCAGATCGTTATGTGGAGTTGCTGAAGGCCGATTCAAGGATAGACAGAAAACAACGGTCATGCCGTGCACTTAGATTGGCTCGTACATTAGGCATCCCATCAATTTTCCGACTTTGTATAGCAACTACATGTCGCTGTTGTGCGATGCTCTGTGAACGATTCATGACACCAGCTGATGCTTCTCACGACTTCAAGATGGGGGCGAGAGACCACAAGCCTGGGGCATCTCGCATCTCACTTACGTACGAGAGGCTCTCGTGATGAGATCTCGGTTATCGCCTTCCCTAAAGACCCCTCTTGTTGCGACAGCTCGGACTCAAATAAAATGGCGGCCTTGTGATTCTGGGTCCCGGCTGAGCTGAACGTGGGCGGCGGTTGGGCACAGCCAAGATAGGAAATTCTGCAGCCTATACCAGGCGTCAATTACGTAGTTTCCTAGTAGAGAGCTAGACGGATGTCTAGATTGAGCCATGATCGGGTGACAAATTTCCAGAGGGACGATGGCTGAGCTCTGACATGCAGGCCCAGCTCGTTTTATGGCTGCATGCCGCGTGGGGCGAGTAGGATGTTCATACGGATTTCTTGGTAGAGACGAAGAGCGTAAGATCTTTAACGATAAGACCGGCGTTAAAAATGTTAAAGTGGTAAGAGAAAAGAAGAAATAAGAACATAACAAACAGGAAGGAATTCACGCTTCGGTTTCTTAGACCGACCAATGACATAAGCAGCATGCTGTGTTGGATCCTGGCAAGGCTTACCGGCGGCGAATATGGAGAGAGATTTGGGTCGGTGTTCAAATCGGTTTATTTGCGAGGGTTTGCGAGGTGTAGGCCGAGAAAAAGGCGAAACAGGGGTGGGTTTAGATGGTGACATGGAGAGACGATGCGACGTCGCCTATCTCTGTTGGGTATAGCATGCGAGAATCCCTGCGCGTGGTCCTCTCATATGCGAATCCTAGCTGGGCTGCTCACTCTCATTTGTATGCCTGTAGCCACCAGTGAGCCTTACTCCCACGTCCCGCTGGATCACGTAGCCTTTCGGGCCCCACGGTTTACAGGGACCCTTTGGCTTTTGTTCGAACGAAGATGTTCCGACGTTTACACTGCAAGAGAGATGTTGTACTTCTGTACTGTATGCGTGCCTACCTTGCGGGATGGCGAGACAAGACGCGCCAGGCATGTCCACGCCTGGAGCCAGCCAAATGACATTGACCGCGCCTCAGCTTATCTCGCAAACAAGGTAATTCGTGGACTTGCAAGGCGGACAGATCATTATGATGACCGTACAGGCTACAGGCTTCGTCGGTCAGAGCTGTGAGTAATTGTGTGAGTGTATGTGTAGGTGAGAGGAAGCATCGTCAACCTTCGCGATGCGAGATGTATAAATAGAGGCCATCGTGCACTTCCCAATGGAGAAGGTTCTGCGAAATATACTTATACCAACGACTCAATTTAGAGAGAGAGTTACAGCTCGGAACTAACACTAGCATCGCCTTTTCGCGCTCGCATTTGAATTTGCACCAACCAGGGCAATTCTTTTTGAGAAGAGACTAACCAAGACAATTATACACACGCACGCACACACACACACATATATATATACCAAGCATCTCCTCCCGCCTTCGAGAATGTCTCAACGACCATCACCATCAGGTTCCAGCCAGGCAGGCAAGAGCAGCTCATCAAGACAAAACACAAACCCTAACTCTCACTCCTCTCAGAGCGACTGGAACCATCTTCTCCGTCACTCTTCTCCTATTGGCATAGTTAAACCAGACATCCTCTTCAACGTCTATAATACTCCTACCACAATGTCCTCCTCCTCCTACCCCCCCTCTCAAGATCCCACCTCCAGCGGGCCTAACATGTCCACACAGGCCACCGTCTCCAGCAACGACCCGCGTCTCGTCCGCACCGCCCACAACGCAGACGGCCTCTCCGTCTTCGTCGCAGACGAAAGGATCCCGCCCTTCCAACCATTCGGGCCGCTAGCCTCTGCCTTCTACAACTTTGACCTCCGGTCCTCGGTTCCCGTCAACAACTCTGACCCTGTCAATGTCAAGGACTATGCAAACACCATCACGCGCTGTCCACAGACTGGTGTCTCTTTCGGTGTCACAGATATCCCGGGGAACAGCTACTCGGTCCCCATGCACCGGACCCTCAGCATCGACTACGCCGTGGTGCTGAGCGGCGAGATCGTCTGGGCACTTGACAGTGGCGAGGAGAAAACCATTCGGGCCGGCGAGTTCATCATTCAGCAGGGAACGAATCACAGGTGGATCAACCGCACAAGTAACCCTTGTCGGATCTTGTTTGTCATGGTTGGAGCTGAGAAGGTGGTATTGCAAGATGGGAGTGTCTTGGAGGAGACTGTGCTTATCAAGAAATAGACATGATGCTCGCGCATCGAAGTGGAAGCGGGTTGCTTATAGAACGGTTTCTTTTTTCTGAGTCAAAGCTGATTGCAAGGCTTCTTTCTCAGTTGGGTCATCGACTTCGCATGCCGTCGGATTATTTGAGGATTGTTTGTTTTGTTTACTTGTATCTTTCTTACTATTTGTTTTGCTTTTCACGTTTTCACACTCCGTTGTTATAGCTTAGATAGAAACAAAAAACAGTTGGCCACTGCATGGACGTGTCTTGTGTGAAAATTCTTGTGACAAGTACTTGATTAATTGTGACGAGAACGAGGGCCAATCAGACTCAAGCACACTCAAGGGACGCCAAGGACGGAGAATCAATCGAAGAGAGAGGAAATAACGTAAATTTGAAGAATAAGAAAATCTCAAAAGGAAACCACAGCATTCTCTGTCCTGTGTTTATCACAATCCTCACATTCTTGCCTGATTCTTGATTTTCTTCACCACACTGCTGGCGCCACCGCCCTGTCCAAACATGGTCCTCAAATCCTCGACCAATTTCTCAGGCCGTTCAAAGGCAGCAAAATGCCCCCCATCCTCATGCCTCTTCTCAAAGACCACCGGTCCCAGCGTGCGGCCCCATGTGTTTGGCGGCACTACCAGGTCCTTTGGAAAGTAGCTCAGCCCAAGGAGAACACCAGGCACATACCCACTGCGCGCCTGGACGGGTAAGTTCCTCCTGTTCTCATAATAGATGCGCACACTCGCGTCAGGGCCCGCCGTGCTGAAGGCGTAAATGCTGATCCATGTCAGCACCTCGTCGTCTGTCCACGGGTAGTCGTCCGTCCAGTCATGCAGCTTCTCGTAGATCCACGCAAGCAGCGCGATGGGCGAGTCGGCCAGCGCCATCCCGATGGTGTGCGGGCGGGTAGACTGCTCGTGATTGTACCCAAACCCACGCTGCATGAACCACTGCGTACGCTCCAGACCCTCTTTCTCCGCCTTGCTGTAGGGCAGGACCGCGTGCTTGAGGTACTGGGCCGGGGAGGCAGTGAGCTTGGGCGGCGTGGTGACGCTCACAAAGTTGACGTGGGACGCGAGGACGTGCTGAGGGTAGTGGATGCCCATCGAGCGGGTAATGGAGTAGCCCCAGTCTCCGCCCTGGGTCACGTACTTGTCGTAGCCCAGCTGGATCATCAACTTGTGACAGACATGAGCGTACTGGGCAGGGCCGAAGCCTGGCCGCGTGATCTTTTCCGAGAATCCGTAGTTGGGCAGCGAAGGGGCGACGACGTGGAAAGATGGTTGGTCTGCACTCGACGGTTTCACCAGCAGCGGCAGGATCTTGCTCACTTCCAAAAAGCTCCCAGGCCACCCGTGACAAAACAGGAGCGGAATGCTGTCTGGCCGATCAGAGCGCTGGTGTACAAAATGCAGTTCGATGTCACCAAAGTTATCGTCGATGACAATCGTCGTTGTGAATTGTGGAAGCTCGGCGTTCAGCCTGGCTTCTGCTGCGCGCCAGTCAAAGGCGTTCTGCCAGTAGCTCGCCAGCCGCTTGATATCTTTGAGCGGCACTCCAAAGTCCCAGGAGTCCGAGAATTCGACATCTTGTGGGAATGAGGCCTGTGAGAGCTTGGTTTTCAGCTTCTCGAGTTCAGAGTCGGGAACAGATATTTGGAATGGCTTGACGGCAGACATTGTGATGTTGTCGAAGGTAATCGAGTCTTGTAAAGAAAGCGCAAGAAAGAAAAGGTATTGACGTGAATTATGTTATGAGATGAAAGAAGAATATTCTTCAATACTGCAGTTGAGACGCTGTTCCCTCTGGACAATTCTTTTTGATTTCTTTCTCTTCTCTTTCTTGCCGTTCCTCGATGTCCTTTGATTAATATATTCCTAAAGGCCACAAGCAACAGCTCATCGGATCAGATTTCCAATACTTAGGTATGATGACAAACACTGTATGAGTCCTTGCTCCCCCTACGGTCCATACAGCGTGAATGCTCGTGATGATGACTTTGCGCTCCCGCTTTACGAGGTGGTAAGCGGTGGGTAGCAAGTCGTCACAGACAGGGCGCGGCTAAATGGAAGAGGGGTTGTAATGCTTGGCTTGTCTTCCCCGCCCTTAATGTGCCTAGGCAAACCTTGATTGAGACCCAGTCGGGGAATACCAGCGTGCATGCTGGAGGGTCATTACGTCAACTACATAGTATGAAGCATCACGAATTAAGCATGATTCTGACGAATTTGAGAAGGGCGCCATCAACATTGCTGCACGGCCGTAAATCGACCTTTTTGAAGTCTATACGAAGATTCTGCTTGTCCACATCGACGACCAAGTGCTGGTTGAATGCAAGGAATCTAGGTGTCTATTTTTGCTCCCGCATAAATCACCCAGTAGTCAATACTGTGTCCACCTATCAAGGTCGAGGCGATGTCTTGTCGCCCTCAAACTGCTCAGAAGTATTTCCACGCATCGATCCGAGCGCGATCATGTCAGACCGTTTCTTGAACCTCCCGCAGCCCCAGGAGTACGCAGTTAAAGGCCAAGTTTCTCCGAATACCCATGCCGGATTCTCTATGGTGAGGAGGATGCTGGCTGACAGGATCATGGCCCCGTCGAGGACCATGAAGGCAACTTGGTCCTGAGCAAGATGGCCCAGAAAGCCTCCAGACAACTCTGCGCACCGGTAGCACGTTCGGATCAGGATGAGCAAGGTCACCAAGGCGAGACCTGTTCGGAACACACGACCTTGCATTAGCATCATGATGAATTCAGGTTTTACCTGCACTTTCTCTCAGGGATAGGGACATTAGAGGTACTGACTACATAGAAATACTTTGAACCTGGTCGAGCGATAGAGCTTCTCGTGCTTGGTGTTCCGCTGATCCTTTCTCTTCTTTACACGCCATGCGAAATCCGCGCTGAAGGCAACGAACGCCAGACCACTTGCTACTTGGATGGAGAGACCCGCGACGAGGATGTGTGTTCCGTACCAAATCTAACTTGGAGGTCAGCTCAAGCCTTGACGTGAAGAATGCATAATGAATCCAAGGGAAAGCGGCTCGCATACTCTGCTCGACACGTCACTTTCAGCCGCAATAGAACCTCCTATAGCCTGGACAATAAGTGCGGCGAGGTCAAACCCGCTGAAGATCAACGTGTACGATCGTGGTCTGATCAGGCTAATGTTTTCTCCATACACAACCACGATTCTCGCGAGTGTCAAGTAGACGGCCGCTGACATGAGCACCGGCGCCAGCGTCAGACAGATCAGGTAGATCAAGAAGTTATTCTTGGAGAAAGGATCACCGTTCAGCAGGATCCTGCCGACATAACCGATAATCTCGCCGACAAGAGCTGTCACGAAGAGGCCCGTGTAGAGCTTCGTCTTGTACCTGATGCCCAGGTACAGCGCTGGTGGGATGAGCACGGCGAAGGCCCCGATCATGAAAGAGTTGCCTGGGATGCTAGCGCGGTAGTGAAGATATCCATAGGATAAGGGGCAAGTGTCGAGTGTGCACTTGATTTTGGCCATCTTCAGGATCGGTCGGTCTGAGGGCGGATGATGGAGGTGGTGGTCGCCGACTCTTCCGAGAGGATGAGAAGTGGTCGAGTACAGCAGAGTGAAGAGGGACGGACGGTCGACGACATACGAGAGCCAAATCTTGTATCTAGCCACAGCGCGTCAGTAAAGACCTGAGGCCTCGATAGCCCAGGGCAGTCGTTTGAAGCATTCGCGGTCTTAATGCCTCGTGGCTGTGTTTTCTTCAAGGGAGGACAAGAAGAACACGTAAAGGAAGGGAAGCCTCCACGAGTGACCGAGACTGGAAACCCCCTGGCTATCCCATAATCCTTCTGCCGGCAAGTTTTCCAAGACCCAAGCCCAGGTGTCTCACTTCTCTCAGATGACAACTTGTGGGGGATCTTGGCTGTTTTCAGACGCCTTTCTTCGTAGCGGAACGCTTTTTGCACAGCTGAACAAGGCCCTGTCAGCCAGTCCCCAGTCACTGGCGAAACCCACACCTACATTAGGGGGTGGCTTGCAAGTCGGTCCGTTAGCGTTTATCGAGCCAGACAGCTTTCACAAAAGCCCAAGAGGTACCGCAGTAGTCCCGTCATGTCTCTCCTTTAAGTCGCCGAGCTTCATGGGGGGCAGAAAAGCGTGCCGCGGGTAATCTAGCATATCAGTCGCATCTCCGTATGATCCGCTTTGGTATGCAGGGCAGCTGTTACATCCTGGGCTTGTCTGACAATGAGCCGATTTTTTGAGTCTTGGTTTTAATTTGACACACAAGCACAATGACGGCCGTCGTAAAAAAAGCCAGATAGCAGGTTCTATAGTCGACGAAGCAAGTGTACCTACTTAATTACTGTGCAAATTCACTAGAATATGATACGATTGTTAGGCGCGAGAAAACCTGTATTAGGGCCCAAGTGTGTGCTTGGCCGATGACGGATCTGCAAACCTCGGACGCGTTGTAGAGAAAAAGCAAAGCAGTACATTCGCGTGCCGCGTGTGATTCTACACCTTCTTGTGCATTAGGGTATGGGGCTTAATAATGACCAGACAACTGTGCAATGGGAATGGGGAGATCGACAAATTGGGCTAACCACGATGAGGCTTTGGGAAGAACATGTCATATATATGACATGTCTGATATTCACAGTAATGAACTCTCATATCTCGTCGGCCCATGCAGTGTATCGTGTGTGCTTGTAGTGTTGGCAGCGGAATCGTTTCGAAGTTTGGGTAACAACAAGCACAGGATGAGCACATTGTTCTACGAATGAAAACGAACAAAGTTACGGGTTAATTAATTGACATGCCTCCTTGTAGCTGGATACATAGTCTGTACTACCATTTGCATTCTGTGCTACAGCACTAATCAGTCCATTTGTCACAATATTGAGAGGTGTAGAGAACTAAACGATAATACAGCAGAGGAAAATGCTAATTCCTCCAGAAAGGAGCTAAGAAGTTTGTATTATCAATGAAATGCAGATCTGTGGCAATCTCCCAGAAGTCTCCGTGCTCATTTCAAGGCCTTTGGTCTATCGTCCTCGATATGAAGCCATTCCATGCTCCAGCTCGCCAGGGCGGCAACTGCTGCAACGATCATGGGGAGCAGGAAAGCCTTCATGACTGCCGCATTGACAACATCTTTGAAAGCTGCTCGTTGTTCTGGCGGAAGGCTCTTCGCTATGCTGGCCAGATCCGCGATCCCAGACCGTAGACTTGCACCGTGTGAGGCAAGCTCGGGAGCCACCGTTTTGAGCCCGTCCGTCAGCTTTGCCACAAAGAGATTCTGAGCGACGTTGATCCCTATCGTCCCGCCCAGCTGTTTGAAGAAGACTTCCATACCGCATGCCACCGGCATGTCGTCTACCGGCATGACAATCTGCACGGCGACAAAAGTAATCTGGACTGCTAGCCCCATCCCGATGCCCGCGACGATTTGGTATCCTAGATACTGAGCAGGTGTGTCTGTGGGTTGCAGCATGTACAACAACCCACTGCCAACAGCGTACATAGCACTACCTGCCCACATGAATGGGACGGGATAGCCCAGAGTCGTTGTTACAAAGCCAGTGAAGAGAGTAGAGATCACGCTGGAGAGTGAAAAAGCAAGACAGTTGACACCTGAGATAGCGGCAGAGGTGCCCATGACTCCTTGAAACCAGATAGGCAGCATATAAAAGTCGGTGAAAATGGCGAAGCCGTACATAAGGGAGAAGATGCAGCACAGAGCCACCGTTCGCTGCTTGAAGATCCGAAGCGGGACCACTGCGCTACAATCACGAGCAAGGGTGATTAGCACGATATACGGGTGGGGAGGTTAGAGAACTCTACAGAGGATTGACCCGAAACTCACTTGTCTTTTCTGTACCACTGAAAGCCACAAAAGCCAATGGCAAGTAGTACAAACCCGAGTAGACAGCCCCAGACCGCCGGGCTCGACCAGGGCTCGTTCACACCACCCCATTCCAACGCCAGGAAAAGACAAACCAGACTGGATGCTAAGAGAAGAGATCCTTGGATATCGAGATCACGGAGCTTCTGCAGCAGAGGGCGCGATGATTGTTCTGGTTTCTGTCGGTCAAGCACGATTAAAATCATCACAGCCGCGACAAATCCCAGGGCTAAAAAGGAGAATATCAATCAGCAATGGTGATTCATTTCGCACATGGTCTTAATGATGGGACGTACGGAGGTTGATCCAGAAACAGAACCTCCATGTCAATGAAGAGTCAGTGATGACGCCGCCCAGGGTACTCCCGAGCATGCCGGCAAGAGAGGTGACACCCTCCAGCAGGGACAGTCCCAATGATCGTTGCCGCAAAGGGATTGCTTGTCCAAAGATGGTGATACTGCCCATCAAAATGCCCGCAGCACCAGCCCCTGCCACAGCACGGCCCAGTATCAGCGCTATCGAGTTCGGTGCTATCGCGCAGATGACAGAGCCAGCTTCGAAGATGATGAGGCTGATGATGTATGTTGCCTTTCGCTCGAAGTACTTGTACACACGGCCGAATAGAGGTTGAAGGGCCATCTCCGTCAGGAGGTATACACTTCCATACCATCCTATATAGTCGATTGAGCCGAAGTCAGAAGTGATGCGAGGGATTGCAGCGGCTGCAAAATGGCTCATTGTGTCAGCTCAACGTCCAATTCTTTATGACCTGGAGACGATATTTCCTGCTCACCCAGGATGCTTCCATCGATGGCCATCATCAGATTCGTGAGTAGGCAAGCTGCTCCGAGGGTACGTAGTTTGTTTCCCGTCACCCATTGCGCCGACTCCGCGGGGCTGACATCCTGAACGGTATCCAATATCCTCTCAGTATCAGCGTGGCCATGCCTCTGGTTTCCTATGTAATGAACGCCACGGTTGGTCGATGGGAGAGAAAGGGTGCTATTATGCCCCACTGCCAGGTGGAAATCGCCAGGCCAAACCGATGGATCAAAGGTGGTTTTGAAAGACGGCACTGATCCGAGCTCTATGTCTGCCATATCTGGTAGCTTTTAAGTAAAACTTTGATGCGTTTCTTCTTGAAACATGATCTCTGCTGGGAAAGAAGATTCTTCTTCATGACTTCACATGAGAGAAAGATACAGGTAGGGTTCGCTCAAAATGCTAGGACAAGTCTCCGAGCTGGAATCCGAACTTGAAGCTAAGGGAGGCAGGCCTAAGAATCAAGGGAACGCCAAGCAGCCAGAGACACCGAGATAGTGTTCTATCGATGGACACAGCCGGTCCCGAGAATGCTGTGTTAGCGAGGACCCATAGCATTCACCGGTGATTGTGTGACACAGGAAGAAACTATTGCTGTCCAATGATGTCGTAAAATGTGATGACTGATACGGTTGCATCAGCTGCAATTCCCATGTATTCCACACTCCCCACCCACCCAGTTGTAGGAAGATTACGTATGAGCATTCGAAATCTCATTGATGCAAGCTTGTTGCCAGGGGGTGGAACACTTAGTCAGCGCCATTGTTTGGAAAACGACACAGGTAATGTATACGTTTTCATATATGACTGAAATCAGCACTTTTGCGACAATCGCAGGCGACTCTGCTCGTTTGAATTATCCAAGGGCTCGGTAATGTCATAAAATGTGATTACCAATGTGATAGCGTTGGCTAATATGCCTTTCTCTTCCCACAAGTTTCCACAAATGAGCTGCACAGCTCACTCTTGTGCTCAGTAATTAATGTGCAGATCACAGAGCAGGTTGTAGCATCGCGGGGAAGATGATGTGCTACACATCGCAAGCTCAATATCAAGCACCAGCTGAGGCCAATCACCACTTTCATACCAAGACGGGGGGAGGGGTGGTGGTGGTGGTGGTGGTGGTCTTACACCTGCGAAGATCGTACTATTGAAAGCACTGATTGTCGTTCCCGGATGCCAAACAAAGCTCATTGCTGATTATTTTGAAAGATGAGTCAGGACGGATTATCTTGCTGAAGAAACTTGCTTCGGACCTGCCTTGAAAGGATTTCAAGATTCCTCAAGTTTTCAAGCGATTACTTGGGTGAAAGAAAATCTTGACGATATCAGCCAACACGTCTTGGGAAATTGGGGGGCACGTAAAGCCATTCATAGCAAGGGAAACAAGATACCATGTGAGTATTCTAAGAAACCAGGAAAAGCGCCATGGCAGAGTGCGAGACACCTACGAGAAAGTGGTCGGCGTCTGCCCTTGCGTGCTGATACGATAGGCCGTTTGGATAGCCTTGGAATGCTCCCGTAAACGACCGTGGCAGGTAATCAATTGATAATCCGGCCATGTACCCAGGTGGAAAATACAATGCCATTCCGTGCTTCAGTGACATGTTTTCATCATGCGAGTTGGATTACAGAGAAAAGTGACACATCAATATCAAACATTGTGACGTCGTTGAAAAGGGAGTGCAGTCAAGGCAAAAGCAAGTATCTCAGCCACTTGTAGAGTCCCTTGAAAAACAGCATCGCAAGGGCACCCACGTACTGCACTCCCGCGAGATAAAATATACAGTGTAATTAGAGTACCCACTCGGGTGAACCTGCCGCAGAGCTAAATAGTCCTGCGAAGTGGAAATTGTAGAGGCCGGCACGGGCTTTCGACGCAAGCCAGGCAGCCTGTCGTGTTCCACATTCTGAGACAACGGAACATCCCATCGAAATCCGAGGACGATTATTCGATAGGATCTAGAGAAGCACGATAATTGTGCCATCCTGAGCTATGCAGCTCTTCCCTGCGTCCAGGCCGTGATGAGGCGGCACAGCTGAACAATCGGCCAGCGCAATCGTCTTGCACGAAGATAACGAATGCCCTCCAAAACACATACACACACGCACAAACAAATAGTTCACGATAAGTGACAAAGTGACTGATCGTTCCAGTGCCAAGCCACATATCACGCCTGCGGGCCGATTTAAGGATCTAGAGCCAACATGTCCAATCATGATGCGGTAGAACTTGAAGCCTATCACTGTGATGAGAATCCTGGAGGAGGTGACTACATACCAAGGGCGAGGTACCGGTGAGTCTCAGCCTAATCACACGTGCTGATCCGGATTCCGGTGTTCAAAAAGGGACTGGTAAAGAAGGTAGATCATGGACGGCTTGCGTTTTATCTATCGCGGACAGCCACTCATATTTTGGCAGAACAGAAGGAGTGAAGCACCCTTGATGTTGTTGATCAAACTTCTCTTGGTCAGCGTTGGTCAGGTCCCTCATTAATAGAGCTTTCCCCCGGTATCACCGGCTTGATGAAAGACCCTCCTTCTCATCTGTCTTGACTTTCATCAACAATTGACGCTTAAAATTTTCTGCCTTGTTGCTTCAACGCCCATCATGGCACAACCACCACCCATTGCCGTTGTTGGCATGGGCTGTCGTCTCCCAGGAGGCGCCTCCACCCCTGAGAAGCTCTGGGACCTGCTGAAGGAGGGTCGATCAGGCCAGGTCAAAGTTCCCAAGGATCGATGGAACGCCGAGGCCTTCTTTCATCCTGACCCAGAGCAGCGTGAGTCTCTGAACGCGCAGAGCTCGTACTTCCTAAAAGAGGACATCTCTCACTTTGATGCTCGCTTCTTCAATTGCACTCCCTCTGAGGCACATACCATGGATCCTCAGGGACGACTACTTTTGGAGACATCGTATGAGGCACTCGAGAGCGCCGGAATTCCTCTTGAGTCTCTCAAAGGTTCAGACACCTCCGTCTTTGCCGGCGTGTTCGGCCGTGACTATGATAGAATGGGTTGGTACTTTTCATTTATCTCTCTTTTTCACCTTCCTCTCTGAAGGCTCATTCCTTTTGTTTCCCTTTTCCTTATCCATAGACATGCTGATCTCTTTGGGAGATAGGGTTCAAGGATCTTGCACAGATTTCCAGGGCGCATCTCACGGGCACAGGTGAGGCTACGCTATCGAACCGTATCTCGTATATCTTCGATTTGAAAGGAGCCTCCATGACCATCGACACTGGCTGTGTATGTTATTCGAAATGCCATTCAAGCTCCTGCTTTGATATGATGTGGAGAAGCTGAACTTGTTGCATTACAGTCTGCAAGCATGGCCGCCTTGCACCAAGCCTGTCTTACCCTGAGAGCTGGAGAGTCGCGCGTGGCTATTGTTGGTGGCGCTGAGCTGTTGATTCACCCGGACCAATCCATCACCATGAGTGCCACTGGGTATGTTTGTGCGACTTTCATATGTAAATGAAAGATAGGATATCAGTACTGATGCATAATGACTTCAGGATGGTGAATCCTGATGGAAAGTGCTACGTTTTTGACAGCCGCGGTTCTGGCTACGCTCGCGGCGAGGGCGCTGCGGCTGTCGTCCTCAAGCTGCTCGATAACGCAATCGCAGATGGTGATCCCATCCACGGAGTGATTGTGCAGTCCGCCCTCAACCAGGACGGAAAGACAGCAGGCATTTCGCTGCCGAACCCTGATGCACAGGCGGATCTGATGAGACAGGTGTACGCGTCTGCTGGGGTCGATCCGGGTGAGACCCTCTATGTAGAGGCCCATGGAACGGTAAGCTTCTTTCTCGTGTTTGTCCAAGTTCCACAACGACTGTATGACCCAAGAGCTAATTCAGATATGGTCAACGAGTATAGGGCACGCAAGCTGGTAAGCAGTTCATATGCCCTTGGATGTTCTCTGACGAAGATTAATTCTCACACTCCACTTATAGGTGATAACGCAGAGGTTGGATCTATCTCGAAGGTATTCTGTGACGAGTCCAAGTCTAGAAAGACAGATCTGTATCTCGGGTCTGTCAAATCGAACATTGGTCATCTCGAGGCTGCAAGTGGTGTTGCTGGTCTCATCAAGACCATACTTGTCCTGAAGAAGGGCCAAGTCCCACCACACCTTGATCTTGAGACGCCCAAGCCAAGCCTGAAATTAGACGAGCGCCGCATCAAGGTATGCCAAAAATTAATTCTCATCATCATCGACCGTGCGATTTCCTCCATGTATCTGCCTTTTCTTTACTAAGTATTCATTTAGGTCCCTCAAGAACTCCTTCCACTGGCACCAAAAGGCCATACTGGTCCTCAGAGAGCATCTGTCAACAGCTTTGGGTATGGGGGTACCAACTGTCATGTAGTTCTCGAGTCTGTGCATTCCGCACTGGTAACTGCTCATAGCAAAGTTCAAAAGACGGTCAACGGCAAGACAAATGGCACACGACTGAACGGTGTCAATGGGTATCACGCCGATACCAACGGCCACTTTGTGAATGGCCACAATGGTCACCACAAGCAGAATGGCATCTTTACTCAATCGTCGGCCTACGAAGGTCCATTGCTGTTTACACTCACTGCTGCATCTGAGACAGCAGCAAATTCTGCTGCCAAAAATCTCCAAGAGTGGCTGGCAAAGGAAAGCATGAGCTACGATGCTCTTCGCAACCTGTCTTACACGCTCAATACGCGGCGATCATTACTTGCCTGGCGGTCAGCATTCGTCGCATCGAATCAGACTGACCTCTCCACTGAGCTTGGCCAGGGTAAGGCTATCAAGTCTAAGGCTGGGATATCGTCCATCCAAACTGCCTTTGTTTTCACGGGCCAGGGTGCGCAGTGGTACGCCATGGGGCGGGAGCTCATGAATGGCTCGTCCATTTTCAGACAGTCCCTTGATTTGTCTGATCATATCCTTCGAAGTCGAGGCTGTAAGTGGTCGCTACTCGAGGAGCTCACAAAGCCGGAGAAAGAGTCACTTGTCGGTCGCAGCGAGATTTCCCAGCCAGCCACCACGGCCATTCAGCTCGCTCTGGTCGATCTTCTCGCAGACATAGGGATTGTCCCCAAGGCCGTTGTAGGCCACAGCTCTGGAGAAATCGCCGCCGCCTACGCAGCAGGTGCTTTGACACATGAAGCAGCAATGATCGCGTCAGTTCTCCTGTCACTATCCTCCCTTCATACACGATCAGTGATTATTAGATTGGCAAGCTGACCTTGACTCGTGTGTAAAATTGATTAGTTCATACTGTCGTGGTGTAATCTCTGCCAGGGCAAAGAAGATGAATTCTGTTCCTGGATCGATGCTGGCAGTTGGTTCCTCTGAAGAGGCCATCGCTCCTCTAGCCAAGCAAGCAAAATGTGGCAAGATCAGGGTTGCTTGTGTGAACAGCCCAGACAGTGTAACAGTCTCGGGAGATGAGGCTGCCATTGACGAGTTGCGAGAGATCCTCGAGAGCCGCGACATATTCGCTAGGAAGCTTAAGGTCGACACGGCCTACCACTCGCACCACATGGAAACCATCGCCAAGGACTATCTCGCAGCCCTCTCTGGCATGACATGTGAAGCTCAACTCTCGGGCAAAGTCAGCTTTTACTCATCGGTCACCGGGCAGCTGAAGACTTCTGGCTTCGATGCGTCGTACTGGACTGAGAACCTAGTGTCTCAAGTCCGGTTCAGTGACGCGCTGAATTGTCTTGCTGATGGCATGTCCAAGTCAGCTGGCATCCGGGATCCATCCAATGTCTACGTGGAAATCGGCCCTCACGCTGCTCTTATGGGGCCCATCCGGCAGATACTGGCCCAAAAGACCGACTACAAGTATACCTACGCCTCGTGTCTCCATAGGAACAAGGATGCCTCTATCACAGCACTTACCGTCGCGGCTCGGCTTTTCGAGTTGGGAAGTCCCGTTGACTTCCAGTCACTCTTAGGCTTGGACCTCCCTCGTGAATCTCGGACCCATAGGCAGTTCAAGACACTGTCCGACCTCCCTACGTATGCATTCGATCATGGCACGAGGTACTGGTATGAGTCTCGTCTCAGTCGCGATCACCGACTCCGTCAGTTCCCGTACCATGATTTGGTCGGACTTCTTGACGTTGCCAGTAATATCCACGAGCCACGTTGGAGATACCATCTCAGTGTCAAGGGAATGCCGTGGTTGAAACACCATGTTGTGGACGGAATGATTGTCTTCCCGGGTGCTGGCTACGCCACAATGGCTCTCGAGGCCATGGCACAATTGACGAAACTGCGCAATCCGTCAGCAGAAATCACCGGCTTTGTTCTTCGAGATGTGACCTTCTCGAAGCCAGTCGTCCTCAAGGAAGAAGGATTAGACGGGTCCACACCAGAGGTGGAACTGCAACTCGTCCTTACGCGCAGCAGAACTAGCGACAGTAGTCCCTGGGAGGCGTTCCGAGTTCTGTCCTACGATGCGGACGGATCCTGGAGCGAACATTCCACCGGCCTCATCATGGCGCAGACCAGATCTAGCACGTCGGATGAAGTCGAAGGCATTTTGAATGAGCAGGCGCTGCTCCAGAAAGCCGCAGTCCAGAAGTTCCGCGAGATCGAACGCGCCAGCAGTGAAACATTGGACTCGGACGATGTATACTCCATGTTGCGGTCGACTGGTAACGACTTTGGACCCAGCTTCTCAACCCTCTCGAACATCAAGCTCAGCAAAGACTGCTTAGCCCACGCGACAATGACCATTCCAGACATCTCCCAGTTCATGCCCAAATCTTTCCTGCGACCCCATCTCATCCACCCGGCAACTCTTGACGCCATAAATCAGATGGCAGCTGTCATGTTCAAGAGGGAGTGTAGCAACTCGCCGCTCATGCCCGTCTTCATGTCCGAAATCACCATCTCTGCCAATATAAACAGAGAGCCGGGTTCCGAGCTCATTGTCGCCCTCGAGATCACTCCAGAGGGCAAATCTTCAGCCAGTGGCAACTCCTGGTGCTACCAGAGACGACAAGACGGCAATCTTGATCTCGTCGCTACAACACACAAATGGCAGCTTCGTGCTATTGGCGAAGAGATTCGGGACGCGCACTCAGTTCCTTTCCAGCGCAAGATGAATTACACGATGCAGTGGGATAACGACGTGGATTTCCCGCGCCAGGAGCAGCTCCAAAGGCGCATTCACGCATCCGTGTCTGTCGATGACACCCGCGCCATCCACGATGAGCTCAACCTGAACGAGAAAGCGGCGGCCATCTACCTACGTGAAGCTTTTCAGCGGGTCCAATCCGCCAGTGACAAGATCACAACACCGCACCTATTGAAACTCTACAAGTGGACCGAGAACTATCTGCAGTCTGAGATGTATCGACAGACAATGTCAAGTATCGGCTCTGAGTCAGAGGCATCTGTCCTGCAACGCCTGCTCAAGGAATCTGGCGTCGAAGGCCGTATGCTGGCCCGGATCGGCGAAAACCTGCCTGGTATTCTCACTGGCGAGGTCGACTCGCTAGCTCTCATGCTGCAAGGGAATCTGCTCAATGAGTTCTATGCAGATGGCATGATTCGACACAGCAACACGCACATGGCCAAGTACATGGAACTCTTGGCCTTCAAGAAACCTCGCATGGCCATTCTTGAGATAGGAGCTGGCACAGGAGGGTCAACACTGCCCTTGATCCAGGCCTTGGATCGCCCTGAGGGGCCTCTCTTCGACACTTATCACTATACCGATGTGTCTTCCGGCTTCTTCGAGAAAGCGAAAACCAAGTTCTCTGCTTGGGATAGTTATATGGAGTACAAGACCCTGGATATTACCCGTGACCCTGTTGCGCAAGGGTTTGAAGCCAACAAGTACGATCTCATCATGTGCTCTAACGTGTTGCACGCGACTCCATCCATGGCAGAGACCATATCCAATACCAGAAAGCTCCTGAAACCTGGGGGAAGACTGGCGCTTGTGGAGATTACGCGCCTCACGGCCGCCATCAACACAATCTTTGGCACACTGTCGGGATGGTGGGCGTTTGAGGATGAGCGCATACAAGGCAACCACGGGCCATTGCTGACCCGTGACAGCTGGCATAATCTTTTGTCTGCGCATTCTTTCAACGGCGTCGAGGTAGCGATTGATGACCACGAGGGGCCAGCCCCTCGAACCTCCACCATGATTTCTATGGCTGTAGATACAGCACCCGAGAGTCAGACTCGTCGCACTGAGATCGATACAGTTCAAATGCTGTGCACATCTCCACTATCTGCTGCTTCCAAGGCACTTGGGAAAAAGATAGTTTCCGCTGCTGAGAAACAGGGTTTCAGGTCCACTAGCGAGCTGTGGAATCAGGATCTCACTCTTGCAGTCCAAGAGAACACTGCCTATGTCGTTCTGGACAGCGCAGAGACTAGCATTCTGGCGTCTCCTGAGAATACTGAGAGTTTTGGCAAACTGAAGACGCTGCTCACGACCTGCAAGTATCTCCTGTGGGTGAGCTTCCAAGAATGCAACGAGTCTCCCCAAGCCACCGCAACCAAGGGCCTCGTCACGGGCTTCGCGCGTGTGATACGCCGCGAAAATGACAGCGCCCGATTCATCACACTCGATATAGAAGAGTCTGTCAAGGATAAAAACCTGGATACGATTGTGGACACGGCAATGCGCGTGGCAGAGACATGCTTCTGGCCTCAGCCTGGTCATCAGCCTTCCAAAGAGATGGAGTACCGTCTGAACCACGGCGGCCAGCTCACGATCCCTCGTGTGCAGGCAGACACCAACTTCAACAAGTGGATCGACCAGGTGAACGGAGAGGCGCCGCTCGACCTCTGTGCCTACCAGGACGCTACACGGCCTCTGAAACTAGAGGTTGAGACGCCTGGCCTTCTCTCTAGCCTGCGCTTTGCCGATGACGAGTCCCACGAGCGACCCCTGGCCAGGGACGAGATTCAGCTGGAAGCCCGTGCTTACGGCGTCAACTTTCGAGATGTTTTCATCGCCCTTGGCCAGATGTTGCCTGGTCTGCCCATGGCTGGTGAATGTGCTGGTGTGGTGACTGCTGTGGGCAAAGACCTCCACGGCGAGTACAAGGTGGGCGACCGGGTGATGGGTCTGGGCGCACAGGCTTTCGCGAGCCATCCTCGGCTCAAGGGACATTGGGCTCACGCCTTGCCTTCCACGCTTGACCTGGGCTTTGACGCGGCCGCCTCGATGCCCATTATTTTCCTCACAGCATACCACTGTCTCATCGATATTGCTCACCTTTCCAAGGGCCAGACAGTGCTGATCCAGGCTGCCTCTGGTGGCGTTGGACAGGCGGCCATACAGATTGCACAATGGGTCGGTGCTGAGGTTTTCGCGACGGTGGGCAGTGCTGAGAAGCGCAAGCTGATCATGGACGCGTACGGTATTCCCGAGACACACATCTTCTCTTCTCGCAATACATCATTCAAGGACGGTGTCCTGCGAGTGACCAAGGGTCGTGGCGTGGATGTGGTCCTCAACTCACTGGCAGGCGAGATGTTAACATCCAGTTGGGACTGTGTGGCGCCTCTGGGTTTCCACCTGGAGATTGGAAAAGCCGATATCTACAAGAGGAGTCATTTGAACATGGTTCCCTTCGACAGAAGCATCACTTTTTCTGCAGTGGATCTCCTCGTCTTATTCCATAAGAGACCACTTCAGATGTACAAGAGCTTCGGGGAGATCGTTAAGCTTCTGGACCAGGGCGTCCTCCATGCCGTGACACCGCTCATGACGATGGACATGGACCATGTTGAGCAATCCTTCCGCCTCATTGCTGGTCGCAAGCATACAGGCAAGGTCATCCTCAACATTCCAGAGCACAAGACTCTCATGGTGAACGCAGTGGCCCCTCCACCACCTTCTCTGCAACTCGACAAGAATGGTACATATGTTATTGCTGGTGGTCTCGGGGACCTTGGGAGAAGAATTGCTCGTGTCCTAGCCGCGCACGGCGCCGGCCACATCCTGTCTCTCTCTCGTCGCGACCTAGACGCCTCGACCAAGAGTCATCTCGAACAAGACATTCGATCACTCGGGGCCCAGCTGCATATCGCCAAATGCGACATCACGGACATGGCCAATGTGAAATCCATTGCAGCTCAATGTCAAAAGAGCCTCCCTCCTGTCAAGGGCGTTATCCATGGCGGCATGGTCTTGAGAGATCATCCACTGCTGCACATGAGCCTGGATGACTACAATACCGCGTTGGGTCCTAAAGTCAAGGGAACTATCAACCTGGACGCAGCGTTTGCCTCGCCTCATCTTGACTTCTTCATCATGCTCTCCTCTGTGACTTGCATTCTCGGCAAGACGGGGCAAGCAAACTATTCTGCCGGCAATGCATTCCAGGATGCCTTTGCGCATGCACACCGACAACAACAATCTTCTTCTTCTGGGACGCGCTATATCTCTCTCAACCTGGGTGCCGTCGATGGCTCCGAGGCCATCATCTGCCTGTCTGTCCGGCAGCAAGAGTTGATGCGAGCCAGTGCGATCCTAATGTCCTTTGAGGAAGTCTTCAAGGTCCTTGAGTATGCCATGGGCCCACGAGCTGTGCAGGACGGCTGTGTGCAGACCTTGATGGGATTTGATCGACAATCGATCGTCGCGGTCAACGACGAATTCTCTCTTTCCAATCCCCTGTTGAGTATGATCCCATACACGCGCGCGAGTCGTGGTGGTGCTGGCGGTGCTGGAGACGGCAAGGTCGACGTGCAGGCCTCCATCAAGGCAGCCAAGTCGATGAAGGATGCTGAGGAGGTCATCATGTCGGCCATTGTCAAGAAGTTTTCTGTGTTCCTCGACCGCCCCGTTGAGGATATAAGCTTGGATCAACCCTTGGCCACTTTTGGCATGGACTCTCTTGTGTCGATCGAGGTCAAAAACTGGATGGTACGGTCTTTCGAAGTGACCATATCGGCGGCAGAGGTGACTGGTGCTAGCAGTATTCCTGCCCTTGCTGAAACCATCGCCTTGAGGTCAAAGCTGATCGGCGACGATGTTCGAGGAGATGCCTCCTCTTCAGACCAGCAAGCATCCTCCTCCCAAGACGCAGCCAATGGCACCTCAGCAGATGGAAAGAAGGCGAGTAATAATTCCAACAGCAAGGCCAAGCATGGCCACGACTGTTGTCGGCAGGTCGATATTCTCCCGCGCCAACCGATCCCGGATCTTCAAGCCTCCCTCGAGTATTTCATCTCCAACGCCAGTCACTTTGCCAAGTCACCCAAGGAGCTGGAAAATCTCAAGTCAGCCGTTGCATCCTTCGTCGCAAAAGGCAGCACCGCCCGTCAGATCTACGAACAGCTCGCCGCTCGGGCAGCTGATTCAAATATAGAGTCCTGGAGTAGCGACGTCGTCACCGAGAGCCTTCACCTGCGCCCTCGGTTCCCTCTGATGCACAAGAGCTTCAGCGCCTCGCACTACGACAGCTCTGTGCCGCACTCTCAGGCAGCGCGGGCTGCATTGATCGCTGAAGCCGCTTTCCGTCACAAACAAGCCCTCGAGGCTGGCGAGGTGGAGGGCCTGGCTCCGTTTGGTGTTCCGCTCTGCATGTACTCGTCTACGTGGCTATTCAATGCCACTCGCGAGCCACATATTGGCTGTGACCAGATGCGCAAGTATGAAGGGGATTACTGCGTGGTGTTGCGCCATGGACGAGTCTTCAAGGTTTCCCTGCAAGACAGCGCCCAGAACAAGAACACAACTGTGGCAAGACTGGAGAAGACATTCCAGGCTATCTTGGACGAGTCTCCTGACGATGAGCCAGACGCCTCCATTGGCCTGCTGACATCTGATCATCGTGACGCCTGGGCTGAGAACCGAGAGGCTCTCCTTAAGATCGACCCGCAGAACGCAGCGTACCTTCACACGATCGATGCTGCCGCGTTTCTTGTCTGTCTTGAAGATACCGCGGTCCATTCCGCCTCTGAGAGAGTGCAGCAGTGCATCCAGGGCGACGGCTCCAACCGCTGGTATGACAAGTGTCTGCAGTTCATTGTGGCCAAGAACGGAACGTCGTCGTTTATCGGCGAACACTCCATGTTGGACGGCCAGAGCATGCTGCGGCTGAACGAAGCCATCCACGAGGCCATCCGAGGATACCGACCCGGACAGCACGCGACAAACGGTACCAATGGCAAGATGAGCGCAGATGGTAGTGAACGCATCCATCTGGAGGAGTACACTGCCGTCACTTCTCCCGAGCTACAGGAGAAGATGGAGACCCTCCGCGAGAAACACCGGCACATGGCCTCTCTGCGCCAACACGCCGTCCACAGCCTCCCCTCGCTGAACAAGAAGCTGTTCACGTCTTACAACCTTCCCCTCAAGGCCATTGTGGACGTCACCATCCAGCTGGCCAGCCGTCTCTACTTTGGTCACAACCCAGCCAGCTGGGAACCAGTCAACATGGCGCGCTACCACAAGGCCCGTCCCGACATGATCCAGCAAGCCTCAGGAATTGTCGCGGCCTTCTGTTCGGCGGCGGCGACGGGTGCCTCGCTCCCCCAGAAGGAGCTCAGAGCCATGATGGTGAGCGCGGCAGAGGATATCAACGACAATTCCGCGCGGGCTGCGCGGGGCGAGAACCACTACAGCCTTTTGGATGCCATTCAGGCCATGTGGCCTGCGGGCGAGGATTCTGCAGCCATCTTTCGGGACCCTCTCTACCAGAGAGCGCAGCCACACCGCCTGATCTCGGGCATTACGGACTCAGAGGCATCTTTCGCCCAGTCTTACTTGTTGCTCTGGCCTGATGCGTTATGGATGTTGTATACCCCTCATGAAGAAGAGTAAGTCCTTTCCGCTTCCTTGCCCCCTGCCACCTTGATCAGTGATGGCTTGTTATGTAGGATAGGAGGGCTAACCACCAAGCAAAATAGGACTACGTTCTCTATAGTTGGACCTTCGGGTGGGTTAGCTAGATTTGAGAAATGTTTGGACGACGCGGCGGGTATCATCAGGAATCTGGTCGTTTCTTGAGTGGTTGATTTGCCCTTTTTGTTACCGATGTCTAGAGTCAGCTTTTCATAGTTTTTCTCCCCCAAAGCTCATCAAAATTTGCTCTAATTGAAGAAATTAATTAACTCTGTGCAAGGCATGAGCTGCTAACGCTCCGTCCTTTGATGACAGCTATTTATTCTCAGTAGTCGCATTGATGTTACACTGGAAGGATTTGGCTAAGTAGGAGACGACTATGACATACAGCAGTACTAATTATGAATCATATTATATCGTGTGGAGCACAGTCAACCGGCTTCCTTAGTCTCTCCGCGTAACTTACCATACTAGACACACCATAGCAGAAGAAGCATATAAACTCTTAGTACAACCCATTCCTGAGATATGGAAAGAAGGAAAAGAAAAAGAAAAAAAACAGGAAAGAAGACCCCTCTCACTGTTACTTAACGTTATCAAGAAAGGAACATATAGCAATGGCGACAAGTAACACAACAAACCCTCAAGTTCTCAGTCTTCCCGACGGCCGGAATCTGGAATATACCCTCTCTGGCGCCCAGGACGGCTTTCCCTTTGTGTTCATACACGGCACAGTCGGCGCCTGCTGTCCCAATCCTACCATGAGCGCTGTCTGTGCCGCAAAGGGGATCCGGCTTATCACGCCCAGCCGGCCTGGCTACGGCGCCTCGACACGGAGGCAGGGCAGGCAGGTGGTCGACTTTGTGGAGGACATGAAAACGCTCCTTGACTATCTGGGTGTCAAACGTTGTGTAGTTGCTGGGTACAGCGGTGGAGGTAAGGGATGCGATTGTTCATGTCTTCCGCCCTGAGAATCTAGTAGCAGGCAAATCACTGACAATACCTTATCAGGTCCCCATGGCATAGCATGTGCAGCGAGACTGCCAGGCTGTGTAGCAGCGCTTGTCATCGCTGGCGGGGGCCCTACCGATGCAGAGGATCTAGACTATGGCGCGTCGCATGGAGAAAGCAGTAAGTTCTGAAAGTCCATGGTTTTATGTGCATAGAAGTTGGCGATCGTGACCTGACGGACTGGCTGACTGGAGTGCAATCAGACCTAGAAGAGTACGAAGCAATGCAGAAGGGGGAGGAGGCCGTACGAGAGTACTGCCTCAAGGAGCTGCCCGGCATGACGCAGTCGGATGCAAAGGGCCTGACAGAGGAATTGTCCAGCATCCTGCCCGAGGTGGACAAGAAAGCCTTGCTCGAGAACGACTCTCTAGCTCAATATCTTGTGGACCAGTTCCAGCACGGCCTCGGCAATGGTGTCGACGGGTGGATAGACGATGATCTGGAGCTCATGCAGCCATGGGGTTTCCAGCTTCACGAGGTCAGGGTTCCTATCCATGTGTACCAAGGCGATCTAGACAAGATGGTGCCTCCTTCGCACGGGGAGTGGTTTGCGACGCATCTTCCCGAGAAATACGTGAAACCTCACTTGCTGGAGGGGGAGGGACATATTTCTTTGTATCTCAAGTATATGGATGAAATATTGGATTTGGTTCTGACTGAGTCCAAGGCATGAAGTGAATGTAGGTCATGAGGACTGAAGTTTCCTTCAGGTCCCAACATAGGTCGTTTAAGAAGAGGCGGCGTACCAATTCATTTTTCCCTTCAAATGGCAATCCAACTCTATTTTGTCTTCTTCTTTTCTTGCTTTTCCCATATTCTCTATGAATAGATGATTGGCAAGCAAATCTTCTTCCAAGACAATCTTCTGTTTCGTTGATTCTGCAGCCATTAAATCAGTCAGCTATCAGTTCTGAAGAAGAAGAAAAGTATAATAAAAGGATGGTAGAAGCCAGGATCAACAGATTCTTACTGTACTTATATAACCTCCACTTCGATCCGCGGCACCGGCAACACCGTCACAGTGAACCACCACTCCCGGTCTGGTCTTATCTCTGCTAAGTTCTGGCATTCAATATATTTGCTACTTCATTTATTCCTTTCAAAGCTGCTCAAATCATATTTCAAAAAAGTAACAAAGCCACACAGCAAATTCACCAAGGTGTTTATCGCCAAATTACGCTCATCTCCTCTCTCTCTCGCAGCCCGGCTAAATAATCATGTCACCCAAGCCAACAATAGCCATCGCCGGCCTGGCCATCGAAACCTCCACTTTCTCCCCCGCCCGCACCCAAGCCGCCGCCTTCCATGCACGCCGCGGAGACGCCGAAGTCACCGCCTACCACGCCGCCGTCCTAGGCCCAAACACCCCGCTCTCGACAGCTGCCCACTGGCGCGGCGCCCTGATCGGCCACGCCCTTCCTGGCGGGCAGGTCACGCGAGAGGCCTTCGATTCCCTCGCGACAGAGATGGTGGCGCGGCTGGAGGCCATCGACACCACCCCAGACGGGCTCTGGTTCGACATCCACGGGGCAATGTGCGTGGAAGGGCTGGACGATGCCGAGGCGGAGCTCCTGCGGCGGGTAAGAAAGGCGGTGGGGGCTGGCTGCCTCGTGAGCGCCAGCATGGACCTCCACGGCAACGTGTCGCGAGAGCTGGCGCACGCGTGTGACCTGCTCACGTGCTACCGGACGGCGCCGCACGTGGATGTGGTCGAGACACGGGTGCGGGCGTGTGAGAATCTATTGGCTGTGCTAGAGAAGAAGAAGACGACCAAGAAACGGCCTCTCAAAGCGTGGGTGCCCGTGCCGATCCTGTTACCGGGCGAGCAGACGAGCACACGGGACGAGCCCGCCGCGTCCATCTACGCCGCCGTTCCAGGCGTGGCGGAGGGGACGGCGGGCGTGCTGGACGCGGCGATCTGGGTTGGGTATGCTTGGGCTGATGAGCCGCGGAACCGAGCGGCAGTGGTGGTTACGGGATGGGAGAAGGAGGCCGTGGCGGCAGGTGCAGAGAAGCTGGCGCGGCTGTTCTGGGAGAACCGAAAGGGTTTCCATTTTGTGGCGCCGACGGGTAGCTTTGGAGAGTGTCTTGCTACGGCGCTGGAGAGGATCCAGGACGAGAAGAAGAGGCCCTTCTTCATCAGCGACTCGGGTGACAACCCCACCGCAGGCGGGAGCGGCGATGTCACCTGGGGGCTGACTCGTCTCCTGGAGCGGGAGGATTTCAAGAAGGAGGATGGGCCAGTGGTTATCTACGCAAGTGTGCCTGGTCCAGAGGCAATAGACGTCGCTGTCGAGGCGGGAGTGGGCGCAGTGGTGACAGTCACGGCCGGGGCAATGGTGGACGATATCCATGCAGGACCGCTGACGATGACGGGTCGTGTGCACAGCATCAAGCACGGGGACAAGGACGCGGTGACCGAGGTGGTGCTGCAGGTGGGCAGCGTGCACGCCATCCTGACCAAATTACGCAAGCCATATCACAAAGAGAAGGACTTTACGGACCTCGACCTGCGGCCCAGGGAGGCTGCTATCGTGATTGTCAAGATTGGCTATCTCGAGCCAGAGCTGTACGACATGTCTAACGACTGGATGCTGGGCCTCACGCCTGGAGGCGTAGATCAGGACCTTGAGAGGCTGGGCCACGCGAGGATCCGTAGGCCAATGTGGCCGTTTGACAAGGATGCCGAGCGGGAGCCAGACCTCACGGCGAGGTGGATTCCCATGTCTGATGAGCCACTGGAAGGGCCTGATGAGTAGTGGTCTTCCTTTGCTGGTGGAGGAGCAAGGACAACACAGACATGAACTTTTGGATGAGAGAAGGAGAAAACATCCCTCTGTAGACATTATAAAAAAGTTGTATTAATGAATGTTCTCGATGATCTTTGTCCAATCGTGATCGAGGTTTGATCGAAAGAATGTAGTTGTTGATTTCAGCCCTTCTCTCTTTTTCTTCTTCTTCTTCTTCTTCTCCTCCTCCTCCTCCTCCTCTCAAGCAAAAGAGATAGCATCAGGTCGAGGAGGGCTTCCATCCTGTCTGCTCCGGAATCGACGAATTCCTCCCACAAAGAAAGGTTGTGTGCCCAATGATCGACTATTTGTCATTCGGAAGACGTCGGCGGTTGCAAGAGAAGATGTCCATATTATTTGGTGCCAAGCCAGGTTGACGCGGCCATTAGATACTGGATGGGGCATGTTGAAACTGGGTGAGGCAGTTTCGCAGCCAAGCCCTTGTCACAGAAGCCCTCCCGACTTGTGGGTTAGAGGGCCCCACCACTCAGTTTCGACACCCTGACCCGGTAGATACCCATCGGTGCCTCGAGTCGGCCACACCAGGATATTCTCGAATGATGTTGATTATGATTGTCGGAACGAATGGAAGACCTGGCAGACAATCTGATTGTCATCTGCCTCTGGGCTGCCGAAAGAATGCCTCCGGCTTGTTGATAGAACCAGTCATTACTCAGTATGCCGGGTGAGGATCACTTGGCGCGTGGAGTCTGGTGATGATGCCGCGCTGCACGAGGGACAGCGTATCACGCTCGACGATATCATCGGCGCGAACCACGGGCTGTGTATGGATGTTGTTAGCATATTATAACTTTTGAGATTCGCAACTTGATGCCATGGAGAAAGAGGGTAGGTAGACCAACACCAACCTTGAGAGCCAGGCGTCCTGATGGTTCCCTGAGCAGAGCCGGGCGAGCGCTGGCGCCAAGGATCATCACGGTGAATCCGATCACAGAGGAGAACTTCATGTTGACTGATTTTTTGGTTGTTTTTAGAAATTATGAAGATTTCTGTAGAGATTGTCGGTCCAGCAACTTCAGTAAGAAAAGATGTAAAAGGAAAAACACCACCAGGGTTGATGTGTAGAAGGATAAGTCTGCACTTCGTTCCTCTTGAGAGACGATCACTGATGAATTATAGATTGATACATGAAGCCATCTCTGGGTGCGCAGATGGTTTCTTTTAAAGGTTGAGGGCGTCGACGAGAATAGATCCAGCCGTTCGATCTGACAGGTATCGCGACAAGACAGTCGTCAGCTCCCCATAGTAGCTCGACGTGTTGAGGGGCTGTTTCTAGTTGCAGTGCGTTTCAACCCCTGTGAAAATCTGTCTCGACGATGGGACGATGGGAGGGTTTGACACATGATGCACGTGTTCTTGGCCATCTCTTTACCATGGGCATAATACATGTCAGTCAGGTCGTATGGGGAACGGGAACAGGCAGGCTCCTGGACACCACCATAAAGGCATGGTGAATGACATGGCAGTTGACCGGAGTGTGGCCGTCATCTGATGGTGTTTGTTCCCGACCAAACTGGCAAAGGGAGACGACGTTTCGACTGGATTTCATCAGAAGATAAATAGAAACTGTCTGATCAACAAAACGTAGATCACCACCAATATTAGTTCAGCGATGATGAAGCTGTTGCGGATGCAGGCGTTTACCTGCGCAGCCAGCTCGGCCAAGGTCGGAGATGCGAAGAACTAAAAAGAGAGAGGCTGAGGAAGATGCACACCGAGGAGGAAGTTGCGATGAGATGGCACCCAAACAAACATGCACCCCTAACCCTCTGTCATCCCCACCCATCACAGTATCGTGGCCTCAGGCGCCAAAGTGGGGAAGGAGAGGAGAATGATTGGGGGGGGGGGAATTTGGCTCACAGGCAGGCCAGAACCCTGAGCGCCTGGGCCAACGTGGGTAACAGGCACGACAGGGCTTGGGCGACCAGTGGCTAGCGCGGGGTAAATGAAAATTTCCCAATCTTTGCCTGTCCTTCCCTTAGGGCAATGGTTTTGGTTTTTTTTTTCTCTCTGGCTTTCGGGCAGCGACCACTAGAATTCACCACGCTACACCACCAAACCACATTACTCTCCTAAACACCACACTTCACATCCCACCGCCACAATCACCACTTCCGCCTCCTTCCAACCTTCACAACCGCCAAAATGGGTTTCACCGATCTCGTTAGCGATGCCGGCCTGACCGTGCTCAACAGCTTCCTGGTCACTCGATCCTACATCACCGGGTAGGTGCTTTTTTTTTTTCCTCCCCCGCCCCCTCCTCCCTCGTCCATCTCTACCTGGAGCTATGACTCCTCCTTGTTCCCCCTCTCCCTCTTCCTTCCCCTCCTCCTCCTACAATCAGGAAGAGAAGAGGACGATGACGACGACGACGACATCGTCTCCATATGATGATTCCACTGGTCCGTGTTTCTGAGCAGCCTCAAGACCTGCGCATGAATACAAACCCAGCAACTCTGTTGCACCTCTGACCCGCCTCTGTGCTCGCCCACCCCGGTGTCTCGTCTCAGAAATAGCCCCGCCCTACATACCCCTCCAGCTTGATCATCCTCCATTGCTAATACCTGCCCCTCTTCTTCTTGTTGCCCCATCTACAGCTACAACGCCACCCAGGCCGACGTCGCCGTCTTCAAGGCCCTCTCTTCCGCCCCTGACGCCGCCAAGTACCCTCACGCCGCCCGGTGGTACAAGCACATCGCCTCTTACGAGGACGAGTTCGCCACTCTCTCCGGCGATGCCTCCAAGCCCTACACCACCTACGGCCCCGAGGTCGCCGAGGTTACCCTGAACCCTGCCAAGGCACCCGCTGCCGAGGACGACGATGATGTCGACCTGTTCGGCTCCGACGACGAGGAGGAGGATGCCGAGGCCGCCCGTATTCGCGAGGAGCGCCTGGCTGAGTACAAGAAGAAGAAGGAGGGCAAGACCAAGCCTGCCGCCAAGTCCGTTGTGACCTTGGACGTCAAGCCATGGGGTATGTGCTCAGCTACCCATCCATCCATCCATCCTCTCGCTGGAATGGAACCCTGCTTATGCTGGGGTATCATAACATCGACATGCTGACGTGGTTTGCCACACAAAACAGATGACGAGACCGACATGAAGGCGCTTGAGGACTCCGTGCGCAGCATCGAGCAGGACGGTCTGCTCTGGGGTGCCTCCAAGCTGGTCCCTGTCGGCTACGGTGTCAAGAAGCTCCAGATCACCCTGGTCGTCGAGGACGAGAAGGTCTCCCTCGATGAGCTCCAGGAGACAATCCAGGAGTTCGAGGACTATGTCCAGTCCTCCGACGTCCTTGCCATGCAGAAGCTGTGAGCCGCTGGCTGTCGAACGGTGGCTCGGCGGACACGTCTCTCTCTCTCTTTCTCTTTCTCTCTAGTCATATCGCAAATGTGGATGATACTTCTGGCGATTGTGGGAAGAAATCATTCCTTGATGATGTCCATGAGGATATCGTCTGTCCGGTCTACACTCTGCATGGGATAACCGAGGCCGCGCCTGGTAACAAAAAGAATCATGGGTGCGACGAGATAGACAAGAATATCATGGGAAAAATTATCTTCATCCCCAAAAGATCTTTCCCCCTGGCCCTTATGCCGATCATTTTGTCTTGCCAGGATATACTGCTTGTGGTGATACGAAGTTGTATAGCTACGGTTACACATAAAGGGGGCCCGAGACAGTCTTGAAAACTCACCCAGACGAGGAAAAGAAGGAGCAGGTAAATGGGCATCGAGCGTCTTCCACACCGATCAGATTCACTGAAGAGGTCCAGATGGCCGGCAACACACAGGAGACGTCAGTAGCTTGGGCAGTTCTCGTCGTTATTCCCGCCATGTTTTCGACCCCATCATATGGCCTATAAATTATCACCTGAGACCGTACCGCGCACGGCTGTCGCCCATCTCTTCACTCGATCTCAACTCCAGGGTATTGCACACACTGTTCCATCAAGACATCCGTATGAGGATCTTGACATCGATCGCATCTAATGGCATAGCGTAAGCCCCTGAGACGCATCAGTCGTGTTCGACTATGGCTCATCTTCATGCTCGCTATTGCTCATGGCCTGAGATTGCTGCCAATCAGCATCATAGTAGCAAGTTACAGACTGGGGTGATAAGTTGTCCATCATTTGTGAGTGTCTACGTGTCTATATGCTTGCTAACCGCCGCCACAAGTTCGGAAATTCGACCTGTCCTGCCTCACAGGATGTCTCAAAGTGGTCGTCCTGGGAAAAGCTGGCCATATCCCTTGCCTTCGGTGCTGTCCTCCTCAAGCGAGCCTCGCCTCCTTAGCCTTCTCAGCCTCCTTGGCCTCAACAAACTTCCTCATGCCCTCAAAGTGTGTCTTGGCTACATGGGAGTCGACAAACTCGAGGAACCGTACCACTTTGTCGCACGCCTCGTTGAAGTGCAGCGTGATCATGTACTCGTTGGCATATGGGCCGATGACGGTGTCGGCCGTGCTGGTGCACCACAGGGTGACCTTGTTGCCCTTCTCGTCTTCAATAATGTCCTGGATCTGTGGGTTGAAGTCCTGGAAGAGCGGGAGCGAGAAGCTGAAGAACTTTCTGTAGGCGGCGTTGTCCATCTCGGGCTGGCCAAGACTCTCTGTGTAAAAGGTTCCTGTGGTCAGCTTCTTTTGGTCTTGGTTGTCATCATTTTTTGTTGTTGTTGTTGTTGTTCTCTTCCTCGGGCTTTCTCAACCCCAGACACGGAGGAAGGGTGAACGAGGATTCGGGGTAAATGGCGGTATTAACGTACTTGGCAGGATAACCGTGACGCAGTCGTCTGCGCGCAGGGACATGATCTTGTCCAGATCCCAGGAACGGTACGAGTCGATCACTTGGATGGCGAGCTTGCGCCTTGGCGATGTATCTTCTGCCATGGTAGTGGGTAGTAAAATGTTTGTTTTTTTTCCCTTCTTCTTCTTTTTCTTCAGCTCTCAAAAGACTCAAGGCCAGTCGTCAGTATGGTTTTGCAAGCCTTGACAAGAAACAGAAAGAAGAAAAGACAACGAGGCCCAGGTGTCAAGGTGGAGGGGAATGCCAAAGCATGTTATAAATTACGAGCAGGTGACTACGAGACAAATCAGAACAACACCTGTGTCTCTCTTCAGGGTGCAAAACATTGGCAAAGATCCGCCGAACCCAGTGGGACAATCTGAGATCTCGTCACGCGGTCCCCCACCAACACCACCAAGTTTGGCCCCAGGTGCCTCGGTCCAGTTGGCGCCGCTGGAGAGAACAGACGTTGAGTCGTGCCCTCTCGGGAAACGGGGCGGGAACCAATTCGCTCACTATGTGGAATCCAGCTCGGGGCTAAAAGCGCTAGCGAGACAGGAGAGTTGCAGTCCAGACGAGGAACGGGTCGAGGGCCAAGCAAGACAGAAACAAGAAGATGAACAGGATTTCCAAGGGCGATGAGGGGCCGCCAACAGTCCGGTCTCCATCACAGCGCTGGTGGATACATTGCGGTGGTTGTTTGTATATCCTATCGGCCGAGTCAGAAAGGGTCCTTTCGGATCCGGAAAAGGCTCCATCGTGGAATCTTTGGCATGCTATAGGACGACGGTATAGTGACTGCCGGATGTTTTACCGTATGATAGGCCACGGCTAACTTGAGGTGACAATGACTTTGGAAGAAAAAAAGGAGGGTCTCCTCGAAGGGTGAGTTGCTGTGTCGTATCAAGGGATCACGACGCACACTTACAGATGTACTCCGTCCAATGTTACATGGCACATTATGTACATGCAAACCAATGAATAATGCGCGACTCGTTAAGCTCGGGTGTCATCGTGGACACAGATAACCTCGTTGCCGTATGATTGGCCTTTCTTCCCACGAATTCTCCAGACCAGACACGCAGCTTGAAGAAAATCACAAGCAGACCATAGAGAGGCGCAGAGGACCCTTTCATCACCATGCCCTCTCGATTTTACTATACATTGCATAAAACTTATCATCTGTGCCATCATGAAACCACGTGCAATCCACAGACGGTTGGTTCTATTCCCAGTTGGTCATTCCCCTCCCTCTTCCCCACTACTGAGGCACGTCGACACCACTCATTTCAGCACATTTCCTCAGTAACCCGTCCTGGAGCCCTTCATCATCGCCCGCCTCCGAACAGGTCGCCATCTTGGACTGCTGAAAGTACGTTCCCGTCACTCCTTTCGCATTGCCCTCGCCCAGCGCCAACATCACAAACCCCTCCACGCCAGCCTCGATGTCTCCCGGCGCACCAAATCCGCCCAGCTTCGTCGGCACCCAGCCGGGGGTCACAGCATTGCTCTCGACCTCCGCCCACCTCCTCGCAACCCCTTTCGCCAGCATGACAGCGTGGAGCTTGGTATCCCCATACGCCGACTTCTCGAGCGCGTCCAGCCGCGCCTGCCCGGACCGGTGCAGCTCGCTCGACACGTACACCAGCCGCCGCGGCCTCGCCATGAGACAGGTCAGCACGTATGGAGCAAGCGTGTTGACAGTAAACAGCTCCCGCGCCGACCGCGCCGCGCCGCAGACCCCGGCATTGTGCACCACGCAGTCGTAAGGCCCATGTCTGTCAGCCTCTGCCGCGAGCGCTTTTATTCCTTCCATGGTGCGCAGGTCGCTGATCAGGCATGCGTGGGCGCCTGGGCAGGCGGCCTGGGCGTCGGTGGCCCGCTGGGTGTTGCGGGCGTGGAGGACTACCTGGTGGCCCTGGGCGATGAGGCGTTTGGCTGTGAGGGCGCCAAGGCCGTCGGATGAGCCTGTGATGAAGATTCGTGCCATTAAGTTTTTTAAGTTTTTTTTTTTTCCCTTCTCTTAATTCTTTTTTCATTTTTCGAACGGAGTCGGCTGAGTTTGTCAGCAAGATGAACAGCACTGACTTTTGACCAGATGTCACTGACGAAAGCTTGTTAAACCTGGATCCTTCGAGCCGATACATCTTGAAATGTAGGATTCGTTCTAAGTGATATATTGGATTTATCAGCATGTCCGGTCACCGTTGTCCCAGTTCCCCCCAGATCGCGACACGGTGAAATCGGCTCTCGGATATTTATTGATTCCCCTGGCTTGTCTTCAGCTTACCAATGTTCCATCGTATGCGAACGCCATGGGTCGTAACCCATTCAGTAGTCCACAGTGTACTTGCAAGCTCTGATTGAGAGGCCAAAATTAATCAACATTTACATTTGGCACACTGTCATCAGCCATTAAAAGCAGAGAATATGATGTCATGTATTGCGCGCGTGCAGTCATAAACGCGGGCCCACCGGACATACCTATTGTAAAGTCCGGTCTTTTCATCGTGTGTCTACGGTAGCCGTGTGTATTGTCAACAAAGAGGACATGCTAATGAAGAAGCTCTTATGGAATAGACATTAGTAGATATTCACACACCTCAAGGTCCGGGCAAGGCATTAGAAGGCAGCCATTGTACGATGTCCAGAGACAGTTGTTACTTATTTCAAAAATATCAGGTTAATAGTTAAGGAGAAACGTATGAGCTGAGCACGTGGAAGTGGCTGAATGAGTGTTGAGATTGAATCTATCTAATACAAAAGGAAGATCTTCTAAGTAACTAAACCAGGCTCTGAGATGGTTTATAAGGAGATCAAAACAGAGGGTTAGGGTTAAATATGCTCCATTTTTCACAATAGTTAATTCAGACTGTGTAGAATCTTCATAGCCATTCTTGGAAGTTCTAGACATATATCAGCCGTCAATACATCTTGTGATGTCTGGAGTTTGGCCAGAATCTCGTGACAATAGACATGTCCCTTCCATGAGCATGATCGGCGTCTTCAAAAGTGTCATCTGTACACGAGACCGAGTCACGCATTCATTGTCCAATCATTTAGGGTGCAGTGTATGGCTAGATGTCCAACATGCATCAAGAATGGATCGAGGCTGTGGGATGGGGGATGTGAGGGATGAAAGTGAGAAGGCACGCAGTTCCAAGCAGAAGGTTGATGTTCTGATATATGGACTCGATTGAACCATACGGCCGAGAAATGTATGCTAGTGAATTAAAATGAAACGAGACAGCGCGGGAATTAACAATCCTAAACTTAAATTATTGTTCAAGTTGCTAAATTTGGTGCACTGCACCACGTAAAGCGTCTCATACTCAATTTCTCTCGTTATCGACGTGCATGGAGTAATGTGGGAATTATGCTGCATCTTGAATATCTTGAGCGGGGCCGTAGAAGATGGCACAATGTTTAATGTTACTAGTGGAAGTTCTATATCGGAATGGTCCTAGTAATTGCTCATCGACAAGGCTTAGGTCCGTTGGCATATCTTTCTAGTGATCATAGTTCCAAGTATCTCAGAGGTCTAGGTGGAGGCATACAGGGCCAAGGAAAACAATGCCAAATAATCTGGCGAGAAAAAGAAAAAGACTCGACACCACTTGGGATTGAACAGGCAGCCTCCTTCAAACAATGGCCAAACAGCGCCCCCCCCCCTCCCCCCTCTCTCCTCCCCCAAGACCATCTCCCACCCTCACCCACACACGTAGCAAACGTAACAAAATCTGTTCACGACGTATTGGCACATAGAGAAGTAGAGGGAAAAAGAGCTCGCCAGAAAAAAAAGGGCAAAAAACAACCCCGAAGGGCACTGCCGAGCAGACTTATGGCGACTTGTGAGCAGGTTCCCCGGTACCGCGCCCGGTGAGTCGTACCAGATCCTCTGCAGCTTTCAGTGGAGGGAACTGCGGCTAGGTAGCTTGCTCAAGGCTAATGGACTCGATTGTGGAAAGATGAATCTTACCACTGCGCCAACAAACAACTTATTGCTTTGGACTGATCACTTTTGGTTTATATGTTACCCTCCACTTCCTGCCACGTTTAGCCCCTTCCCCTTGTCTCTTCCATTTCCCTGCAGCAGCCCAGTCAAAGATACTTCCCAAGCAAACCATTATGCCATCACCTATGCCAACTTGTTGCCAGCTGATTCAACCTGCTTGAAGAAGGAGGACACTCCACCACAGCCACCCGCCAACCCTCCTGTACGTAATTTTGACGAAACAAGTTGGCTTCTACACTATTTTCTTTCACATATCAGTCTTTTTCTTCAACACTCTGAAGAGACTTTGATTTCTGATGGATTGGGAAAGATGTTTGTTTCTCCCCACACGTCCACTATGACGACGCGTCTGACGCGTGTTTGGCAGCCCTTCGCGACACCGCGACCACCACAGATCTGAGAAGAGGCGTCAAATTCTCGTCAGTATGGATCTTCATTATCACCCGAGGTCTGATTGATTCGAATTCCTTGTGAATAACAGCAAAGAAATAGCCTACTCCTCCAGTTGCCATCCATCATTACCCACACTGACTCAAGTGTTCTACAGTCTCTGCTCCAAGTACCCAAGTATCTTCTATAACTGACGATCAGAGGAGAGATTATTCATTGTTCTACCCACCAAGCTTGAGTCAATCATGTCCACTGCAAATTCGAGAACAATGTTGTCACTCAGGTGGAATACATATCCAAGCACGTCGTCCTGCTTATGTAAGCAGATCAGCCTCACGAAAAGACGGGTTCGACGAAAGGCCAAGAATACTGTCAGCTGTTCCACGACTGACTTCCTCGGAACTGGAACTGAGCTGACAATGGAGACAGTGCTCTTGAAGCTGTACTGGTCTAAGTTCTAACCATCATAACCTGACCCTGACTGCATCTGGTCGACGAGCCCGCATGACGCGACGCATGTAATACGAGCTCGACGACAGGCGTCAGAGGGTCTTGGGACATGGATAAGCAACTGGCATGTCTGATTCACAAGTGACAATTGGTGACGTTGAGACTGCATAGGTACTCATGATACGTCAAGGTCAGGCAGAGTCGGAGCGAGACAGAAGCTGGGATGCAAAGCTCACTCCCACCTCCATCATCATCAGAATGCGCACAGAGTTGCCAAAGATATTCGAAGTTCAATTTTTGAACAAAAGGAAATAACGCGGTATCGGTTCTGCTGAATCTTCCACCTATGATGTGATGACCGCGGATAGTGCACACCAATGACTGTGCAACTTCGGCCTTTGCTCTCCTCCTACTCTCTCACTGATATGGGAGCCTGTCAGTCACCAGGCATCTCCAGTCATCCACATGCCAATGATGACCGCCCAGGTCATATTCCATCGGAGGATTCGGCCTTCCTCGCATTACTCGCGGTTGCAGGCGCCCAGCATCGATATGCCACACTTGCTTGTTGGTCGTGTAGTTGAGGTAGCCCTTCTGTATATCCTCCTGTTGTCAGATGCATAGATCTACTAGCCACAATGTTGTTTTACGAAACGGATGGTTACATCTGCTATTGAGCATGTACATACCTCGACAATTGGGCGGGTTTCGCCGCGTGGGTCGGCCTCCCTTCGGATCAGCGAGAGTCTGGCCTGTGACTGTAGGATGTCAGGAATACTCCTGACGTGCTCGCTGTCCTTGGTCTTGAGCTCCTCGTCGCGAACTGTCTTGAGCGCCTTGACCACGTCAAAGATTCTCTGGTCGCGGATGGGGACGCCCGGGTGCTTGGTGATGTTATCGAGTATCACTTCATCCCGCGCGGTCGTGTCTGTAAAAGTACGATTTATAAGGGTACAGGTCCTCAGGCGCGGGAACTCGAGCAATAAGTCGTACATGGTCAATTTGTCGTCTCCAGTCTCAGTGAGGCGATCAGGAATGCCCACGAGGTGCTTGACATAAGGCTTTGCCGCATCAGGGAATTTTTGCAACAAGAATTTGAAAGAGTACCCAACGGAGAACTCGTCTTTATCCGAGTTGGGGACACCGAAAGGCTTGAACCTTGGGATCGTGGCCCAGCCGTCGTCGTCGTCTACCTCGCCCCCTCCCGCCCTATAGGCAGCCATGACAAAACGAGGAGCATTGGCATCACAGTCACTTCCGAGCAGGACGGTCTCGCCCCAGTAGGTAACCAGGCCCTCCTTGTAGATGGCGCGGCAGGTCAAGAGCAGGCTGTAATGGAAGCTGGTCAAAATTTTCGCGTACTCCCAATACGGGTGGCGGCGTATCCGCTTCATCACATCCGTCGCGTTTCGGTTTGGGCGTGTTTCTGCTTCGAAAATCTCCCGAAGCTCTAGCGGATAGTGTTCAGGATGTTTATCAGGCCTGAGCTCCAGGGTAGATCCGTAGAAGACGTAGGTGTAGATTCGAAGGCGTATGTCGACGGGAATTTGAGTGAACAAGGGGGAGTTCGTATGACCTGTGGCGACGGGAGAAGTACGCTCCTGGGGTCCAACGGCGACCTGTTTCGAGTTATCGGCGACCTCTTTGGAGCCAATATCCTCCGTGGTTTCAGCAGCCTTGCTGAGGTCAACAGTTTCACTGGGGTCTGTGATTTCATTGGAACCTGCAGTCTCGCTGGAGTCTGGAGACTCACTGGAGCCAGCTGTTTCCTTCTTTTCGGCCATCTGGAAAGACTTTGTTGGTGTTGGTGCTATGTATGTACAGTACAGGGCTGGGGATGGTGGAGATCAGGTAATATGGTAGCATGGTAATATGGTAATACAGAGAAGAAATAAATCCAGAGAGGCAGATGGTAGCAGGCTGCTGCAGGTATTTGTGGGAATGGACAGAAGCTGGCCCAGGCAAGCTCTTCTGATTCACAAAAGGGGTGGTTGCATCATTACCTCATGCTGCAGCTTACACCTCAGCCTTCATCTTGATTACAAGGTCACTATAGTCTTGGAACCAGCATTTTTATGATCAGTCCGTATTTCTTGAGCTCTGTCCGTTTACTGCCGTTACGAATGAACCATTTCTTCTTACAATTCATCTTTTTCCCATTGACATGTCAAGAAGCTCACCAGTCATATGGAGCCCTGTACAAGGTACGTACAGTCATTGTACTCCAGGGTTGCCTGTAATTACAGGGGTTGCTGTGGGGTACGGAATGGTTTCTCTGTCTTCCCTGATAAGCCTGCTACTACATGTGTCACTGCATAGAACTAACCTTTTAGCTGTAGTGGGTTGTTGCTGAGCCTCCCGATTGCAGTCCTCAACATATCAGATCTCCCTCAGTCTGCCCCCCCTTGGCCTTCCTTCTGGCCTCCCCCCTCTGCGGTGTAACTATAACTTCGCCTCTCTGTCCTCCTCAAATGCGGTGTATAGGCATGTCTGGAGGCACCTATCCATATCGAGCGCAGGGTGCGTACGGTGCCACGTCTTTTGGTGGCACAGGCAGATGCCGTGTTATTACTTTTTTTGCAAGATTTTCCTACAGGATCTACCTCAGCTTGCCTCTTTTCCTCACCGCACTTTAATCAAAATGGTGAGACAAGCCCACGCGGCCTCTCCAGTCCCGGCCCTTTCAGTTATCAGCCATCGGAAAAAGATGTGCTCAGATGATGAAAATGATGGATGTGGCTGCTTGGCTGGTTGCACCAGCGGGACGGACGTGTCGATCTTCGCCATGTTGCTTTTGCTTATGTATTTCTCATGTTTAGTTCTCTCCCTTGGTTCCGACTTTAGGCTACTGCAAAGGCTGCAGAATCTCAGACAACCTTAAGGGAATCAAGCATACCATCAACCGAGAATTCACCCCCTCTCATCTCTTCATTCTCTCCCATTTCTTCTTCAATTTTCCAATGGCCCCTCTCTCGCTCTCTCAAACCTGGAGGCGAGTCTCGGAAACAAGTCTCACATTCGGCTGTCTCGAAATCGCTATGGGAACTGGGCAGTACGTCAGTCGCCAGCGCTATTCCCGTTTAAATTGTGGTTATAGCCGCTGAGTAGACCCGGCCGAGGCTCTAGTATTCACTTTTCAGCGGGGGGTTTTCTGTACCTCTCGGCAGTCTCCTCGACTGGGGTTGATTTATGGCGTCTACCAAAGCCTTTCTTTTCGGAATCCGAGTAGTCTGCACCTGGTGCACGTCAGGCCGCCTTGCCGCCGTGTCAAAGTCAAGGGGGCTTTTACTCTCTCCTCTGCTGAATTCTGAAACGCGATGCGGACGTCCACCTTGCTGAAACGTCGCGACGTGCATACCTCACGATTGTCTTCAGGGATACTGGACATCAGAAGCCGAAGGGCCGGCCCGGCTGTAACAGGCAAAAAGAGAGTGAGAGTGAGGGAGAGCAACACACACACACACACACACACACACACACACACACAGTGAGAGAGAAGCACACCCTTTCACGGTTGACCATTTGAAAAGGACACTATTTAAATTTATGCGTGTGAGGATGTGATTTTTTCCATCTGATACGCATACATCGCATGATGCTGTGATGGTCATGATACCCACTAAATGAGCCGCGTGGCTGCACATCCCGCCGAACGAGATCTCGAACTCGAATTACCGTCTGCATGATGTTGAACATCAGTCTGAAAACATGCTCCGAGGTCCCTCAAGTCCCTTTGTTGGTATTTTTCTTTTCCTTCTATCCCTTGTAGAAGGGTGTTGTTTTCTATTTTTCTTTTTTCGCCCTTGACTTTCATGCCGCCTCTTGTTGCTGAGTATCATCTTACCCACCTTACGTTTCTTACACTTGATTCTTGTCAATGCCGTATTATCGTCCGGTCTTTGTTCTCTTGGCTTTGAACATGATCTGATACGTTCTGCACCCAATCCCTTCCTCGCCCTGCGACGATCATTTCTTATCTTTCTTTTTCCCTCTTCTTTCTATGATTCCCACTTCTCCGCCCACTGCTGGCTCAGGTGGCTCTTTTTCTTTCCATTTTTTTTTTCTTCTTTCTTGTCTTTCTTACCTTCTTTTTCCCCACCTTAATTAGGCTACGCCTGGTCAACTCTTTGGGTTGTACATAGCGTGCTGGCTCGCGCAGAGCAGGCCTCGATGCTTGATATTCCTTTCATATTTATTTCAAAAAGGCTGGGATCCTCATTTTCTTCGCTTTACTTAATCAAGTGTCTCCCAGGAGGAAATCTGCCTTACTAATAATTTTTTCCCTCAGTCTCAACGGCTGTTGAGCCCACTCCTGGGTGAGCTGGACGACGCATCTGTCGGTGTATAAGATTAATTCAGAGACATTCTGGCGCATGATTGAAGCTGGCAGCCCTGGAGATGGTACCTCCTGGGTTCAACGCATGGCGGTCAGTTATCTAGTGGACCATGGTCTTGTCTACTCACCAATTCAAGCTTGCTGACTGAATTTTCAAATTTTTTTTCTTTCCCCTTCTCAGATATCAGCGAAGTGATATCTCTCAAAGAGCCTCCGCGATGCATGATCGGGATGAATCCATTCAGTATGGGGAAGAGCGCGCCGTCTCGGGAGGCGGCATGAAGAGGGACCAGAATCACCAGGGCTCCAAGGAGCGTGACAACACCAATGGAGGAGGTGCAGGAGGAGGTGGAGGAGGAAGTGGAGGAGGAAGTGGAGGAGGAAGTGGAGGAGGAAGTGGAGGAGGAGGCAGCGGCGGCGGCAATGGCGGCGGCGGCGGTGGTGGTGGTGGTGGCGGCAACAACGGTGGAAACGGTGGTGACAAGAACAGTGGAAAGGAGGACAACAAGGACAAGAAAACGGAGGAAGACCACACTAGCTCACCACCTGTCACCGTTCAGACACAGCCAAAGCCAAGCTCGACATCAGTCTCTGTTGAGTCCAGCACGGTCCTGCCTACACCATCATCGTCATCCACTTTCACTTCCACTTCCCTTGCGACATCAACGCCACCACCTCTACCAACAACTTCAGTTGCAGCGTCACCACTGGTAGCATCAAGCACATCGTCCATCGTGACGACAGACCCTGTTACGACTACGACTACTTCGTCTACATCGAGTTCGCCGTCGGAAACCACTGTTTTACTGACAACCTCTTCTGTCTCCACCGTCACCGTCGATAATACCTCAACTGCCACAGCCCTGGCCCAGTCGTCCATCCCCAGCAGCAGCATCGTCATCGGACAGCAAGACAGAGGAGGCCAGTCTAATGATTATAGCGGCAACAGCAGCCAAAAACTGCCGCCGCCACCTCCCAACAACACCAAGTTCGCCATCGCCTTTGGAACTCTAGGTAAGTTTCTTTCCCTTCCCCTCAACAAAAAAGTTAGTTTCATCGTCACAATGCTAAATCTTGTGCTGCTATAGGTGCGGTGGGCTTTATTGTGGGAATCGTCTGGGCCATCATGCTCATCCGCCAACGCCGTCGGCGAAGAGACAAATACGGGGGCAATCCGTACAAGCAACGTCTGTTCGCCAATAAGCGCAGCTACTTCAACTTCAACAATAAGCGCCGTGACGGTCCCTCAAGCCCTAGCAGAGATATCAATGAGGATGCCAGCTCCATCCGCTCCGTCCAAGGCTATCTCGACGAGAAGCGACAGGACCCTCGCTATCCCATTCCCATGCCTGAGCCCGCCCCGGTGCATCAGGCTAACATCCGCAAGAGCCTCGCCGGCTGGTTCCAGCGGTCCGGCGAGCAACAACCGCTGAACGTGAACACAATCAGTGAGCGGTGGAGCCGCTGGGCCGCTCGTGGTGTATCTCAGAAAGGTGGGGTCCAGTACTCGGGCTCATCGGCGGCAGCAGCACAGGATATTCCACCACTACCACCCAATATCGCCTACATGCCTCAGCAACAGCAATATCAACCGCCACCTTCTTCTCAGGACGACATCTCCGAGCTAGACGCCACAGGCCCGGAGGTCAACCGACGCGAGTCTGTATCGTTCTCTCGTGAGGATGCAAAGGCATATCTCACTAGCCACTGGTCCCAGTCCTCGGGTGCGCCAGAGCAAATGTCCTCGGGGAGCTCGTGGACGTCTGGTGCTCGGACGACGACTACGACGACAGCGGCGGGGATGGGCGCTGTGCCCCCCAGCTTGATACCCGGTGGAGGTCCACAGAGAGTGGCGAGTGAGCTGACGAGCCTGCGCGAGGAGTTGTTGGTGCTGTACCGACAGGGCGCACAAGATACCACGGGAGGCTCAAGGTGAGGAGAGGTCGTGAGAATGAAAGGGTTAGTTTGTTTAATTGGTGGTTTTTTTCTTTCGTTTTTGTGTAAATATGTCGGCAGGCTCTGGCCTCCACGCGTAAATAAAATGTGGAAGTGATGAGAGCTAGCTTTCTACTACCTTAGGTATTTTGTTATATTTTAATCGCATTTTCCATCGACCAATACTCCCCACGCAGTCAAGATACTAGGGATTGAAGGGGTAGCTTCCGATTTGAAAATTCCCTTCTCCACGAGGCTGATGATCCTCAAACACGAGCTAACAAGCTATTGTACCGTCCAACAGTAATTGATCATGACCTACAAGACCAAACAGTCATTTGAGGGAATACTGAGAACCCCATGGTGCTTTCCATCGTGGAGTAAAAAAAAAAATGAGACAAAGACCTCCAGGGAGAAGAAAACCCAAATAGCCTCCAAGAAAAAAGATTAGTTGTTCACACTATCCGGCCCTGTTGAGATAGATAAATGAATGGCGTGCAGCAGCAAACATGGAAAGACTGAAAAATGGGCTGCGCTGGTCAAATTTTGCCCACAGTGACCCTTGCCGAATACTTCAACTTGGTATCGTGGCGAGGCCTGCGGGAGTAACCACGCCACTCATGACAAGAATGTCGGTGGCAGATCCGGTCCTGTCGAGAATGAATATCAGCATAAAGTCTACTGTGAGATAGCACGATTGTACGACACAGAGAGAAGGGAAAAACTCACCCCAGACATGCAGGTTATCCATGCTCATCGCGCTATGCTGAGTGGGATAGTCCTGGTCCAGCAGGTCGCCGTCGACATAGTGCTCCAAGATGAACTTGCTGGGGTCGAACCAGTAGTCAAAGATCTGGCTTCCCATGATATGCCTCCCGACGCCCCAGCAGTTCTCATAGCCCTTGTGGCGGAGCCAGTCGTGGCCCAGGACCTGAGCGTCGAAGTCGTGCGTCTCGAAGCTGCTGTGGTGGACGTGTGGGGCGCGAGGGCCCTCAAAGAAGAAGAAGCAGTGGTGATCGACTCGCTCTGGGCCCTTTCCAAGGCGGAAGAAAACGGTGACGTCCTCGCCGGCGTCGTTGTGGATCAGCTCAGAGGGGTGGAAGTTGAAGTAGGTCGAGTAGAACTCAAAGGCCTTCTTGTAGTTTGTCACGCACAAGCCAAAGTGGCCGAGCTTGTGGACCGGCGCAGGGCGCTTCTGGAAGCGTTGGGTTTGATTGACGCCGCGGTACTGCTTCTCGGGCTGTATATGTGTGCATGCGTGTTGTCAGAAAATGACCAGAGACTTCTAGCAACGCTCAGTTGCTACGGGAAAGGGAGCACTGCTCACATAGTTGGGCTTCGGCTCAGGCAGCTCCAGGCTCAAGGGCTCGACCAGCTCCTGACCATAAACCAGGTGGAAGGGGAAGCCATCCACGGGGTCATAGAAGGTCACACACTTGCCGCCGCCTGGCGCGCCCTCCATCTCATACACATCAGTAGCCTTGGCCTCCTTTGGCAAGGTCTTGCTCGCCCTCTCCAGCTCCTCCAAAGAGTCAACAGCAAACGCCGTGCCGCCAAACTTGGTCTCGTCCGAGGCCTCGACACACAGCACAAAGGGCTCGACGCCGTAGCCGCGGTAGTAGGTGCGGGGCCCCTCGCGCTTCACCTCAAAGAAGCCAAAGTCCACCATGAAGGCCCGTGCCGCGTCGACATCTTCAGGTTTGTACTTGTAGTAGATATGGCTTATACGGGTCAACTGGATCTTCTTGGGGGCTTCAGTCGCCATGAGGGGCAACAGCTTAAGAGTCGAATTTGATTGTTGAAGCTTGCTACAAGGTGCTGAGAGAGCTTGTTGGGAGCTGACGAGCCCTCTTAAATAACAAAGCCTGCCTGGCGCTTATCCGATTGCTAGAAAGGATTCAGTCTCCTACGCTCAAAGGAGCAAGAGTTGATGTAGGTGAGATTTGTTTTACCCAAAAATAAAAACCAAGAGTTACATTAGAATCACCAATTTTGGGGGCCAGATATAGATAATCTCTCTCTCCCAAGCTCAACTCAGAAGCCGCGAGGGGTAATAGTTGATGTCTAGTGGCACGACACAAGGATGACAGCGGGGAAACCTGTGGAACCCTCTCCACGTCTTTTGTAACGATGAGTGGCCATCTTGGATCGATGTGATACTCGAACTTTGGTAGTAGGGGTGACGGCAGTTGTGTTCGACTGTCAAGGCGAGCTCGTCGTGAACTTGTAAATCCGTGTGGACCCGACTCAATATAATTCGGGTCGTTTGGAGAAATATTTCAGCCGGGCCAAGAGTAGCATGGAGAAGTATTAAATCCGTACATCCGCCTGCATATGCTGCATTCTCCAACAGTGTCTCCTCCATCTCCTCTCGGGGTCGCGGCTCTTGTTTCGAAGATGGAGGCTTCCAGAGGGGCTCGGCTAATGTGCGTAGTACATCAACAAGTACTTTGTACTGTATAAGGTATATGTATCAGGGTTAGGGTACATCAATAGAGCATGGTGAGGATCGATAAGATAAGGCCAGCTACCTTTTTGGGGGGCGCCCACCTGCTGGGGGAGGGGTTCAGTGGCTTTTCAGTCTGACGTTGGCGAAATCAAGTCTGTTACGCCTCTATTTTCTATATTTTTCTTTCCTCTTTCCTTTTTCTCCCCAACCATCCCTCTCGACAGCTTTACCCAGCGCTAAATTCAACTGCACCTCACTTGACCCTACCAACCCGACGGCCGCCTCTCCAACACCCCTACAACCAGTCCTCCTCCTCCTCCTTCTCGAGCCTCTACTCCTCCACCGTCCAGACGATGCCTAAGAAGCTCGTCAAGTCTGCAACCTTCTCCTCCATATCCTCCGGCTCGACCTCGACCTCGACCCCGACCCCCATATCCCTACCTGTGCCTCGCATCCTTACCGATGGCGGCCCCCTCCCCAAGCTCGTCGTTTTCGACCTCGACTATACCCTGTGGCCCTTCTGGGTCGACACCCACGTTAATGGCAGCATAAAGACGGTCCCCGGCAGCAACAATACCGCCTGCGCCGACAGGATAGGCGAGGAGTTTGCCTTCTACAGGGACGTGCCGGGGGTTCTGTACGCCCTGCCGCAGCTGGGCATGCGGGTCGGCGTGGCCAGCCGGACCAGCGCGGCCGACCTGGCAAGGGACATGCTCAAGTTGCTGCACATCCATCCACCGGCGCCGGAGGACGGCAAGAAGGCCGGCAAGACGAGAAAGGCCCTCGACATGTTCGACGCGGGGCTGCAGATCTACCCTGGGTCTAAGCTCACGCACATGCAGAAGCTGCAGAAGGAGACGGGCCTGCCGTACGAGGAGTTTCTTTTCTTTGACGACGAGAGCAGGAACAGGGAAACCGAGAGCCTCGGCGTCACCATGTGTCTGGTGAGAGACGGGGTGACCTGGGGCGAACTAGAGCGTGGAGTGAGGGAGTGGAGGAAGAGGAGGGGGTTCACGACGCCAAGGGTTGGCGGCGCCGCAGCAGCCGGGGACGACGGTCAATGAGCTGAGATGGCGGTGTCATAAGTTTTCCATATGCATGGTTGGATTACGACAGGGCGGACGGCGACCAGGAGACACTGCGCCTGTCATTCTGGCCGGTTTGACAACTGGCGGTGCAACATTTCTGTTCGCACATACCATGGTTTATTTTTCTTCCTATTTCCTTCTTTCTTTCTCGGCGTGCAATGCAAATAGAATACGGTCATGCTGTCACGATTCAGGACGAACACAGAGCATAGACATGGGTTTGGAATAGAAGGGAGAGTAGATGTATACATGATAGAAGATAAATCAATAATTGCAACAATTCACACATGAACCTGTCCACCACAGCCACGATGGCTCTCCCTCTACGTGCCAATCCGTCTGTAACATGGCATCGGTTAGTAAAAAGTTCGAGACGTGCCTCTGGACTGCCTCCCAACTGGAACTCAATCAGTGAGACCAATTCATATGCTGTGCCAGGTAAGTTTCTATCCATCTGAGGTGATTGCTAAGCAAATATGGGTACAACAAATTCAAATAGACCCTGGGGAATTCTTTGCCCCACCACAATGAGATCCCGTGGTCCCGGGCCCGGGCCGGTTGACGTCATGAAGGAACTTTTCTAATTACAAAGAGATAACTTTGTTTCCCAGAACTTGGGCTGAGGAGATAAAACTGAGAGAAGGGCAGATGGGAAAGAGTAGGAACCAATGTGAATGTAGACCAAAGATGACGATTTCAGCCCCTTGCATAGCATACACAACGTCTCATCCATCCATCTTGGTCACCTGCAGCGCACATCTACTATCTAATATCTGCACGAGCATGCAAGGCGCGCATCTGACTTCTCCCCCTGTCCGTTGGATCCTCTTCCCCTCCATCCTCCGTCTTTCGGTGGCCACGGGGTGGGATATTTGTCCCCACAAGCGGAAAAGTGGCGGCGTCTGAGTGTGTCAAAAGTCGCCAAAATGCGCAGCTTTCGCACTCAGCTCAAACTCCGAAAGTCCCCCTTGCGAAATTTCTTGGCCGATCTAGCTTCTCTCGTCGAACCTCTCAGCTCAATCTTACCTTTTTATCGCATACATTTTATTAATGGATGTACCATAGTAGTAAATCCCCTCTCTCTTTTCTGCTGTTGATGACCTCGTGCGCAAACTTGTCACTTGTCCGAAGGCGACTCTGCTCTTGTATATTTCTGTAAACCAAAATTTGAGATCGACAGGCACTCTCTCCATCTGTCTTCCCCAATCTCCAACTGTAAAATACTTGTTCCCCTTCTGTCTCCTTCTCCTCCAATGACACGTCCTTCAATCGAGGCCGCAACCGCCGGCCATGCTACGAGGACGCACTCCAAGGCCTCGGCGAAGAGCAGCAGCGGTGCCCACGTCAAGGGCACCATCGAGTATGGCTACCCGCATGGGCACATAGGGCACCTCACTCCAGAGGAGGAGGCTTCGTTTGCCGAGTTCAAGACCCTCTTGACCTCCAAGGGTTTGTACAAGCCCGGCCCGCCGCCGTCGCACGACGACACGGTGCTACTGCGGTTCCTGCGCGCCCGGCGCTGGGTTGTGGCCGACGCGCACAAGCAGTTCAAAGACACCGAGGACTGGCGCGCCGCCATCCAGCTCGACGTGCTATACGACACCATCGACGTCGACGCGTACGAGCAGAGCCGCCGCCTGTACCCGCAGTGGACAGGGCGGCGCGACCGCCGCGGCATCCCCATCTACCTGTTCGAGATCCGCCACCTCGACCCCAAGACCGTCAGCGCCTACGAGAAGTCCGTCGCCTCGACCTACTCGCGCGCCGCCCACGACGGCAAGACCCCCGCCAAGCTCATCCGCCTCTTCGCCCTGTACGAGAACCTGACGCGCTTCGCCCAGCCCCTGTGCACCCAGCTCACCGACCGCGAGCACGCCCGCACCCCGATCACCCTCAGCACCAACATTGTCGATGTCAGCGGCGTGAGCCTGAGGGGGTACTGGAACCTGAAGGGCCACATGCAGGCTGCCAGCGAGCTGGCGACGGCGCACTACCCCGAGACGCTGGACAGGATATTTGTAAGTGAAACTCATGCCATACCTTGAGAGAACAATACCGTTCTGGGCTGACACCGAGACCTGTGTTCTCTCTTCGTGTCTAGATTATCGGCGCGCCCATCTTCTTCACCACCGTATGGGGCTGGATCAAGCGCTGGTTCGACCCCGTCACCGTCTCCAAGATCTTCGTCCTCTCCCACTCCGAGGTCCTCCCCACCCTCACCTCCTTCATCGACATCGAGAACATCCCCAAGCAGTACGGCGGCAAGCTCGACTTCAACTGGTGCGAGATGCCCAACCTCGACCCCAAGATCAAAGAGCTGGCCACCTGGGAGAACGGCTACACCGAGTTTCCCAAGGGCCCCGTCTACTGGGTGCCCATCGACGGCGGCAAGAGGCTTGAGTGCATCGCCAGGGGCAGCGTGAACAAGCAGCAGAGGAACGAGCGCGTCTGCACGATACCAGCCGCCTTCGCAGACGGGGAGGAGGGGCTGGAGCAGGAGAAGGAGAAGGGAGAGGCAGCGCCCCTGGCCAACGGGAACGCCGTGAGGCCTGCCCAAGACGAAGCAGTCAAGCCGAGCGAGGCACCAGTTGCGACGGATGGTGTGAAGGAGGTGGCAGTGCCCGAGGTCAGCTCGCCCACAGACGACGAGTTCCAGGACGCTCCCGAGGAGCCGCTGGTCACGGAGGTCCAGGGCGTCCAGAACCTGTCCATACAAGATCCAACTGAGAAGACAAATCATGTCGATACCGCAGTTTTAGACAAGACTGGGGAGGCGGAGGCCAATGGGAAGCCTGTGGTCGCTTCATGATAAACGAGAGAATAAAGGGCATAAGTTGCGGAGAGATATTGTACATACAAGCTTTTTTTCTTTCTTTCTTTCTCTTTTTCCTCTTGGATAGAAAAACGCATTTGCGCGGGGGGAGGCCTTGAATATGCATGGCAATGTCGGACTGGCAATCACACCTGGATTCTGTGACCGTGTTTCCGTCGTTTCTCCACCTGTGTGTTGATGCTGAGAGAGACGAGGATGTCTAGATAGGTCCAGATTCGATCATGTTGGTTTGGAAGCTTGGATTGTCTCATAACTCGGCCATCTAAAGGCGGGGGATTATGGTCAATGTAGAGAAGAACAGAAATGCGTAGGACAGAACAGACAACTGGTCTCGCTCCGACCACAGTGCTGGAAGCAAGTCTGGTTTCGAAGTCATTAATCCCTCTCTCCCAATGACCATCTAAAAATCTTGAGCGAATTCTTACACATATGCAAGGGATCGCTTTGTGGCAAGGCAGCTACCAGTGGTTGGCCCCCCGGCCACTCTACCTTCAGGGCACCGAGACTCGGTGGCGTACTTAGTGTTTCCAAGAAGTAAATCTTTAGTCAATGACTAGAGATCCTTAAACACGGGAGGAGTAGAAAATCCTTAATCGTATTAGAGGTGATAAGCTGAAAGCTCTGAATTGGTCATATGATAGCTCCGAAACGGTGGACCAACTCCTCTCTCACCTGACTGGACACGATTTGAGTGGGCTGACGTTGTAAACATACGAGCATACCCTCACGTCCTCTCCAGGTCAGCTGGGTCATGATCAGATGGGCCATGGTGACTGTCATCATGAACCATGCATGATCCCAAACCATCATTCGAAAGATTTTTTATTGGAGATGGATTAGATTTCTTTGCGAAGAGTTCTCATGGTGCATTGTAGAACCTCGATGGGTTCCGAGTATTGAAGCTTGGAGGGCATAGTGAGCCTGCCGCCTGGGATCTCAATGGTTTCATGGTATATCGTTGAATTCCATATTCTATGCCAACTTATGAAGATGATTTTACTCCGTCCCCCATGGAGCCTATGAAGATGATTGCCTTCCCATTGACCTCATGGTTCTGGCTGGGTAGATTTGGCGGCCTCTGGGCTTCAGAGGCTCACTGACAAGCACTGAAATTGCTTCATGCAAACAATGAAAGGAACGGGCATCTCCAGAATAAACTGCAAGTGTATACTCTAAGTACATAGAACGTCGTAAGCTGAAAATCTCGCCCAAGCTGCATTTTCTCGTCTAGGAGTCCAAGCTCTGTCTCTTAGACGGCATCTAGCATTGGCAACAGCTCTTTTATCTACAATTAAGTCTTATGGGCTTCGCATGAAAGAACTTGTTCCGTCAAATTGCCCTAGGAAAGACCTGGCAATCACAACGTTCAGAATATATACCATTTTCGAATTCTCGACACGGTCGTCCTCAAGCTCTTGCTAGCCCTCCTGTCAGACTGCGACTAGAGTAAGACCTTCCACACATTGGTGATGAAAATCAGTCACGTTACTGCTGCTATAGTCCTCATGCGAATGAATTATCAGAAGTACTTGATCAAAAGAAAACCACCGGTGTACTTTTAATAGTCAGCTATGCATCCCAGACACTATTAATATCAGACACGCTGATTTTTCATAAGCAGATCATCGTCACATGGTTCATGAGGTAATCTGCTCCGTGGCTTGAAATGTTGAGTATAGTAACAACCCTGCTGAAGGCATAAGTGCGAGTCAACTAGCTACTTCAGTAAACGAGAATCAACGCCTCGATACTCTATTCGTCCGCCATACTCGGGCGTTCAAAGTAGACACCCTTGGCAATTCAACTCTAAAGTTCCCTGTCAAAAAATTCGATTGCCATCGACCTCTTAAATAGACCCTTGCACTCTGTTCGGTTTTTGGGATATAAGATTCTCAGCACTGGGTTTTACTCCTTGTCGGTTTCAGAAGTCTGCCTGTTCCTCCTCACATGTGATTAGCTGTTGTGAGGCATGTTTTGGAATAATTTCCACAAAGTGCAAGAGAGCTTTGACCTCGAGTGAAGCCTAAAGCACGTTATACAAATGCAACATCACCTCTCGATTACGAGCATTATTCGTACTCAGGATGGCGCCTTGCCAAACTCGAGGCCTTCTCACCGGCCGCGGATCCTTCATGCTTCTATGCGCGGGGTTGCAAACCACGGTGGATGATTGGAACGTAGCAATGCGTGCCGAACTTAGAGGGGACGTGTACTGCATAAGACTTTAAGTAATGTCCCGTGTAGAGGACGGTATCGATTTGAAGTCATGTGCGAATTGCGCTGCGCAGGATCCTCGAGCGCAGCATCGCGAGCCATGCCCCATTCATGGCCCCTGACGATACTGTGGGTGAGTGGACCGTCTGGATATCGCTGCGGAGGGGAAGACATGGATGGCTGAAAAACACAGCAAACAATTAATCAACCATGTTGTATACCATGATACTATGGTGAGTGGTGATGATTTACAATTGAGCGTTCACATCCGCACTGAAGGTGTACTTTAGTTTTTGCTAGTACGAGCCATGACAAACGACACCCATCATCGTTTGCTCCTTAGACCGCACTCGTACCTGGACCAGCCAGAGCATAGACGGCGTCTGGACAAGCTTTCGCAAGCTTTTGCCAAGGGGTGGACGCCTTCGCCAAGGGCGGATGGTAGGTGGCTTTCCCGCTTGCTTGGCAACTTGGCAGACGATCATTCTTTGGGTCTTGCAGCACCAAGCTGCTGTTTGGCAGCTACGCTGTCCGCTGACTGGCGGAACATAGCACAGACTCTTCGTGTTTATGTTGGTTGTTTGATGAAGGTGCGTCTGAAGGGGCAACCTTGAGGGAAACCACTGTGCAAGCATCTGGAGGTGGAGTCTATTTGCAGATCACGAGAGAGGGACAAGGAGATCCTTTCACAAGGATGGGAATTTCCCAAGCCACAAACGATGCGAATCCCCATGAATGAACACAGTGAGCCGGGGTCACAGCTACCAACACTTCTGCAACGCCCCGCATAATCATCTTTAGTACCTTAAAAGGCTTCATCCCTACAGAGCAACCTTGCCGAGGCTAGGGTGTTCTCGCCAGCAAGTGGCTTGCCAAAAATTACCCTCTAGGACGATCCAACATGGCCCCATATTTTTCTAGATCCCCCCGTTTGTCTATCGTGCCCATCAAATTGTAAATCGCAAGAGAAACCAATTTGTCACATCGACCAACACTCACTGGACAATACGGCACCCCCTGTCGAGTGTGGAGCAGGGGGCCACGCGCCTCTTTCTTATCATGCTCATCGATATGGGGTCCAATGTTGATAACGCCATCCGGCGCTGTAACGTTGTCAACTTCCGACCTTCCTGGTTCGGCGAAATTCTCGAGCGCCATTCTCTGTAGCCCGTCTCGCTTGCGTGGAGGCGGTTGGAGTCGGTCCGTTCCTGCTACTACTATGGTACTGTTCCGCCGTCCGCCTCTGCTTTTGCTGCTTGTTTTGCTTTGCTTTGCTTCTGCAGCCATCTTCAGCTCAGCCTTCTGTGTTGTGTGCAAGCTCCCGGGTAACGTTGTGGCAAGACTGACTGGCACATTCCAATCCATGGACCCGAGCCCTTGGGTTCCAGCCTCTCGTTTTGGCGTGGGGCCTTCTCATTGGTACAATGAGTACGGGTGGACTCGAAGAAATGGATTGCGTATACTTAGTGGTAATTATTCAGTAAACAAATAGAAACACCGGGGTCCTCGTTCGAAACACAATCGTGGGACCTCGGAGACCTCCGCCGGATCGCTCTAGATGACCTCCTGGTCACAACATCCTCCGCTATTCTCCCGTGCTCTGTCTCCATCTTCCTCTTTGCGTGTTTCTAGCCCCAGCCTCGGTTAAGCCAGCTGGACCTGAGGATGCCAAGATAGACCTAGAAAGACCAAAACTCCTCCTGTGGGCAGCGAGAAACCCATGACCTTCCACCTAGGTGATTAGCAGGTCAGAAATCACCATCTCTGGAAATAATTCCGGACTGCGGTCATCGGTCTCTCCGCCAAGGAATGTGTCGTGGTGCCCGCTGCCGCCTCTCCCCATGTGAGAGGCGAAATAGACCTTCTACGGTGCTTCTAGAATATTAGCGCAAGGGTGAGGCCATGTATCACCCACCACACCACATCGCCAGAGTCTAGTGCGGTTCAGCCCCCAGCAGGTGGTGGAATGACCAGTCGAGTCTAGTTCGGGAGGGAGGCAAACAAAAAGGCCTGTTGGGCTGCATATTGGTATATTGTGGTACTCTTGAGGATGGGTGCGATCGTCCGCGAATTGGCCAATGAGCTTTGGGAACACCATCGAAAGGGGGTGTGGAAACACATTTTTGAGGCGATAAGACCGAGGATTTCTCTTCCTCTCTCAACAGACAGGCCTCGACAACAAGGTCAAAGGCCTGCCGAATCAGGGCTCTTGGCTGCGTCCTGCCGATATCTCTTCGTATGGGTACCATTGGAGCAGCCACCCCGGTTCCTGGCAACCTTTTTTTTTTGTGGAATGGCCGCCATCCAACGTCCCGTTTCTCCTCCCAGTCCAGCCGGGGCGCATGGCTAGGGGTACATCGCAGTAGATCACGCCTGCATGGATGCTACTGCGGATCTGCAGAGTGGAGGGGGTTAGAGGAGGAGGAAGAGAAGGAGAAGGTCGACTCGTCACCAATATAACATCTCTTGTCCCATTTCACTCCCCCTCTTCTTCTTCTTTTTCCCTTTTGCCTTTTTTGTCCTGCCTCTTTTTTTTCCCCAGGTCGACCATTGAAGACTGTGGTCTGTTTTGCCTCAGTCCAGTCCTACTTGACTGTCTTCCGTTCTTCTCAGAGACTTGAAGAAGTCTTGACAGACAAAATGAGTAAGTCAACAACACTTCTCTGTGTCTATTTCACAGAAACGTGACTGATTTTCCCCTCTGCCCATTGCAACCCCCACCCCCCACCCCTCCTCTTTCTACGCCCTCATGAGTGAGCACCGCTAATCAAAGGTAAAATGACCAGCGAGCGCCGAAGGCGTCGAGAAGAAATTTGTCACTCCCCAGGGCGAGGCTGTTATCATCCCTGCGCCCGCCCATGGAGATGGCCCCCCGGCGGTTCATCCTGAGGTCGGTACCAAGCCTGACAAGACTGCTGGTACCGATATCGAAGTAGCCTCCAGACCCGACACGTCTGCAGGCGAGGTCTGGGATTTTGAGAATTATCCTCTGCCCACAGACGAGGAGCGCGCCACCCTCCGCAAGGTCCCCGACAAGATTCCCAAGATCGCCTACCTTCTCTGCGTGGCAGAGCTGGCCGAGCGTGCCTCGTACTACGCTACCACCGGTGTCTTTAGCGACTTTCTTGAGTACCCTCTGCCAGCAGGTGGCAATGGTGCCGGTGCGCCCGACCCCAACGACTCTCAGGGCGTGGCTGGTGCCCTGGGAAAAGGTGTCCAGTTCGCCTCTGCCTTTGTGCTCCTCTTCACCTTCATGGCCTACGTCTTCCCCGTCTTTGGCGCCTGGATCGCCGACACGAGGCTTGGCCGCTACAACACCATCATGCTGGGCGCTGGCATTGGTGCTGTAGCACACGTTATCATGACCGGTGGTGCTGCCCCCAGCGTGCTGCAGAAGGGCGACGGCATTGCACCCTTTATGATCTCCTTCTTCATGCTGGCTGTCGGTGCTGGTATCTTCAAGCCCAACGTCGCCCCTACCGTGCTCGACCAGTACGTGCACCAGCGCGAGTACGTCAAGACGCTCGCCTCGGGCGAGAGGGTCATTGTCGACCCGGAGACCACCATCCAGCGCATCATGGTGATCTACTACGGCTTTATCAACATTGGCGCCTTCTTCGCCCTCGCCTCCACCTACGCCGAGAAGTATGTCGGCTACTGGCTGGCCTTTTTGCTGCCCACCATCATGTACACCCTCGTGGTGGTCGTCTTTGTCAGCGTGCGCACCAAGATCGTCAAGAAGCCGCCCATGGGCTCTGAGCTCAACGACTTCTTCAAGATCACCAGCATCTGCTGCAAGGAGAACAAGTTCCAGGTCTGGAAGAAGGGCTTTTGGGATGCCGCCAAGCCAGAGGTCCTGGCCAGGAAGGGCAGGGCCGTCACGTGGAACAACAAGCTCGTCAAGGACGTCGGCCGCACCTGGGCCGCCTGCCAGATCTTCCTGTACATTCCCATCTGGTATCTCAACGATGGTGGCATCGGTGCCGCCCCGACCAACCTGGCTGCGTCCACCGTGCTCAACAACGCCCCCAACGACCTCCTGTCCAACTTCAACTCCCTCACCATCATCATCTTCACCCCGATCTTCGCCTACGGCATCTACCCGACCCTCAACCGCTTCGGCATCCACTTTGGCCGTATCAAGCGTATGACGTTCGGCATGATCCTCGCCGCTATCTCGGGCCTGTGCGGTGGTATTCTCCAGCTCTACGTCTACCGCTGGAGCCCTTGCGGCTACTACGCCTCCACCTGCGACGAGCCTGCGCCCATATCCGTCTGGTGGGAGCTGCCCATGGTCTGCCTGGGCGCCATCTCCGAGATTCTCGTCAATGTCACCTGCTACGAGATGGCCTATGCCCGCGCACCCCCCAACATGAAGGCCTGTGTCTTTTCCATCTGCCTGTTCATGACTGCGCTGTATGCTGCTATTGGTGAAATCCTGACACCTGCGATTGAGGACCCGTACCTGGTGGTAAGTGACGAAGAACACCTCTTTCTTTCCCCTGCATCTTCTCTCTATGTGTGTGTGACAACAGTGCGCTGACATATACTTCTCTTTCAGTGGATCTGGTTCGGTCCCGCCATTGCTCTCTTCGTCCAGACAGCCATTTTCTGGTTCCGCCACCGCAACATCGACGAGGACGCTTACATGACCTATGAGGACGAGGAGGACCAGACCAGCGTCGCCCCTCTGCATGCCAACAACGAGTATCCCACGGAGAAGGAGGCCTATGAATAAATGCCATTGCCAAGATTCTTAAAAAGAAAAAGAAGGAAGAAAAAATGTTACAATACTATTAGAACGGCATTAGATGCAGTAGTAGGGTGGAGATTGCAGATGTGTAGATAGCAGGTTAATGAGATACCCTGGGGCATTGAACTGCTCTTTTGAAGAAAACCACTTCTCATGATAATTATGATGATTTCCGACTATCATTGCGTAGTATCCTGCTCGGTGTCTGTTGGACCATTTTTAGATGATGAAGGCTGGATCACAACCCTCAGAATCGAGTCACGTTCGTCACCAATGGTTAGGAACGGTTAATAATGAGGTGGGATGAAGGCGCGTCGAGCCTGCGAGGGCGAATCAATACAGCTGAACGACGACCCCCCAACATTGATTACCAGCGAGAACCATGCTCGACGATACAGCATTCAGGTAACTCAACTATTTCTCGGACCTTCAAACCTCGACCCTCTTCTCATACCTCCCTGCAATGAGCTGGGACAGACTTGCATTCCGTCTAACGGGGGAACAAACGGCTGTAGTGCGGACACTCATTGATGATGAATGCATGTGAATAATGAAAAGCTGGCAGTGATCATCTGACTGGGTGGTGGGAGCACCAATGAGGTGGGCGTTGGCCCACAATGTCCATGTGGGAATCTATTGTCTTATGGACCTACCAATCCTATCCCTAAACACCGGCTAGACATGTTAAGCAGTTCATCTAGTCGGCCCCAGTGCTGGACATCGATCATCGTCTTCTTACCTCACTGCCGTCTTGGCGTCCGTTTGAGTTTGGCATTCCCCATTCATAGCGTCTCTCGCGTGCTAACGGGTCCCCATCTCAGATCATGAATTCACCTCCGACAGATACATAACCCACAATCTCACCGTCTCGCAGCTTGCCAATTCTCGGCACTATTTGAGCTTCTAGGTTGGCTTCATCGATGGTCGAGAGAGCCATGGGTACTGCTCATAAACCCTATAATGACGCCAGTGAACACGCCGCAGTATGAGACGGTGTGTCTTTTGTACTTGACATTTGCACCAGGCATATATTTAACATTCATGCCTCCTCGGTGTCCGTGCCATATTTTATAGGATAATAGCCTTGACGTGGTGTGATACATCGAGGGAATTCAGCAAAGCCAGGCCAGAAAATTGTCACCCACTCACACTATTACATATGATCATTTCATAATACACTTGCTGCCCTACACGATTGAAAATATGAGGACAGAATTATGAGACCGTCATACCACCGGATCTGAGAGAAGATTCTAGAATAGTATGAAGTGATAGTTTTGTACGCGTACATGGAAGGGTAATTCCAGGCTGTAAGTATTGTCCGACATCCACTGATTCAGTGACTGGCAGGGGCCCAAGAAGTTAGAGAGCTTTTTCTATGAATCCAATAGATTCAGCGCCAATATATCCATTGTTCATAAGATTCACGTTCAGCTGCGAGACTGAAGCATTCTGCCAACATTGATCGAGTCTGTAGCGCAACTGAGGGGAAATGGAGAGAACTAGATACAAGGGTTAGGGTCCTCCGGCTTAATCATCACCACCAGCTGACAGTAATCACATGCGTCTTCCCCTTCTCCCAAGAACCGGTCCATATCCACACCCACACCATTGGTTGTGCGTGGAGAGCATATGCTTGGCGGAAAGAATGCAGTACGCAAGAGTATAGAGAGTTATTTAGTGTATTTTAAGCCTGACACTATGCTGCGAAGCTAGCATTAGTCACTTCCGAGATGGTGGGGGTCGAGTCGATGTTGCCATACGGCAGAAGGATGGCATCAAGGTGATGCAATTCACAGCCTTGACATGAGCGAGAAGTTAATCAGTCTCATAGAGTGCTCAGAGTTCATAACTACATCATTCAAGGTATCGCCTCAAAACTCTTACACTAATTGAATCGCCTCTTTCATGTATGTTGTCATTTGGTGTTTTAAAGGGCAAGTAGCAATTATTGAACATTCACCTCCACCACCAGAAACACTTTACAACATTTGTTGCCCCCAAAGTTTGACCATCAACTCGACATGGCTGCAGCAACCGATACTCACCCATCCACAGACCCAGAGGTCTATGCCGAGTATGCCTCCAAATGGTCTTCTCTCCCAGACAGCGAGGAAACCTGGCTCCAGCGCGCCAAGGATGTCGCCGCCGTCCTCGCCAAAGATGCCAGCATCCGCGAGCGCGAGAACAAATCCCCTCGAGCAGAGATTGCCCTGCTGAAGAACTCGAATTTGACGAAGCTGCTTGGGCCCAAGAAGTATGGAGGCGGTGGACAGCCGTGGAGCACAGCGTACAAGGCGATTCGCGAGGTAGCCAAAGCTGACGGGTTAGTTGGTTGCATTTTGTCTTCATTGATTTTCCTCTCCTCCAGTCATCTCATCATCTTCTTGTTCTTTTTCTTCTTCTTCTTCTTCTTCCACTGACAGTCATGCCTAGTTCCATCGGGATGCTGCTTGGATATCACCTGCTGTGGTCCACAACGGCCAACGTAGTCGGCACACCAGAGCAGATAGACCGCTTCCAGGAGCTCATTATCTCCAACAACTACTTCCTGGGAGGGGCAGTCAACCCAAGAGATAGCGACCTCAAGGTGACTGATTCAGGAGACAAGCTCGTGTTCAACGGCGTCAAGCACTTCAACACGGGCGGTGTCGTCTCCGACCTGACAGTGCTGGAAGGTGTCCTCGAGGGCACCGAGAACCACGTGTTTGCCATCGTGCCGACCAAACAGGATGGAATCAAATTCAAGTATAATTGGGACAATGTGGGCCTCAGGTTGAGCGAGAGCGGCGGAGTGACGATTGACAATGTGTCTTCTCCGTGGAGTGACGCCTTGGGCTGGGATGGAGAGAAGAAACAGCCCATTGCTGACATCGTCGGTGTGCCGTTCGGCTCACTGCTGCTTCCAACGTATGTTCAGATCCAGTCTAGCTAAGGGCCATTGCCACTCGTTTGATACCTCTTTTTCTGACTGACATGCACACTCTGTAGCATCCAGCTTGTCTTCAGCAATTTCTACCTCGGAATCGCCCTGGGGGCCCTGGACTTCGCATCCAAGTACACAGTGTCGAATACCAGGCCCTGGCCATTCGGTGGTGACGTGAGTAATTCGTTCTTTTGAAAAGAAGACAAGAGGTCTGAGCTGACAAAATCCCCCACCCAAATCAGAATAAAGAGAAGGCAACAGACGAGTTTTATATTCTCTCCAAATACGGCAACTTCTTAGCCCACCTCCGTGCAGCTGAGAGTCTCACGGACAAGGCTGGCTTGATCCTGGACTCTGTCTACGAGAAATACTCGACAAGACGCAGCGAGCTCCCTGCCCGCGAGCGCGGCGAGCTCGCCGAGTGGGTGGCCAGCGTCAAAGTCGTGACCACGGACACGGGCCTGCGGGTGACTTCGGGCGTGTTCGAGGTGACAGGAGCCAAGGCGACGGCTGCGAAGGTGGGACTGGACCGTTTTTGGCGCGACATCAGGACGCACACGCTTCATGATCCCGTGGCGTACAAGGAGAGAGAGCTTGGCCGATATCAGCTTCTTGACGAGGTGCCAACGCCGACATGGTACACTTGAGAGACAAAGAGAGAAGAGAAGAGGTAAAGGATCTGGCTCTTCATGTTATACGTGACAATTGTAGTCACTCAATTCAATCAGTCTCATGTTTTCTTCTTGTTCAGAATAAATTTTGATTATCATGGAAAGGCCACAAGAAAAGAAAAAGAAGCAGCACCACGCAAAAAACTCCGGCCGATGATGCACTGTCTGAGAACACACGCTACCCGTATGAAAGAACCCTTGGACTCCAGCCCGACCACCTATTCACTTCAAGGTGAAGGAAGAAGACATCGAATTCAGATTAATGAGGGATTATTTTCCCCCACTTCTTTTCATGTTTTTTTTCTTTTCTGTTTCTGTATTCTTTTCTTTTCTTCGTTGTCCCCTTTTTGTCTTTTCTTTTTATTTGCTGCCATTCCTTTCCCCTTGATGATCCGACTTGGTGATCCCATTTCCTTTCATATCATGCCAGCCGGATGCTGCCTCAGTGGCCAAGTGTCATTCTCCGAGAGCGTGAAAGCATCGGAGAGCCGGGTTCTGTACACACAAAGAAAAAGAATCAGAATACTATGCTGACCAGTCGCTGACGTTTGTTTGGGCCTCCAACCCTTTAGAGTCAAGATCCTTGAGGTGCACCTGGCTCGACGTCTCGGCGTCGTGGAACTGCACCGTGTAGGACCGCTGGTACGTGATACCTTTCCCTGCGCCCCAGCCTCCTCCACCACCAACACTGCTTCCTCCCCCCGATTTCGACGTGTTGTTAGACTCGATCCCTACCCTTGCCTGGCTGCGGAGCGTCCTCGAGGCGCCTGTGGCGTAGTTGTCGGCGCCCCATGAGGCGTTGGTGCCGTAGCCGCGCCGGGTCGACGTCAGGCGCGGGAATATCTTGACGAGGATGAGGCGCAGGGCCGGCATGCAGGCGCACATGATGCCCACGTTGACTTCGATCGTGCTCCACTGCGACACGCGGAGGTTGTCCCAGGTCGGGTTGCTCGAGTTGGCGAACGTGATGAGGGTCTGGAGGCGGACGATGGAGATGACCGTGACGCTATGATAGAGAGATCATGTTACTTGAGACATCCCCCCCTTTTTTTCTTCTTTTTTTTCAAGAAAAAAAAAATGACAAAAGACGTTTTCATCTTCACTTACAAGGTTCCTGTGCAGAACATGATGCCGACGCCAATCTTCTTCTTAAAGTGCAGCTGAAGATCCCTGAGCTGAAAGAGCGGGATGGCAACCATCCAGATGTCGAGAGCGATGGAGGTGATGGCATTGGCCCAGCCGAGGCTGTTGGCGTTGATGCATGTGCCGGTGTGCTCGCCATCCCAGTTGGTCCAGTAGTAGTCGATGGGCTGGCACTGAAACACGGCGATGAGAATAAACGCCACGCCCCAGATGGCATTATAACCAATTGTGGCCCAGAGCAGCAGCCGCACCGTCCTCTTTGGGAAAATCTTGAGGTAGAAGAAGAGGAGCGACATTTTGAGGAAGGCCAGGTTGAGGAAGTAGACCCATTCCATGAAGTAGAACCAGTACACAAACGAGGTGATCTCGTGCGGCGTGAGGGTCCAGATGTCGCGGCCTAGGCCGTTGGCGATAGTCCCAAGCGAGGTCATGATCGTGCTCGCGGTTCCGGAGAGGATGGTGGCGATGATGAACCAGTCGTCGAAGCCGAGTTGCATGCGAGCCACAAACAACCTATAGCCGATCCGGAGGAGGAAGACAGCGGCCGAGATACAGCCCATGGTGATGTTCAGGACATTGTATGCCCGGCCTGCATCGCGCACCGGGGCACCACAGCCCGTCTCGGTGATATTCTTGACGGCTATGCGTAGACAAGGAGGTTGATCATGTTAGTTACCAGCGCAGCATGGAGAATAAGGCGCTTTCTTCTTCATCTCCCTCATCTTACTCTACTCTCTCTCTCCCCTCACACACAAACAGGAAAAGAAGGAAGATGACTAACACAGGGCCTCAATTTGGGTGCAATTAGATGTTACGCAGGATGTGATCTGGTCCTGCATTGCAGTGTTCGTGCACATGCATGGTAGGTTGGTACATGTTGGAAATGTCTGGAAGCCTGCTAGGAAGCAGTCGAGCTGGTACGCAGGAGAACAGATCAGAATATTGAGCTACACTGGGCCACCGTTGTTGGGTTGTCGTGTTGTGAAGCAGCGAGGAGTAAGACAGGACTTACCCCACAAACTGGCAGCTCACCAGCGAGGGTGGTGAGATCTGCTGCTGACGAGGAATCATCTCTTCTGGTGGATGCTAGGGCGGCTGGGAGGAGAGTCCCTAGCACCAGTAGGAACCGGAATGTTGAAAACATGAGGGCATCAAGGCCGTGTTGTTCGGTCGGCTCACCGCATCCAAAATAACATTACTTGTGGTGAAGCAGCATGTATGATACAACAGACTGGGGGGAAGAGGAGAGCGGAGAGGAAGACAAGAGAATAAGTGAAGAGGAGGTAAGTTCAGCAGAAATACGATCGGCGTGGGGAGTTTTGTCAGAGAGAGGGAATAAAAAAAGAGGGAATACAACTCTTTCATGGGGAACAGATTTGACACGTGCGGAGCCAAGACAAGACGAAGACCACACAGTACGTAAACCAACTTCAACTCGATCAATCAATCAACCCAGGCCTGTCAAAGCTGCGTACCATAGTACGAGGATAATTCCGGAGTGCCTACCTCGATACATGAGAGCCGTCCGCCGGCGCCCCTCTCACTATTGCTAAGGAAATACTATGGACCTACGTACACTATGCACGCTGCAGTACCCTACCAGAGTAATCACAGCCGCGAACCACTCAGGGTCGAGAAGCATCATCCTTGTGTCGAGCCGAGTCGAGCCCTGCATATTATCACCGACGTATCGCGGCCTCCAAATTCCTACAAGACAAGGTGGGGACCAGGCCTCCCCAGGCTCCACACCACCCTAAAGAAGTTCCAGAGTCCACAGGGACGTTGACGAGGGCACCACACGAGAGAGGGGCACTAGGGAGACCCTCCCCAGAGGCAACATTGGTGGCGTGAGTGGGCCGCTCTACTCCTGCAGGCACAAGGGGCACGAAACCCCTCCAGGTATAGCATATCGCCCCTAGTTGAAGTTATACCGTCATGGTTCACAAGTTCTCATGGATCTGAAAACTTGCATGGCTTATTTTGCACGTGTTCCGGATTCACAGGACAGTTTTTTTTCGCCGTGTTTCTCCTTGCGTAGTTGTGATGATGAACTGGAGAGAAAGCCCAATCGGAAAGATGGTGTACGATATATTCTCAGACTAGCAGTTGAGACAGGATCAACCTTAAAAGGAAACCATTCTGTCATGCAAAAGTGGCTGGGAACCAATCAACAAAGGGCTACTGCATCGTACTTACATTAAGTGCTACCGAAGCAACACAACGTAGTATGTAAGATCTTCAGAGTAGTTCCAGTGGATGGTGCGCCATGTGGTGCGGCTGATGTGACCAGGTAAGGAGGATCCTAGCAACCGCCTGGGTATGATATTTCCACGACACTCGCCTGCAGGGGATGGAAAGGAAGAAAGAAGAGAAGAAGACAAAAGGGTTCAAAAATGAGAATAAAAAAATACGAAGGAAAAGATGCAAGAACAAGACTACCATGGTTACAACACAATGTGAGAAGAAAATTCTACGGCAGAGTCCCACATGCTATTGGATGCATGCATTGCTTGGCCCGACAAAACCATGGAACAACGGTGCCTCGTGGGGATAGGAAGAAGGAAAAACAAGAAATCATGATACGTACATATCAATGATAACGTCTCACAGTCCAAATGTTGGCACGGTACCGGGCCATTGTAACATAGTGCCACGGTACAAAGAAAAATGGAACAGCATCGGGGAATTCCCATCGCCCCTCCAGGGACGGAAATAAGATTTGAGTGCTCCAGGAGTTTGCGCCATCCCCACGCAATCGAAGTTTGAAGGCTTCTCTCCACTGTCTGGGCTAGCTGTTAGTCACCTCTAGTGACTCTTGGGCATTTTAGGCGTCGTCTAGAGCGAATGCGATACACGCTTGCCTACCAGCCAACTTTACAAGGCACCCAGGTGCCAGGGACAACTACGTAGAGGACATGCGGCAGGTCGTCATGGCGCTGGACATCAACGTTTGGAGAGGCCGAGAGTGGCAAGCCGGAGGCCTAACGATATCATTTGCTCAAATGGCCAAGAGGTCCGAGATGAAAGGCGGCCGGGCGGGAGTACCGACTAGATTGGGGTGGCAAAAGGCGTTGTGTGGGAGAATTCTCATCCCTGCCCGCATGTGCTTGTATGTACAGTCATTGCAGTGCAGAGTGCAAGTGTGGTTGTGCGCGGGCTGGAGAGGCAAGCAAAGAGGGTCTAGAAACCACAATGGAACCCACCCTTGGGAGAGAGGAGAGACGAAACCCACCTCCCCTTCCCCCCCCCCCCCCTCCTCTCTTTTTTTATTTTCCATCTTCCGATACTCGTTCGAGATGAGGGTCTCGATGTCTACCAGCTACATGATAAAAGCCAATAGTACTGACATGCATCATGATTCTGCCCATGGTACCCTGGTATTCAGCCTTTTGCCCCTTGAAGAGAAAGAAGTAAGGAGGTGTCGGCTCCGGGGAACAGCCATCAAACCATCTGTGCTACCAGAAATTACAGGCCTGCGGAGATGAAGCTGGAGGAAGAGAAGAAAAAAAGACTACTGTGGTAGGTGGCGCTGAAAAACCCCTCCCTCCCACATTCTCCCTCCATGGCTCCATGGGAGGGCATCCACCAAGGCGCAGGGGCCGTGACCAGGGGGCCCCCGAGCTGTCACCAGCGTGGTTCGTTCGGAAGCATCCGTTTTGATCACCGCCAGGGGCATGAAGATGTTGTGCGTGGGCTTTGGGGGTCATTGTTGTTGGGGGGTTTCAAGCCAGCCATTTCCGGTAGACCTGGTCTTTCTCTCTTTTCTCGAGCCATCACATTTCCCATCTCGTCGGCTCTCGCTTATACCTTGTTACCACGCGTCTTCATTGTGTTACCATAGTGTGTAAGTAGACTTTATCCGTCCCATGTATTGGCTTCTTCGGCGCTCAAACATTAAACCTCTACATACTTCCAAGGCGCGACACCAAGTCAAAGTATAACCTAAAGCTTGACCAAAAGCAAGGCAGGAAGCAAGCAAAATACTGCCAGACAGAAGGAAAAGGCAGGCAACCCTTTGATCTCTCTCGACCGGATCACTCCCGTGGTGCTAATAAGTTGCATTGATGAGCTCGCCTATGACACGAACTCGACCACCTTTACTAACCGATCTGTAACCGATGCAACCCTCTTCGCGTTCTTGCCCTACCCGACTTTGTTTCTTCTCCTTCCTGTCAAGGATTGGCGGTCAATGCAAGGGGTTTAATCTTGCAGGGACGTGAGACCCTGTTCCTCGCCCAGTCGCTTCTCGCATACACAGTCTTCGGCTCGAGGCGATTCTCGGCCGGCTCTACGGATAATCCTGTACCATACTATGTTATGAGAACTATAGTACAGAACCATGAGGCCATAGCGGAGGTGGCTGGCTAGAGTTTGTAAGCGACAAGAGCAAAGAGGAAGTGAACGAGAGCAACCGAACGAACCAGTCCCCACCTGTCTGCGGCTCGGGTTTACGGACCCGGGCCCGTGAAACGACCTTCCTGGATGAGCGCAGCCATGGCGGGCCCTATAAGCACACTGCATGGTACCTAACGTTCCTCCGCGGACAGCACAAGAGGAGCCGAGAAGGCACTCTGCGCCGCAGCCTAGGATTGTACCCAACTAGACACATACCTTGGCAGCAGTGCAGTGGGTCCATTGTCTGTCTTCCCCAATCTTTTCTCTTCTTCCTTTTGCAATAGTGTGTGCCATACAACCAAACTTTCCCACTTGGGGACTCGCGTATAGCCGACGTATTTATCCCGCGTACGTACGGAGAATGAGATGCACTTAGCAGTAGTACTCTTTTTAATTGTCTTCCTGTGTGGGCAGCGTCGTATTCCGTCGCGCGACATCCACAATCTAACACCCACCATCGAAACTTTGTCGGTGGTTTGCGTGGCTGATTAAGCGCGAGGTAATACATAATGTTCCATGGCTAATGTTTGGTGCTTTTTTCAGAGCAGATAGAAGAAAGGTCAAGAAGAAAAAAAAAACAGCAAAGGAGAAAAGAAAGAAAAAGGAGGTCAGCACAACGCTCGGGCTCCCACATTGATGTGCTTCTGTGATGTGGTCGTCCACAACTGAAGGTCGACAAGCCGACATAACCATATCTCACTGTAAAGATACCTGCATATCCATGACGACGAAAACACAAAAAATTTAAACCCAGTGGGCTTCCCTACTGGGGTTTTTTTGCTCTCTTTGCCCAAGCCTCCACGATCCAAACCTCGCCGCCGCCACGACTTAGACGCGATCTGACCAGGTCCCCTGTTTGTCGAAAAAAAAGGATCGACACAGCATGAATCGCTCAGTGCACCCGACTGCCTGTACCCTTCGATCGATAC